CCCCCCAAAAAAAAGGAAAACCAAACTGACCCAGATCCAAAGACATATCCTACGCGCTCCCGCTCCTCTCCCGACTCCTGGGATACACAACCTCGCACAGAATCTCCTCTTCGCAATTCAGCGGGCCCTTCTCGCTGAACCTGCCACTCTCACTCTCCCTAAACGCACTGGGACTGCTCTTCCTGCTCTTCGCATTCGTCACGTTCAATTTCCCGTCTGAGGCGCCGGTTAACGATGTGAATATGAACTATACCAGTGCGGCTATTGGCGTTATTGCGCTTGTTGCTGTTGCGACGTGGTGCTTGACGGCGAGGAAAAGGTTTACGGGGCCGGTGGAGGGGCTTGGGGTTAGTGAGGGTGAGACAGGGGGCGGAGTCCAAGGGGTGGCTGGTGGGAAGAAGGGTGCTGAGAGGGGGGATGGTTCGAGGGTCAAGGGGGATGTTTAGGAAATATATAATGGAACAATATAGATTCGACCTTGGCTAGAGTTCGGCACCTTTTACGCTCATTATGATAAAATGTGTCTAGATTAATGGGAATAAGATTGTGAATTTGCCCATGCTCGATGATATGGATGGAGAAGGTCAGTTGTAAGAATATGGATATATCTGCCCTTGATACAGGCTGTGGGCTGCGTCTTGAAACTCGCACCGTATCTTATCCTGTCTAAGTATATACATCGTATGGGACTCGCTCCCGGGTAGAAGATAATCTACACAAACATGCGAACATGCCATAGAAAGGTGAGGCGACTAGTGATGGCATGTATGACCGCAGTTATATCAAGTTTCTGGTAGCAACCAAGCCGGGTCCGGTTCGTCATACTCACTCTCCGATTTCGCATCGTCATGCGAATGGCTGTTTACATCTCGTAGCAGGTCAGCTGGAGGCTCGGGGTTATCAATTCCAAGAGGATCAGTCTGGGAATTGTTGTCTGCATTCTTGTGTGGCTCCTCCAAGTCCCTGGCGGCAGACGGGTTGGTTTCAACCTCTGCGACGTGGAAAATGTCTGAGAGAATTTCCCGAGCCTCGCGTAGTGCTTCCAGTTCTGCTGAGATGCAGCAAACCAGGAGCTTCCAATCTCTGCTCTGCGCGTAGTCCAGCTGTCCTTCTACAAGATTTGTCGTCTGTTCCAGATCCTCTATAATGAGCTGTACTGGGTCATCTTGGCTGCGCACCGCCTCCTTGCCTTTTGACGACTGCTCTTCGACTTGCATTGAACGGCGCATGTTGGCCCGCAGGCGCTTTTCGAACCCTGATATATCTCCAACCACCCGTTTCCATACAACACAGCCCTCTTCAAGTGCCTCGATCTCGGCATCAACTTCCTCTTGCCTGTGTTGCAAATCAGACTGTTCCCTCTGCCAATGCTCTTGGGCCATCTCAAGCGTCCGCCGACTTGGCTTTAGCGAGTAAAAGTTCTCTTGGGAAGTGCCGTTTGCGGATGGCTTGACCGGAGGACTTGCGAGAAACCTTCGGACATCGGTCTCGAGAAGAGATAGAGACGCCTTGTATGACGATAATTTAGCATCAACGGAATTTTCGACCTGGGCCAGTTCGTCAACGACGTGCCGGTGCCTTGCCTTCATTTGCGCCAGCTTATTCTCCAACTCATGTATCTCAACCTCGAGCCTGGATCTCTCGTCTCTCAATTCCCTGGATAGCCGAGTCTCCCTAGTGTCGTTGATGGCTGCTATGATGTTCTCTAGTCCACATCGTTTGGTTGTGAATGTTTCAATCTCCGTTAAACCATGGCTCATGTCCTCCTGCCTAGAGGCAAGTATTTCAAGTTCCTCCTCCCGCAGTCGCATCAAGTCCTGCATGGACGTAAAAATGCCCTCTCGTGCCGCGCGCAAGCCAATCTTTTTTTGCCGCGGTTGTCGAACAGGCACTGTCGAAGCTCCCTGGGGACTATGAAGCTGTGACTGAGAAGAAGACGCATGGTCTTCAAGCACACTTGCCTCCGGTTGTTGGCCTCCAAGGCCAGCTAGCAGTCCCTCGCCTTGGGCGTCTATAAGAAGCTGCAGATTACGCTGTATATGCTTCGCTTGCCGCTCGACATGTAGCAGAGGGTCCTGATGATGTGTAGTTGTTCTAAGAGGCAAGGGCACTAAACTGTGGCTCATGTTTGAGAATATAACCGACATTTTATGGTGTAAGCCAGAGAAATGCGCTTGAAAGAAATGACCGTTGCAATGTGTTCTTCTATTGAAAGCAGAGAGCGTCCGGGAGGAACATTTTAAAGACACTTTGGCATTCTTCGTCTCCCTTGTTGTTGAGAGCTCACATGCGGCTTCCCATCACGCGGCTGTGGCCGGGCACGTGACAGTTCTAGGGCGGGCTGCAGGAACCACGGGAACCTTTCCGACAGCTTCCATCAGCCTACCATCCGTTGACGTGTGCTTGCCTCTGCACTTCACATCTCCAGTTTCCTCCTGTATTCCTCACCTTTACATCTTTGCTTGTCGTACTTTCGTCGCTTGTTTCTGCACTGTCGAAGGTTTTTCTTTCGCTATTACCTGACCTCCGACCCGTCCGCCCGAAGCTCCGTAGAAGCTATCGCCTCCTCTAGCGAGCGCTGTCATCATCTCTCAACTACTGGTGCACCGAACTGTTCATCAGGATGGTTGGGCTTGCTTCGGCTGCAGGCCTTGTTGGCTTCCTCTCCGAGCCAGACTCAGAGCTCAAGGTGTTTGCTTTGCAGACACTAGACTCTCAGATCGACCTTCTTTGGACGGAAGTGGTTGACTCTATTCCGCAAATGTTTGTTTTATCAGCTCTCCCCATCTCCTTCCATTGCACTCGGTGGATATGCGATAATGTTTATCATGCTAACCACCTGATGCTCAGAGAGGCGCTGTACGAAGATGAAGACTTCCCCGAACGCGAACTCGCCGCCCTGGTTGCCGCCAAGGTCTACTACCACCTCCAAGAATACAACGAGAGCATGGTATTTGCTTTGGGCGCTGGAAAGCTGTTTAACCTGAACAATGGTGGCGAATTTGAGGAGACTATCATCGGTTTGTACCCTGAACCCCGTTCCCCCCCCAACTTGGTCACCGGGCGCATTTCTCACAAAGCCGTAATTTAGCCAAGTGCGTCGATACGTTCATTTCGCTGTCAACCTCCCAACGACCAGCCGCAGGCGATCAACCCACAAACCTGAACACCGCGTTTCCTACCTCCGTTGAAGGTGCTAGCAGCACCTCCGCCAGCCTCACCTCCCCGATCACCCCGTTCTCACAGTCGGCTCTGCCATCAAAGTCGTTGTTGTCTCGGCAGGAAGTTACTGGAGTGGACGGCGCTCATTCTGGCGCCGAGGAGACCGGCTTGAAGGATGCCGAAACTCCGCTCGTCCTCAAACGAGGTGTTCAAGGCCAGTTGAAAACCGTCATTGAATCTTTGTTCGAGCAATGTTTCCTTCAGAAACGGTATCGCCAGGTCATTGGTATTGCTATTGAAGCCAAAAACCTGGAGGTTCTTCGAACAGCCATCATGCGTGCTAGCGAGGACGAAAAGCAGCAGAACGGCGAATCCCGGGCGAGCGAGGAGTTGATGGAATACGTGTTGGACATTTGCATGGGTGTTGTTCAAGAGCGAGGTTTCCGCAATGAGGTATGGCGCAGTCCTCCCCGTTCTTCAAAACCTTATCTGACTGATGCTTTTCTCTAGATCCTGAAACTCATTCTTGACCTGCTCAACGAGATTCCTTCGCCAGATTACTTTGCGATCGCCAAATGCGTTGTATACCTCAATGAACATTCGATGGCTTCCGTCATTCTTCGCCAATTGGTTGAGAAGGGAGATGCTCGGTCACTTGCGGTCGCCTACCAGATCTCTTTTGACCTTTACGACAATAGCACCCAGGAATTTCTTCAGAAAGTCCACCAGGAAATCTCCGAACTCGTTCCGGAGGAGGAGGCCAAGGCTAAAGAAGAAGAGGAGCCGAAAGAGTCCGATGCGCTGTTGGACAACCAATCCTCATCTATCGGTGCCAACAATGATTCGAAGCTGACGCCCGAGGCTCGCACCGCGTTCAAGAATATCCTCGATATCCTCGACGGTATCAAGACCATTCAATTGAACATGGAGTTCCTGCACCGGAACAGCAGAGTGGATATAGCTATCTTAAACAAGCTCCGGGATACTCTGGAAGCTCGCAACTCCATCTTCCACTCGGCTATAACGATTTCGAACGGTTTCATGTACGCGGGAACGGCACAGGATAAGTTCTTCCGTGATAACCTGGAGTGGCTAGGAAAAGCGGTCAACTGGTCCAAATTCACTGCGACGGCTGCTCTAGGTGTCATCCACCGTGGCAACTTGAGCCAGGGACAGAGACTTCTGCAGCCCTACCTTCCCAAGGAGAACAGCATCGATGGTGTCGGTAACACTGGCTCTCTTTACAGTCAGGGTGGTTCCTTGTACGCACTTGGTTTGATCTACGCCAACCACGGCGGAATGGCTGTTGATTACATCCGCGATCAGTTCAAGAAAGCTACGGAGGAGGTGATTCAACACGGTGGTGCGCTAGGTCTCGGTGTGGCAGGCATGGCGACCGGGGATGAGGGTATCTACGAAGATCTACGAAATGTTCTCTACACCGATTCTGCCCTCAATGGTGAAGCCGTGGGTCTTGCCATGGGTCTAGTCATGCTGGGAACGGGTAACATGAAGGTGCTCGAGGACATGATCCAGTATGCTCATGATACGCAACACGAGAAGATCGTTCGTGGTCTAGCTATGGGAATGGCCCTGATCATGTACGGCCGACAGGAGGCCGCTGATGAGTTGATCAACGGTCTCCTTGGCGACCCCGATCCAACTCTTCGCTACGGAGGTATCATGACCATCGCTCTCGCGTACTGCGGGACCAGCAGCAACAAGGCTGTTCGCAAGTTGCTTCACGTTGCTGTTAGCGACGTAAATGACGACGTCCGACGTGTCGCTGTTCTGAGCTTGGGTTTCATCCTGTTCAGAAAGCACCAAAGCGTGCCTCGCATGGTCGAACTGCTGTCTGAGTCCTACAACCCCCACGTTAGATACGGTGCGGCGATGGCTCTTGGTATTTCATGTGCTGGCACTGGCCTTGATGAGGCGATTGATCTCCTTGAGCCGATGCTGAAGGACTCCACCGATTTCGTTCGACAGGGAGCTCTGATTGCTCTGGCTATGGTGTTGGTGCAGCAAAATGAGAGTATGAACCCTCGGGTCAGCTCACTGCGTAAGACTATGATGAAGATGGTTAGTGACAGGCATGAGGATGCCATGGCCAAGTTCGGCTGTGCAATTGCTCTTGGTATCATCGATGCCGGCGGCCGTAACTGCACGATCAGTCTACAGACACAGACAGGAAACCTCAACATGCCAGGAATCGTCGGCGCTGCGGTCTTCCTCCAATACTGGTACTGGTTCCCTCTCACCCATTTCCTTTCGTTGAGTTTCACACCGACCTCCGTGATCGGTGTGGACCAGAAGCTCGAGGTGCCTTTCTTCAAGTTCCACAGCAACACGAGACCTAGCCTCTTCGATTACCCTCCTGAGCAACAAGTCAAGGCTGAGGAGGCTCCGGAGAAGGTCAAGACTGCTGTTCTTTCCACGACTGCTCAGGCTAAACGACGTGCACTGCGACGTGAGAAGCAGCACAGGCGAGAGAGCATGGATATCGACCAAACCCCTACAACTCCCAAGGTGGCAGATCAGCTGCCCGAGAAGATGGATACCGATGAGGATAAGGGCGACGAAGAGGTGAAGGAGGGTGAGAAGGAGGCTGTTGAGGGCCAAAAGAAGAAGACTGAGCGTGAAAAGGTTGGGTACGAGCTCGAGAACATGTCCCGAGTTCTTCTTGCCCAACTCAAATACCTCACATTCCCCGACCCGCGGTATGAGCCTGTAAAGAGGGTACGTATCTGCATCCCAAATTCCGGACAAAAGGACTTGGTAACTAACGTATCATTATAGCCTACCGGTGGCGTTGTTGTTGTTTTGGACAAGACGCCTGAAGAGCCTCGAGACGTCATCGAGCTGAAGGCTAGTAAGGAGACCAAGCAGCCTGCGCCTGCGCCTGCGCCTGCAGCAGATGCCGTCCCGGCAGACTTACAATCCCGCCTCGCGGAGTTTGCGGACCCCAGCCGACTCTTCAGCACCCCGCGTCGTCCAGAGAACCCCCTCGGCGCGTCAGGAGCTTCTGCTGCGGCCGGAGTGCTGACAGCTGTGGATGAAGATGACGATGGAGAGGAAGCTCCTGTCCCTGATGAGTTCGAGTACATCAGTGATGGTGAAGGAGAGGAGTAAAGAACGGTGGTTGATGTGCAATATGGGCGCATGATGTATTACTAGATTAATATAAATCTATGTCTCGGGTGACGGCAGCTAGATACTGCATAGCATCTTGGAATGTTTACTGCATATAACCACAGCTTCATACTTCGTGCCTAGTTTAACTGTACAAGTCTCACATGGAAGCGCCGGAGCCAATCGGGCGGTCCCCAGATCGGAGGCTGTTTCGATCTCCATCGGCTGATGTCCGATTAGGCTCTGGGATAGCTTACCCCCGTCGGCAGGTGATGCGACATGAAGAACCGAAGCATAAATGTTCACATGCCAAAGCACACAGGCTCAGGTCGACTCGACTCTTGAGATCATGGGTCACGTGGCAGTATTGAGCCTCGGTATTTCCCCAAAATGCGCAGCAACGTGGATGTCGGGATGACGCATGAAGAAGCTGTCAGAACCAATCAAAGACAAGGGATTGTTTAGCAGCATCAGCTGGCCGAGGCGAACCGACACGTGAGGTTCAGAAAAGTGCCGGCGCTGCTTATAGCTTGGGGTAGAGCAGCAATATTGGAGGCGGACTTTGTGCACAAATGAGACAGGGAGGTCACAGCCGCATCATACCTAGAGGACTACGCCGTATGTACTGCAGGAAGCTGACCGACATGTGAAGGGGCGTAGGTATCCGTACCCCGTACCCCGTACCAGCGCATATCATAGGTAAATCACCGAGGGATATTCAGCATTTCCAACTTGTAGCAAACATCATTCACCGATCTCTTTTTGGTCTCTTGTCCGAGACCGTTATCCAGTATCCACCTTGGTTCTGCCCTCAGGTCCTCAGGAAGACCCTGGTTCGTTCTTATAACAAAGCGTTCCTCCAGCGCCTCTACCTCCGATTTTCCTCTTACCCCAGGTTTACTCTTCTCCATACTTGCTACCCTACTACGTTCCGGCTTGTTCAATCTACCTAAGTAGCCGGAGACCTCAGTTGCATCCTACCGTATATTTTCTTGCTTTGCGAGCTGGGACTCTCATCCGTCGCCATGGCCAAAACATTTAGCAAAGACGACGTTGCCAAGAACAACAAGTCAGACAGTCTCTGGATTATTGTCGATGAAGACGTATATGACCTGACTAAATTCCAAGACGAACACCCAGGTGCGTTTGCTTGAGGCACGATACTCCCGTTCTGCATGTGAAACTAACATTATTGCTCGGATAGGTGGAAAGAAGAGTACGTCGGAACAGCTCCCGGAATGCGCCAACCACCAGCTACCGAATGACTTGAGCAGTACTGACTGTCCACTTATCTAGTCCTCACAAGAGTCGCCGGGAAGGACGCCTCGAAACAATTCTGGAAATACCACAATGAGGGTATCTTGAAGAAATACAAGCCGCAATTGCAGATCGGATCGTTGGACTCTAAGAAGGCCGCTGAAGCTCCGGCTCCCGCCCCGGCTGCGGAAGCACCCAAGAAGCAGCAGGCTGCAAAGCCCGTTGATGTTACGGCTGCGAAATCGTCAGAGCCTCAGGAGCCATATGGTGATTTGATCCCGTTTGCGGATCCGTCATGGTACCAAGGGGTGGGTTTATTCTCTTCTATTTACTATTGTGTGAACCTGGATCGGGTGATAGCTGACTGCGCTTTAGTACCACTCGCCCTACTTCAATCAGACTCATGCAGCGCTCCGCGCGGAGGTGCGGGAATGGGTTGAGAAGGAGATTGAACCGTATGTGACGGAGTGGGATGAGGCCAAGGAGGTTCCGGGCAAGATCTACAAGCAGATGGGCGAGCGCGGGTATCTCGCTGGTTTACTGGGTGTCAAGTACCCCGTCGAATACACCAAGCACCGTGTGCAATCTGTTGCGCCTGAAAACTGGGATCTTTTCCATGAGATGCTTCTGACAGATGAGCTCTCCCGCGCCGGTAGTGGTGGTCTTGTTTGGAACTTGCTTGGTGGTTATGGGATCGGATGTCCCCCGCTGGTGAAGTACGGCAAGAAGGCGCTTGTGGACCGCATCTTGCCTGGTATCCTGGCGGGTGATAAGCGCATCTGTCTTGCTATTACCGAGCCGGATGCTGGTAGCGATGTTGCCAACCTTACCTGTGAGGCGAAGCTCTCTGAAGATGGCAAGCACTATATCGTCAATGGTGAGAAGAAGTGGATTACGAACGGTATTTGGTCTGATTATTTCACGACTGCGGTTCGCACTGGCGGGCCTGGTATGAACGGGCTTTCTGTTCTTCTTATCGAGAGAGAGGCCGGTGGCGTTAGCACCAGGCGCATGGACTGCCAGGGTGTCTGGAGCAGTGGAACAACATACGTGACATTCGAGGACGTCAAGGTTCCCGTGGAGAACCTCATCGGCAAGGAGAACCAGGGATTCAAGGGTAAGCCTAACCACATCCCACTTCCATAGCCACATGAATACTGACCCGTTACCAGTCATCATGACCAACTTCAACCACGAGCGAATCGGCATCATCATCCAATGCCTCCGCTTCTCGCGCGTCTGCTACGAAGAGTCCATGAAATACGCTCACAAGCGCAAGACATTCGGCCAGAAGCTCGTCAACCACCCCGTCATCCGCATGAAACTCGCCCACATGGCCCGCCAGATCGAAGCGAGCTACAACTGGCTCGAGAACATCATTTTCCAGTGCCAATCGATGGATGAGACAGAGGCGATGCTGAAGCTTGGCGGTGCTATTGCCGGTCTCAAGGCCCAGTCAACAACGACTTTTGAGTACTGCGCGCGCGAAGCTAGTCAGATCTTTGGTGGCTTGAGTTACAGCCGTGGTGGTCAAGGCGGGAAGATTGAGCGGCTGTACCGTGATGTGCGCGCTTATGCGATTCCCGGTGGCAGTGAGGAGATCATGCTGGATTTGAGTATGCGGCAGAGTTTGCGTGTGCATCAAATGTTTGGGATGAAGCTGTAAGGTTGTGCATGGTTCTTGTTCTTGGATACTTTGTGCCTTGTTCTCTGGTAGGTAAGTAAAGACTTTTTGGATTTCGGATGTACATTATTTGAAATATACTTTTTCCAACTAAGCCACGCCCGAGAATTGAGTCCTCTAATTCCTTATTTATCTAAAATATGTATAAGAGTGGCTTTGAAGACGTTGCTGTTCGATTTGTGGAAATGGTGCCAAGAAATGGACTTGGTGAGATCGGACGCTTTGCGCCAGTAGAAAATCCATTCGGTGAGGCACGAGAACCAAACGCGCAGTGCTGTTCTCAGTGAAACTCGCCTTAAGTCCTGAAAGCTTCCAACTCCCACACTCCACACATCTCCTTCACTGTCTGTCTGTTCTTGGGAGAGGAACAGCTGTTTATCCGGTTTTGGGGCGTCTTTTATTTATCGCTCACCTTCCCCTCGAATCAAGCTGAATCGAATCTTTCTTTCATACCCCGAAACCTACCAGCGCGGAGTCGGCGCAGGACCGAACGAGAACAAGCCTCCAACTGTACAAAGAAACCACGGTCGCTAGAACACCTCATCTTGACGGACTATCTTTTGATCTCTTGAAAGCCGGCCACGACCCGTTACTGTGGGCGACGCTTTCGTCCTTTCCTCATTACAGCGAGCTCTCCGTGATCGTTTCGCGGAGTCCGTCGACTTTCAGCGGCCAACGCTCCCCAATCTCAAACTCTTGACGCGAAAATGTCCCGGAACGTGATGGATCAGGACTTCGGATCCGACGAGGAAGATGATGACTTCAACCCCGCGCCTGTTGACGATTCGGATAACGAGGATGTGAATCAGGGCCAGGTTTGTGATGCCAACTCGTCCACTGCTCTGGGTGTGTCAAGCTGATGAACGGGACAACAAGGCTAGAAAGCGTGAACGTGACTCCGACGCCCGAAATCGAAGTGACGATGAGAACGAGGGTGGCGAGGAGGACGACGAGGAAAACGAGGAAGGCGGCGAAGGACAAGGGGACGATGATGATGAAGAGGAGGAAGAGGAGGAGGATGAAGATGATGAAGATGTTTCGGTGGGCAATCCCAAATTCTGCCTCTAACCGCTCGGACAATCGCTAATAATGGTCTTTTCGTCTTGCAGCATGGGCGACGGAAACGAAGAAGGGGACAGGGTGGCGGAGCGCTTAACCCCTTCATTGATTACGAAGCCGGCGTAGACGAGGAGGAGGATGAGGTCGAAGAAGAAGAGGAGGAAGAAGGGTATGGTCTGGAGACACACCCAGATGATGTGTTGCCCGCCGGTGCTGAAACGGATGACCGTCAACATCGTCGACTCGACCGAGAGCGTGAGCTGGCGTCTACTTTGGACGCGGAGAAACAGGCACAGTTGCTCAAGGAGCGTTACGGACGGAATCGCGCCGCTGCCACAGACGCCGTCATTGTTCCCAAGCGACTGCTGCTCCCTAGTGTCGATGACCCTAGCATCTGGGGTGTCCGGTGCAAGGCCGGCAAGGAGCGTGAAGTTGTCTTCTCTATCCAGAAACGCATCGAAGACCGACCACCGGGTTCCCGGAACGCGATCAAGATCATCTCAGCTTTTGAGCGTGGGGGTGCGATGAGTGGCTACATCTATGTCGAAGCGCGGAGACAAGCCGATGTCATGGACGCTCTACAGGACATGGCGAACGTTTACCCAAGGACGAAGATGATTCTGGTTCCTGTCAGGGAAATGCCGGATCTTCTGAGARTGCAAAAGTCTGAAGAGCTTAACCCTGGCGGGTGGGTTCGAATCAAGCGGGGAAAGTATGTCAACGATCTTGCTCAGATCGAGGAGGTGGAGACGAACGGTTTGGCTGTGACTGTCCGCTTGGTTCCTCGTCTAGACTATGGTATGAACGAGGACTCGGGCGCTCCTATCGTCGACCCTAAGAGGAAACGGCCTGGCGCCAACCCCGCTGTTGCACGTCCTCCACAGCGGTTGTTTAGCGAGGCTGAGGCGAAGAAGAAGCACAGCAAGTACCTCACTGCTACGGCTGGTTTGGGTGCCAAGTCATGGAACTATCTTGGTGAGACCTATATCGATGGTTTCCTAATCAAGGATATGAAAGTGCAGCACTTGATCACGAAGAACGTCAACCCACGACTTGAGGAGGTTACCATGTTTGCTCGAGACTCCGAGAACGGCACCTCTAACCTCGACCTTGCTTCTCTTGCAGAAACACTCAAGAATTCTACCGCCGAGGAGTCATATCTTCCTGGAGACCCCGTGGAGGTGTTTAAGGGCGAACAACAAGGTCTTGTCGGTCGCACTAGTTCCACTCGTGGAGATATCGTAACTATCCTGGTTACTCAAGGCGAGCTGGCCGGTCAGACAATTGAAGCTCCTGTCAAAACCCTTCGCAAGCGGTTCAGGGAAGGTGATCACGTCAAAGTCATCGGCGGGAGCCGTTACCAAGACGAGTTGGGTATGGTTGTTCAAGTTAGAGACGACACAGTTACCCTCTTGAGCGACATGAGCATGCAGGAGATTACTGTTTTCAGCAAAGACCTTCGCCTGTCCGCCGAGACAGGTGTTGACGGAAAACTTGGCATGTTCGATGTTCACGATCTCGTACAACTAGAGTGAGTTCCTATCCTGACATATTCAGTTCCTTACTAACATTTCGAAGTGCCGCCACTGTTGCTTGCATTGTCAAGGTTGATCGTGAATCATTACGAGTTTTGGACCAGAACGGTTCCATCCGTACTATCCTCCCTTCTCAAGTCACCAACAAAATTACACCGCGACGAGACGCCGTGGCCACCGACAGGAATGGAGCTGAGATTCGTCATGGAGATACCGTTCGAGAAGTCTATGGCGACCAACGGAGCGGTGTCATCCTCCATATCCATCGCTCATTCCTGTTCATCCACAACAAGGCGCAGGCCGAGAACTCAGGTATAGTCGTCGTGCGTACCACCAACATCGTGACAGTATCCGCGAAAGGAGGCAGATCTACAGGTCCCGATCTCTCAAAGATGAACCCGGCTCTTATGAGGAACGGTGCTCCGGGTGGCATGATGGCGCCCCCTCCGCAAAAGAGCTTCGGCCGGGATCGCCTTATTGGCAAGACGGTGTTAGTCAGGAAGGGACCTATGAAGGGTCTCCTTGGTATTGTCAAAGACGCGACTGATGTTCAAGCCCGAGTTGAACTTCATTCAAAGAACAAGATTGTTACCATCCCCAAAGAACTTCTTGTTGTCAAGGATCCCATTACTGGCCAAACAATCGAGATGGGACGCGGTAGGGGAGGAGGAGGACCTCGGGTCCCTCAAGGCTCCGCCGGTCCCTCATCAGGATGGCACGGCGGCCGTACTCCAATGGCAGCAGCTGATTCCTCAAGGACACCTGCCTGGGGTGGGGCAATGTCATCAAGAACGCCTGCTTGGGGTGGTGGCGGTCTTGGATCTCGCACGCCCGCCTGGAAAGCCGACGGCTCACGAACATCAAATCCCTACGACGGCAGCCGCACAGCCTACGGCGGCGCGGGCTCACGCACACCTGCCTGGAATGCGGGAGCTCGAACCCCCTACGGCGGTGGCTTCGGCTCCGGTTCCGGCTCCAGTGATTTCGACGCCTTCGCCGCTGGATCCCGCACTCCCGCCTGGGGCGCAGCATCCGGCAGCCGCACCCCGGCCTGGTCAGCAAGCGGTACAACTAGCAGGAACGACAACAAAGCCTACGACGCTCCCACCCCCGGGGCAACATACTCAGCACCAACACCTGGAGCGTACGGTGGCGCCCCTACACCTGGCCTCTCAGCGCCCACACCCGGAGCTTGGGCCGATAGCGCGCCAACACCGGGGGCTTACAATGCGCCCACGCCCGCTGGGTTCGGCGACGACAGTCGTCCATATGATGCGCCGACGCCGGCGATGGGTGGGTCTGCTGCTACGCCAGGCGCTGGGCCGTACGGTGATGGAGATGATGGCGGCCCGAGATATGAAGAGGGAACGCCCAGTCCTTGATTTTTCTCGAAGGGTGCTAATGAGTCTAATTCGATTCAAAAACGGCGCATTGCATATCTATTTTGTTCCTACTCTTCCGTTTCGATATTCTTTTCTTGGTCATTAGCTACCGTACAGTATATCAGTGTATTATCATCCATCAATTGAACCATCTACATAGAAGAGACGAGATACCTAGTACTCAATACAGCGGTTTTGACTGACGGATGTCGTGTCGCTCGTCCGCTTTCCAATAACAGTCTCCATTCTGTTCGGTATAAATTCATTAATGAAACACCCAGCAGAACCCAAATATTTATTAATTATCTTTAAATATCAAGGAGGCGAACGGATGTAAACAAGCAAACCCCCCTCCGAACTCCCTAATTTTTCATTCCTTTTAGTAGATAAATAGAAACATGTATGTATAGATATATTAAGACAAGCATGGAAAAGAAGGAGGGAAAATAAAACATAAGAAACTTGAGACTCCGCGGAAAGTCCGCTCGAATCATCAGGCCTTCCTTCCAGGCCGCCACCCTGCACTGCTTTTCAACAAAAAACCACGCCACTTACTTGAATAAGCCTCTCCGCATCTGATCATTGGAAGGTTCTGCAGGAGCAAAGAAAAAAAAAAGAACACGAAGGCCAACCAAAACAGATCGAATCTTCTCTATATCGTAAAATGGTGCTAAGAACGGGAGATCAGGATAATAGTAGATAGGAAATAGGCGAAGAAGGAACGAAGGAGAAACCCGCCCAGTTTTCACGGCGGTACCGCCCGCGCCAGAATGCGAATATTGTCTACAAGGCCCTTGACTAGGTCCTCGTATTGGTTGTCCGGGTCCCCGGATATTGCGAGCTGGCCCTGTTTCTGAAGTTCGGAGGCCGCGGCCTCGATTTCGAGTTCGTGCTCGAACTCGCCTTTCGCGGATGGCTAAGAGGGACAAAACGGTTAGAACGGGGACGAACAGATGGAGAAAGAAATGGGAAAATTACCTCAGACCTAGCAACCTGCGTCAAGTCCACCTGGTACGCCAAATGCCTATAGCTCATGCGGTCCTTATTTCGATCGCTCGCGCGCCCGCGCCCGAAATCAGCCGGAGGGAGATTCGAGATGTCGCCGTCATACTTCATTTCCAGGTTCACGCTGACGCGCCAATCGACGCAAGTTGCCGGGCTGAGGACGTCGAGGTCCGCGACTCGGCATTTGACGATCTTGTTGAGGACTTCGCCTGTTCGTTGGTCGACGGTGACTCTGACTTTGGGCTTGTGGCGGGGGTTGAGGTTCTGGCGGATGATAGGGGGTAGGTCGGCCGGGGAGACCTCGTAGAAGGAGTCTCGTTCCTTTTTGTGAGCGTAGACAATTTGTTCTCGGCCTGGGTTGACCATGGAGCGTTTGACTGCTTCGTTGAGGAAGTTGTTCATTGCTCGGTGTTGAGCCTGGTCATGTTAGATACGATGGAATCAGGGAGTCGGGATGGCTTGTGTGGATAGAGGGACACGTACCAATGTCATTTTGCTCTCGAAGCTTGTTCGGACTCGATCTTTACTGATAATACTTTCAGTCATTATTGGGAGACGAAGTCGCTCGCCGCGATCAAGATCTATTATATGTCCCAACTTTGCTTCGACTTCGATCATCGTGCCCTGGCTCTGTGCTGTTGCGCTGGCAGGACCCGCGACCACATGCTGGAATAGAAAGTCGCAGACAACCTTGGTGACTTCTTCATACGGGAAGAGACCAGTAATAGATGGTTCCCAAGGTCCTAAGCTCTTCATCTTGGGCGGCTCAGAAGGCTGTGTGAGCTGGGATGGTTGTGACGGTTGTGACGGCTGCGACGGCTGCGACGGTTGCGCGGGCGGGGGGCCAGCTACAACTGAACCCTCTCGCTTGATCTTCGCAGCAGGAGGCGCTTGCAAGGCGACTTGCTGACGCAGCATCCAGGGGTTCTGTGATGAATTCCGCAAATGTCTCGGGATAGGAGGTAACTGGTTTGGGATTGTTGGGCACCGCCCCTTCGTGCGAATTGATCTCCGCGCGTAGATAGGCGGCTCATTGTACCGTCTCCGCTTGGCTTTGGGAGGCTGTGGACTCGAATTGCGCACCGATCCCGATATAGAGCTCGTCTTTGAGGACCTTGGCGGAATTTGTTTCGCCCTAGGAGAATCATTCGGAATAAACACCTGAGATGGAGGACTATTGACCTGTGACGCGATTGGCGCAGTGGAAGCGCTTTGGGAATGAGAGCTTCGGTCAGATAGCCGGCCACCTTGAGCGCTTATACCATTTTCCTGATCGTGGAGCTGCGATAAAGCCGTCTGGTCGCTACTTGTAACGCTATCGCGTCGGATCCCCGGAGGAAAGGCCGTCTTTGGGCTCACATTCTCATCCGATTCCCTCCTCTCAGACATGACCGAGGCACGTCGAGGAGTATTGTCGAACGTACGCGAGTCCTGCCGCGAGGAGCGCGGAACTGCCGACGGCGACATGTGCATTTGGACATCTTGTCCGACCCATGGGCTTGACGCGCGATTTGAGAGAGAGTCACGGCCAGAGGAGTGAGGACGCGCGGATGATGGTGTGGAATGATGATAGACAGCGGCAGCTGAACCTCGCGGTGTACCAGGAAGCGATCCTTGTGCTGCAGCGGGAGAAAATTGTTGCGGTGGATACGAATGTTGTTGGGGCGCGGCGGGAGAGCTCTCTCTGCGCGGGTATGAGAGCGAGGCGGGGGGATAAGGGGAGAGAACAGACTGGATGGACTGGGAGCGCTGGGGAGCGATGGGCGATTGCTGGTGCGACGGATGATGTTGCGGAGGGTAGTTTGCCGGCGCGGCGAAAGAGTCACGCGAAGCGGATGCGCCGTAAGGCGGGATAGGTGGACTGTGACCGCGCTGAGATTGTGCACTGGCAGGGTTGTACTGGTACGGCGATTGTAGTGAGCCGTATGACGGAGCTCTATCTGGAGAGGTTTGGGAGCGCTGGAGCGGCGCGGGTTGCTGCGCTGGCCCGTTGGGATACCCGGGAGGATAGGACGAGGGGGATGACGACGACGGAATTTGATCGTGTGAGGGATAGATTGGCTCAGAAGGCTTGCGAGTAAGTTGCGGCGGTGACCGGTGCGACGGGGGTGATGGAGGACGTTGCGAGTTGCCAGCGGCATCGCTGTTCATAATCGTGCGCAAATCCATGGCGACTGGAGATTTTTTGAGTTCGAGCAAAACGAGCAGAAAAGATCGAGCGGACTCGAGACGGCGCAATCACTAGCACGCCCCCTTTCACAACACCCTGGGACGGATTATGGGCGGATGAAGTCTATCAATGGCGGAGGGTCGGATTCGAAGAGAAGGACAATGAGGATGAAGACATTTAGGGGATGAAAGGGGGCCGCGATGAGGCGAAGGTGAAGGCAAGCTGAGATGAAAGAGAAGAACGAATAAGAATTTGCGGATATAATATAGAAACAAAGACCAGGGGATCAGCTGGTCATCTCCCCAGACTATGACGATAGATGAATTGTGATGGTTGAGATAGAGAAGATGGTGTTGTATTCAGCTCTGGATGCACGAGACCAAATATTTCGCCAGCTCATACAGGCTGCTGCACAGGCTGGCCATCCAAGGCGACTACTGGTCTACAAGCAACAAGTCAGGGTATCACTACAGCAGCCGGGAGGGATCACATCCTATCGCATAAGAGGCAAGAGGCATCTACAAGCTGTACAGCATCAAAAATGACGATGACGAATGCTGCGTTGCTTTTCGCTGTCGGAGTTGGATGTTTTCTGCCCGGCGGTGAGAGAAAAATCACGTGCACTCTAACTGCCGACTTTTCATTTCCGCATTCATCACCGCCCGGTCTGCCTCGCTGCATGCCCAATCAGGCCTGAGGAAGTTGCTGCCGTTATTCCGCTCCAGCTGAAAGGTCAATGGTTATCAATTGCCAGTAACCCATCACATTTCGACTGTTCCGGTCCAACAGATGATCTTGTTAGAGGCATGGGTGGTGATTTTGTGGTCGAGATTCCTGGTTACTCCGGTATTCCCTGCCAGATAGCGCCCCAATAATCGTGAAACGTCGCCGTCTCTAAAATCCTCCGGATCGACACTCGCCATTTGGCCTTAACTCGTCATCTCCCCTCCGCCCCAACCCCAAATGCTGGACTGTCATTCTTTTTCTCTCTTGCACCCGCCAGTCCAATGCGCACTGGGTTCAAATCCTACGAGCGAGTGAAACCCCATAGCATGCTCCATTGCAACGCTTTCAGATGCGATCGCCGATGACGAATCCCGGACCCATATCAGCTCCCGTCGCATAGACTCCACTATCGCAGCCAGTGCATTTAAGGCCGCGCATTCCAGACCCCGTCTTGTCGCCCTGGATCGAGGCTCTGCATCTTCCTCAACCTCGCACCCTCTCCGGAATAATGAACGTCGAGAACGAGACGCAGTCGTCCCCCGCCATACACAATGTCCCCCTAAACGACGTCGAATCCGGTCTCGACCGTGTATCTCAGGGTCGAGCCCACGCCTGGCCGAGCCTACGGAGTTTCTCCGCTTCGGATATTCTCTATGATCCATCAAAGTTATCTGCGCTACTTGAAGACTTTATGGACCACTGGCAGGACTATCTGGAGAACTGGTTTACCAAGCTAGGCATCGTGATCACTCCGAGCTACCTACAACACTTGGTTGGCGGCCAGCCGGCCACACAGACGAAGCTTCATGCAATTGCCGCGCTAGATGGCTTACGAGGATGGGCCTGTTTATTAGTGTTCAACTTCCACTTCCTCTTCACCTATACTTGGAAGGTCGCGGTTGGGTGGGGATTCAATAATGAGAATTGGCACCTCTACCAGTTGCCTATCATCCACGTCTTGGTCTCAGGCCACATCATGGTCGCCATATTCTTTGTAATATCAGGCTATGTTCTTTCCTACAAACCGCTCAAATTGATCCGCAGCCGGGCTTGGGAAGAGACATTTGTTACTGTGGCATCTTCAACGTTTCGCCGAGGCCTGCGCTTATACATTCCCTCTTTCGTTGGCATCCTGCTGGTCCTGCTTGCCGTTCGGCTGGGCGCTTACAATTACTCGCAAAAGGTTCTATTCGAAGGACACACCATCAGGGGCACCAACGAGCAACACCCCCCGATCATGGTCAAGTCTTTGGCCAAGCAGTTGTGGGACTGGTATTATACGCTTGCGCGCCTAATGGACCCTTTTGATTGGGGCCTGTACTATAATAACTACAACCCTCACCTCTGGACGATCCCTGTTGAATTTCGCAGTTCCATTGTCCTCTTCCTCACCATTCTCGCGACATCACGTGTGAAGACGGCGGTCCGTATCTTCCTAGTCAGCAGTCTAGTATGGTTCTGTATGCGCTATGGCCGATGGGACGTCGTCCTTTTCCTGGGCGGTATGCTCATGGCTGAAGCGGACTTGATTCAAGGCCTTTGGGAGAAGCGTCCATCCGAGGATGCAGGTGACAAAGAGAAGCGGGTCTGGACCAGCGCTGCAACACCTCAACACCAAGTTCCTTTTCGATTATTAAGCCGCAGGCGCTGGATCGCCCTCTTCCTCCTGGGATTATACCTAGGATCTACCCCAAACACCGGCTACAAGTTCACGCCCTTCTTCATGTGGACGTGGCACATTACCCCCAAAACATACCCGGAACCACACCGTTTCCCGCAGACCCTAGGCGCACTCATGATTGTCTACAGCATCAACCACTCGAAAGACATTCAAAAGCTCTTCGTGAACCCGGTATCGCAGTATCTCGGCAAGATATCCTTCGCGTTTTACATCGTCCACGGCCCGATTCTACACTCGCTGGGATATTCGCTCATGCCAAACATCTGGCACATTACAGGCAAGGAAACCAACTTTCAGTACTGTTTTGGCTTCTTCATCGGTTGGCTTATCTGCCTCCCTGTTTCGCTCTGGGCAGGTGACCTGTTCTGGCGCCTCGTCGACACTCCGAGCGTAAAACTAGCAAAGTGGATTGAGAGCAAGGTCCTTACGCAGACCAATGGACGGGAGAAGCAGGAAAGAGTTGCCTAAGGGCCCGTCTTTGTCGTGCCTCGTGCTATGCTTGGAGTATTGTCAAAAAGACGACTCAATTATATACCACCATTAGCGGGCGTAGTGCTTTGCTCTGTTTGCTTCTCTTCCCACCACCCATGCTTGTTTATATCTCCATTTTCATGCCCAATTTGTTTGCGCTACGTTTTCTTTATAAAAGTCCGGAGGAAACAAGACCAATGTTAATGTGCATGCAATGATTCAATCATTCATTCGTATACTCGTACCAGACCGTACTATATCAGGTAACAACAACCCAAGAACGCTCTCTCTAAGGACATATATGGTTCAGCCAGGGTTGCTAGATCAGGTCTTTCTGCGTGCGTGCGTGCGTGATCTCATGAAATCAACATCAACGAAAAGTCGAAGGAGGACAGATAGCGCAAACGGGTTGGGTAGATAGGTGAGGGTAATGTAAAGACAGACGCGTAGTATGAAGAAAGAATAGACAGAGAGGAAGAAGATTATAGGCGTCTAATTGATATCGGAACTTTTTAATCTCTCTCTCTTTCCTTCAATTCACAGCGCGACTCCCCACACGCCCCGCCCTCCACAAACACCCAGCCAGTCGCGCGGATGACCGGCATTCGTGGTTCCGCCCTGCGGCGACCAGCTGATGTTGGAGATCTCGTAGTCGCATTGCCATGCGGCTGCGGGCCCACGCTCTGTGGTTGTGGATGGGGCGCCTGGGTTGTGGACGCCTGGTGGGACGGGGGTTGTGTTGTGCTGGTTGATGAGGTCCCAGAGGAGAACGAGGCAGTCGTCTGCGCCGGAGGCAAGGACGCCGCGGCGGTTGGGAGACCATTCGACAGAGTTGAGGGGCGCCGAGTGGCCCTTGAGTTCGAGAAGGGCTTGGCCTGGTTGCCGGACGTCTAGGACTCGAACTATGCTTGAGTCTTGCGAGAATGTTGCAAGAAGGTGTGCGTCGTGCGGTGAGGCTGTGGTTGTGAGTGCGGTGTTTCAAAAAATTCGATTGAACTAGGAAGCTTACCGGAGATACGCAACAATGGCGGAGGGTAGGTGGCAGTCGGCGCGGAGGGACTTCCATTGCCAGGGCTCATCACTATTGCCACATTCTCAGTTTCCAGCATCAATGAGAGCAGTCGAGGGACTTACACTTCTCGTTCTTTTCCGTCGGCTCGTATATAATTGTGCTGTGCTCCAGGCTTCGTAGATCAAACATGCGTACACTCCCATCAGCGCCGCAGCTGACAAACACGTCGACGCTGTTGGCGCAGAAGCGCACGTCGTACACTTCCTTGTCGTGTGCAATAAGTTGTGTCTTCGCTGTCAATGTGGGAATATCCCAGATCGTGCAGGTGGTATCAATACTAGAGGTAATGATCAAACTGGGAGATATCGTGTTCCAGTCCAATGAGGTAATAGGAGCGGTATGCTCAGGCGACTTTGAGTTTGAGAGCAACGCCAAGGGTGAAAGCTTGGCTGTAGGCAAATCTCTCTGACTTGACGGTCGTGTTATCGAGTTGGAGCTGTGTTGAGGCTGTGAGTTCGGTAGGGACCATAACCGGAGATGGTCTCCGGAGGTGGCTAGAAGGTCAGTGGATTGTTTCTGTGATGATGGCGGTTCCCAGAGAATGCGTGTAACAGGATACGAGTGGGTAGCTTCGGCGGTTTTCACGTATTCCAGCTTAAGCTCCCCGGCAGCGGCATCAGGTGTATCGGAGTCGGCGTATGCCAGGTGAGTGTCCAAGATTTGTATCTGAATCCGCTGAGTTAGAGAAGCGGAGATGCAAGACAAGGGTCTAATCATATAATCTTACATAGTTATGGTGGTCTTCTAGGTAGCTTCCCAGAGCAATCTTACCGCCGAAGGAGCCAGGATTCCCCGAGACCGGCCACTTACACCAGTCCACGGCATAGATAGGCCAAGGAGTAATGTAATTGCTGTTTGTGGGGACCTGGTTTTCGGCACTGTTGAAAGTCGATGCGCCCGCGCTTGTGATGTTATCACTAAGAAGATCCCCAGGGGGCCGGATATCAGCCAGTCCTAAAGGCGAGTATTTAGCGCCCAGCGGTGTTGGCGGCTGAAACCCAGCATTCGGAGACGGTCCATGCGGTCTATATCCTGCCGGGCTCGATCTGGAGTGTCCATGGGAGTTCACCATACTGGAACGTGGAGTGTTTGATTGAGGCTGGGGCTGGGGCTGAGGTTGTTGCTGGAGCTGGAGCTGTGTAGATAGATGAGGTAGCGTCGGAATTGCGGACGGTGCTGTGTTCATGGACACCGTTGGTGGTCGATTGGCAGCATTTCCCGGTTGGAGAGCACCAGGAAGCGCTCCCCCTGCGACACCCCCGTTGCCGCCTCCGTACTGGTTAGGCTGGGCGCCTGAAGAATGGATATTTATGGATGGAAGCTGCGCATCGGGGCTCGTCGGGTATTCATGGGACATCGATTGTCGCGGAAGGGTACCAGATGCGGAGTTTCCGGCTGGAATGTGAAGTTCTTCTGGTTGACGGCTATAAATAGTCGACCGTCTGGAGTCGTAGGGTTGCGCGGGGTTTGACATTGCGAAGGCAGGTCGTGCAGGGGAGGATCAGCTGGAAAGGTAAACGCCGCACCACTGCAGAGCAGCGGGCACTCTACAGTGCAGTCACGAGTTTGCCGGCTGGTCAATTCCAGGACTAGCTGGTTCAAAGCTGGTCGGATGGGAGATTCTCCCTTCCCTAGTATATACGGCCACAATCGACAGCGGCACGAAGGATGCGGGGGCTGAGATATGCCAAACGAAGGACTTTCCGGTTCGACCAAATCACAATCCTAAGAAGAAGGGCCCGAAAGGGTCGGAGTCGCAACGAATGGCGTGAGGGACGAGCCAGGGAAGACAGAAAGCGAAAGAGCTCCTTGGGCAGTCCTCGATCTCCACCAAAGCTGGAGTCGAGTCGCTGCCCGTGATGCTGACTCAGCCGACCGCACGGGACGGTAAGACTGGCCTCTCTTCCTCGGCCGCTTCGGTCGCTGCCATTCTTATTCCGGACCATTTCTGCCTCTTCTTCTGCTGATTCTCATTTCGAGCTATATCCTACTCTTTTGTACTTCTATATCTACTCTTCCGCTGTTTTCGACATATGGTTTCCGTCGCCTAATACGCCCGTATCGGTCCCGCTGGTGAGCCTCTTCCCCTCTATCATCCTCACCTTCCCCGCGATGCCTTCAGATCGCATCACCCCGCCATCGGCCTTGCTGCTACTGCCACCTCCTCCATCCGTCTCTTTCGACCAATTCAGAACCGTATACGAGCCGATACTATCTACAGTCTATGCCAATCTCCTCAAGGCGCTTAATGGTTCAAATCGCACCGCGTCTTTAGAAATTGCTCTTTCGTTGCCCGGTCTGCAGTCGCCGTCATGTCAACCGCCCACGAGAGCTTTCGCAAGTCTTCAGCGCATAGTGGAACACATGTACAGGCTTGTTGGGGTAATATGCATAGAACGGAAAATCGAAATGGAGGCTCCCGGCGGCATTGACTCCCGCGTGATCTTGCTAGATTTCGATTCCGTTCGGGAGACAACAGCTACGGCCACGAACCCTGTTCCGGTCGAACGTAATGGCCCAATCGTCGACGTGAAGACACTGGCTAGCTCTGGGCGACTGTGGGATAGTATTTTCTATCCGGAAATTCCGGTAGGTCAGGACCTGGCGACAGCATTTAGTAGTTTCTATACCCCAACCAAAGATCCAAATGGTGGGGTTCCCCAGTCAGTCCCCGGATCGCCTCAATGGACCCCGGGGGAATCTCTGGTGGTTCCTGGAGAACCGACTAAGTCTCTTTTACACCACTCGGTTATCTTGGGAGGTACCTTTGATCACTTCCATATTGGACACAAGCTCCTCCTCACGGCAACTGCACTGGTCTTGCAACCTGGGGGAACCGGGCCCTCCGGCCAGCGAAGAACCATCACAATCGGAGTGACTGGCGATGAGATGTTGAAGAACAAAAAGTACGCTCAATTCCTAGAAAGTTGGGATGAGCGGTGTCGAAGTACGGCCACCTTCTTGACCTCAATCATGGATTTTGAACCCCCGGGAACAGAACCAGCATGCATTGAACAAATCTATAAGCCTGGGCCGAATGGCAGGCAAATGGTGATGAAGATCGGGCCTGGGATAACCTTGAAAATGGCGCAAATCCTTGATCCGTATGGACCAACCATTACGGAGGAGGATTTAAGCGCCTTGGTTGTCTCTCAAGAGACACGCTCAGGCGGCGCGGCGGTCAATCAGGAGCGAGCCAAACGGGGGTGGAAGCAGCTAGAGGTGTTTGAAGTTGACGTGATTCAGTCGGGTGAAGTGCCGTCCGAAGATGTCGAGGATTTCGCATCCAAAATCAGCAGCACGGACATCCGTCGTCGACGAATGGAGCTTGCGATGATCTAATAACCCTGGCAGTGAGTGAGTGATAGTGTATGTATATAGGAGTCTAGGTCCCTGTTGAACTCGGTAGCGTGCTGAAACAGCAGAACCGGGGAAGGGACTTAATATGATAGATGTTCCAAGCGAGAGAGGCCTACGTAGGCCTCAGCAGGAGTCCAAGTTCCAACCTTGTCGAGGTGTAGTCATTCGACCATGCCTTGTGATGCTAATTTCAAGAAGGATGACGATCTCATTTCAGGAGCAGCGGGGAAGAACCATTGGGAAGGGAGGCCTTGGGGTCTTATCTCGGCCGGTGTTTGAGGCGCTCCTGGTCACTCCTGAACCCCCGTGACTCTCTGTGCTTCCCACTCTCCCACCCGCAAACTGCAACTCTCCGTCGCCAGGCCACGCGACGAAGCCCAACCCTGAAAAGGAGTGTCAGAGAGAAATCCTTTTGATCCGGGTCTGCACGAGATTGCTGTTGTCATTCCCGTGTCTGTTCCACAGCAGGTCGCTAGGTGCCAGGGGTTGGCAATGGGCAGCCCGTCAGTGCCAGGACTAACCCAGGGCTGGAGCTACAGCACCAGTTGATTCGCTTCCCTCGGCGGGGATTCGTGCAGTAGTCGAGCTCACTGCTGCAGGCATCTCACCGTCCTGTCGCATCGTCTACATCGTTCTCTTCGAATCCTTCCCTACCACCCTCTGCTCCCTGACGCTCCCTGACGTTCTGGCTTCCCCGCCCATCGCTCCTCCATCAACTGCCATCACCTCCTCCACCACCCAGCTGGAGTTGCTCTTATCCTTTCTACCAATCCATTCGCTCCCAGCCAACCTTGTCCTGCAGGTTCGCGCTGTATCGTCCGCATGAAGATTCAATCATGTGACTTTGGTGTGCCAGCGTTCGTCCAATGTTCGTCCTCCGTTGGCCGAGATGAATCGCCCACGGCGTCACTAGATTTTAGATAATGCTAGTGACCCTCGTCAACCTAGTCGGCGGGACTGGCGATGTGGAACTTGGGACATTTCGTCAGACATAGACACAGCGCATCTGTGGCCCGTCGCCTATTATTCAACTTCTGCTGCAGTTGATACCGGCGAGAAAGCTCTGTGGCCGTTCAGGCCAGAATAAAGGAGAGCCAGACAGCTACGGACCAGGCCAGAGCGGCAGACAGGATGCATTGCTGCTTGAAGATATAATTTAAAAGGAGGCGAGATCTCCTTGGTTTATTTTTCTCTCACCCGTTCCGTTTGCTTTTTATCTCAACTTCCTGTGCGTTTTACTGTCCTTCCTGCGACTAATGCTCTGCAGTCTTCCGTCACCTCTTTGCTTATTCCTCCCTCAGGTTCCTCTTATTTCTGTCCCAGCCTGCCCCCTTGATCTTAGCTTTCACGCAGTGAGAGTATCGAAGACCGTGCGCGCTCTTTCTCTTCGGCTTCCCGTCTAATTGCCTTGGTTTCCATGTGGTTGCGAGGAGCACAAGTGGCCGGACACGCGGCTGCGACGGTGTGCGGAAACCATGACTGAAAACTCGCGATGCATCGAAGATCTAGCAGACGAGTTGATCATTAAGATTCTCTTCTTTTTAGTCCCCGAGGAATCTCGATCTTCCACGTCCTCCCCCGTCAATTCACATGTTCATTCGCCTGAACTCAATGGGCGTCCGGCACATGTTCAGGGCGAGAAGTCCGATTTAGACCGATTTCGACTCGTCTGTAAACGCTTCTATCGCATCGGCACTCCGAGCAAGTTCACCAGCTTTCAACTCCGGTTTTCGCGACAGGGATTCCAAAGGCTGGAAGAGCTTGTGCACAGGCAGCTGGCCTGTCATGTCAAACACTTCACGTACATGGTGCGACCTTTCTACCAAAAAAGCGGTAAACCTCTCTTAAACACGCGGTCATTGATTTCAATGCAATCGAAGGCCTTGGATGCTAATGCAATTGTCTAGGCTGGTCGCAAATATCCGACGATCATTTTCCAGCCGCCCAAACACATATAGCACGATTGCAGGACCAAATACACATTCTGGAAGGCAACCACGACCGTGAAGTTCTAAAGAAAGCCTTGTTTGCGTTCTCGTCCCTAAGACAGGTCAAGCTCATCCGACTGCAGGATCAGGCAGACGAACAATTGCTCGACCTTATACGAGATCGTATTCTGGAGGAAACAATGGCTCTGCATTGGGAGCCAGCCTGCGCCCGAGCAGTCAGCAACATGGGGATTGCCTTGCTCTCGTCCAATTGTACCTCGGTGCGGTTTCTCGGGCCTCATACCGACCCCAGAGCAGCAGTCAAGCTTCTGCAGACTCCATCCGCTACGCTCTCGGCCATCGGAGCCCGATTAGCTTGCCTAGAAGTCACTTTTCTTTCAAAGACAGACTTGACAAGGCACATGGAAGACCTTTCTCTCGTCTTCCACGACGTTCTTCTCGCTGCGAAGAAACTGGAATCTATTCATATCGGTTTCTCACCCGCCGTCCCTCTAGGTCTACGTCTGAATCAAGTCTTTCATCGCATCCAATGGAAAAAATTACGCAAGCTCAGCCTGGAGGGTTGGCACCTAACCTCTGACGAGATCATCGCTCTCATTCGTCGCCATCGTCAACAGGTCCGCAATATTCGTCTTGAAAGAGTCTTCCTTCGCGATGGCAGCCATTGGCGTGATGTTCTCTCCGTTCTCCATGATGAAATGGATGAAATAGAAAGCATATATTTGCGTGATATCGATTATGTCAAGGGCGACGCTACTCATGACTTCGATGGCACCAATGGCCACGGTAACAATCATGGCATGGGCTACGGTAATGGCAGCGGTAATGGCACCGGGTCCTCTGGGTTTCAGCAGCAACTTCCCCATAGCACGGTGCTTAGCATCAACCATTCGGAGTTGGCTTTCGTCTTGTCGGGGTTTCCGCGCCATGACTCTATCCCGGAGGCTATAAGCAAGCTGTCCGTGGATGAGCTCGGTGATAACGGGGCACGTGTCACCCACGAGAAGATGCAACTCTGGCAGGCCTGGGTTCTTTCTAGCCCGCGTAAGATTGCTCGAAGGAGGATTTGATTACATGCAGGAAATTTTGCTTTGGTGGTGCTTGATTTTAGCGTTCTTTCTGTTGGCATATTCTATCTGGACCTTAATGAGTTGTGGCTGTAGCAGGCCCGGGGGGTGGGGGTGTAGTTGTCTGAAATGAATCATTGTTACGAATATACTGGTTGAGCCTTGGTCTAAATGCCTTTGAACTACTAAGTAGTAAGTAAAGCAAGCCTGGCTACGAGAGTGCCTGCTAGAGGCAGGGGTAGCGTAATAGAGCGGGCGACTGAAGTATAATTCTATTCAGAAATGATAACCCACATGGAAACCAACAATATGCAAGTCTTTTTTTCTTATCCGCTAACCACGATTCCAAGCACTAGCCAGCCAGTAACTAATATTCGATAGGGGAATAGGTATCACTGACAAAAAAAACCACAGGTGAGATGAGAGAGGAAGTAAAAAGAGAGATCAGGCGGAAGCCGAGGACAGAAGATCTCAATGCATGCATAAATACGCAGAAACAGACAAGATAATATGCATGTCCTAGCTGAATGCAATCATATAACATTGGCACCACCAGCAAGAGGGTTCTGATCGACCGGGATCGCCGCAACAGAAGCCTGCCCCGAGCTAGGCGGTTTCGCGCTGCGCTCCCTCAACCTCCGGCCCTCCATCAGCCCACGAAGCCCACGCTTCTGCAACCCAATCACGCTGCTGAGATCGCCCGTCCAAACTTCAATGTCGCCGTGCGTACCCCGTCTCCTCCGAGAAGCGCGCGCCAAGTCAGCAGGCATTCCCTCGGAATCTGAGTATTCGTAGCTCGTGGCCGACGCGGAAGACGTGCTGGCGTTGCTAATGGAGTCCTCGCGCTCGCGTTGGCGGCGGGAAAAGACGTTCGTGTTGATGCGGAGGGGGATACCGCGGGACCCGCCGCCGGCGCTGCTGCTTGCGACGGAGAGGGCGGAGGTGCCGTGCTCTGTGTCGGAGGAGTCGGAGTTGAGGCGGCTGCGGCTGCGGCTATCGGTGAGGGAGAGAGCGGCGGTGGCATTTGCGAGCTCGCTGGCGGCGTGGGCGCCGTTGAGGGCTTCGAGGGTGCCGCCGGGCCCGCTAATGAAACCGGTACCTCTGCCGCCGCCGGCGGCCATGGCTGCGGCATTGAAGACGGCTGCTGCGTTGCGGCCGTCGAGGACTTGGTGAAGGCGTTCGACGATTGCTTCTAGGAGGCCGTCGACTTGGTAAGGGCGGGCGAGTTGGAGGAGAGAGCAAAGGATTTGAGGCGTGCAGAGGGGGGATCCGACGGGTGGAAGGGCGGAGGTGTAGAGGTAGAAAACGAGGACTTGGAGAGTGAGGACGGTGTGAGGGAGATAGAGTACGCGGGGGCGGGAGGTGGGAGGAAGACTGTGGGCGGAGGGTAGTTCAAGGTTCGCTAAAAGGGATTTCGATGGGTTGTTGCTGTTGCTGGCGAGAGTTGTGGCGTTGGAGTAGATACTGCCGTGGTCTAATGATGGTGTTATTGTGATACTGGAGTTGCGGCTGGGATAAGGCTGCAGATTGGTGCGAAGGGTTGCTGAGTCTGATGCTGTGTCAGACGATTCGCGGAGCAATTGGATGAAGTATGGTCCCCATCTTCGACTCAGAATTCTCGAATTCACAGATATCCGCTCTCCACCTACGGCTTGGAGCTCCATATCGGCCATTTCAGGAACTGACTGCGCAAGTCGCCCTAGCTCGGCGGATGCGGTAGAAAACGGGCGACCGCCCGATGTAAGCTGGGCTAACTTCGACTGGAAGGATGCAGGGACAGCAGGAGCGCTGTGCGAAATGTATGCGGACGTTGGAGAGGTTTTGCATGGATTATTGTAGAGTCCGAAGGCCTCTAGCTCAACCATACACAGATGGGTAAAGTTGATGCGACGGTGGTTGTAATCCTCAACGAGGTTGCGCTTTCGATGTCCCAAAATAACAAAGGTGTTCCTTCTCGACCACAGCACACCACGATTCCAACTACCCTGCCCAAACACAGACCCACCAGCATCAATCCGTCCCCAAGTGAGACTCTTCAGGTCTAACGCCCAGAGCGCATATTCTTGCTTCGAAGATGTGAGGTAAGTACCGCTCACTACAAAGTGCCCGTTTATTACCGCTCCATTTGGGAATCGCAGACCAGGCGGGGACGCCTGACTCGGCATAGGCTTCTCAATCAGACGGCCATCCGGTAGTCGTATTTGAAGCTCCAGTTTGACGTCTAAGAAGTTGTAGTTGGAGTAGATCAACATCGGACATCCTGCAGCTCCCAAGTCCTCTGTTGGGTCCTGGGCTTCTGCATCGACAGACGTGCTCCCGACATCAGACAACCTCATGCCAGTCAAGGGAGCAGCTACGCTCCTATACGCGCCGCAACATTTTTCCAGAGGGCTCGTATTCGTCCATTTCAGACTCCGCAGGTTGAATACGCTGATCTGCTCAATATAGCGGTTCATACTGTCCTGACCACCTACCACAACCATTTCTGCTCCGCCAAGGCCATCGATATCTACGCCGATGGAGCCCTGGTGAGGGTTCGCAGAGGCGGGATTGTGATGTATCGCCGAGAGCGGAGCAGTTGCCGAGGTGAAATAGGCACTGGAAGGTATAATCGTTGCGCAATGCGCGTATCGCCCCTGCGGGGAGTCATGCGTATTGATTCGGGTCCAGGATCGGGTCGGAACATCGAATATATTGACATCAGACATCACAACCACTTCCGGTTGCGGCTCTTGCCCATTTGTCATGTCCTTGGGCGGAGTTGCAATAGGAGACATTCCACCGTAGCATACTAGCTTATTGTCACCAAGTGCGCATACACTATGGAAATATCGAGGGCGGGGAATGTCGCCGGAGGCTTCGATCTTCGACCAGTGACGTCGGATCAAGTCCAGCTCGTATATGTCCGACGTCAGATGTGGGCGGGTTTTCGACAGTATGCGGCCTCCAAAGACATAGAGCTTGTCGCCTAGGATCGTTGTAGTTGCTCCAACAAGAGGAGGGGGTTCCCGGCCAGAGGTGCGGCGAACATTGCACACAAGACCCGACAGATTGACCGGGTTTGACGACGAACTCGGAGCCGGCGTACCTGGAGACACTCCAGAGTGAGGATTCTCATCTCTGAAGTTATCCAGGTGGCCCAGGCTCGACTGGCTTCTCGACATCATCTTGGACGCGGAGGACCACCAAGCCGCAGCTGATCTATCGCAGATCCCTCTTGGGTATACTTATTCGAGGCACGCGACAAAGCCGTTCTAAGTCGTTTCGTTCGGTAAGCGAGGGTGTGTGCGTATTCCAGGTGTAAGACGTGCTTCCCAAATTGATCGTCTTCCCGGGCTAACTCTCAGCAGCTTATCTCCGTGCGCGGCGCTAGAAAAATCTCGAAGCGACAGGGTAGCATGGGCGTCGTAAGCAGGGACGAACAAGGTTATAGCCGGATCCCAACCGAGCACGAAATAGTATCCGAAAACTCAGAATAGATCTGGCGTAACGTGGTCTCGACAATCGACGTTTAGATCGCAGCAGGCGGTTTGGCCAGGTCAGGGGCGGACGGGAGGACGAGAGCAAGCGCACTGAGCACTCCGGTGGCCTTCCCCGCTGCTAACGATCCAAAACGTTCCGTTTTCGAGAGGAGGTACACGGAGGTTCGCGAGACGGACGTTTCGGCGCTCAGAGAGTGTTCGGATACGTTCGATATTCGTGGCTCGCTCGTGTCTCGATTATGGTGAATGTGGTGTGCTTTGACGGTCCAACCGACCTGTCGCGGAGCCTGGCAGATCAGCACACGGAACCACAGCGATAAAGAAGGAAAACCGTGGGAGAAGGATCTGTGTACCGGATAACGGTTGTGAGCAGTGCGGATCCTTCTTCTGGGCGGTGTCTGACTAGACAAGAAGAATTAAGACTCACGGTGTAGCTAGGGCGGTTGTGGAGAAGAGACCGTTAGACGATACCTAAACCTCAGATACTGACAGGTGAGGCTGAAAAACGCCAGAACAGAAAAAGAAAAGATGATGCCGTATCACGAACTGAAGATGACAGGCTAACTACGTAGTCTATGCATATCTTCCTCAGCAGAATATACTCTGGTCTTGACAGGAGATTCAGGATTCAGGATGAGGAATTCTTAACCCGCGGTCAGGAACCTTTAGCCCAACACGCAGCCCTGAGGAATCCCTGATGAACGATAATAATAGGAACATTTATTGTGGAATTCCTGAGCGGGGTATTCTGTTTCGATCAATCAGAGAACAGCCTGAGCCCAAGTTCTGATCGCAGATAGTCTTATGCAAGGTGACGACTCACGAGTTCGCCCGTTTCCTGTCTGCTTATGCGCCCCGGTTCTTTACTACGCCACAATATATATCACCACTTTGAGGGCCAAAGCAGCGCTCAAGGCTATATGTGCGGTTGTATGATTTCTGTTGGGGCTAATCCAGGCCACTGAATGTTCGTAAATTTTGATATATTCGGATCATTATATCATAAGGTATCAAAAATGAACAAAATCCACAAGAGATTTCGTTCGTTTTACTGCTCCCAGGAAGTTCATCCGTGGGTCACAGTTCACTTCCTACTCGTTCGATATCGAATAAGTCGCATGGTATCATTATCCCAGTTTACTTCTTCTCAATGTTGGTGAAGCGCAGGTAACTATATGAAAGAATTAGCCATTGTTTCAAGTAGATAAGTATTTTGTGGGACTTACGGCTTGACGACGCGGACCTCGCCGAACTTCTTCTGAGCATCCTCGGTGGAGACAGGAGGAGGAATGACAACATCGTCACCAGGTAGCCAGTTGATGGGGGTGGTGACACCGTGCTTCTCGGTCGTCTGGAGGGCATCAATGACACGGAGAACCTCAGCGGTGTTGCGACCGGTGGAGGCAGGGTAGGTCATGATGAGGCGGATCTTCTTGGCGGGGTCGATGATGAAGACGGAACGGATGGTAAGAGCCATGCCTGCGGAGCAGTGATTAGGAAAAGCTCGATTGACAACATTCCGGAAGCCCACATACCCTTGGAGTCAACGTTGGTGGTGTCCTGGTAGTCAACCATGTCGTACTGGTAAGCAATCTTGCGCTCGGGGTCGGAGATGATGGGGAAGGTGAGCTTGGAGCCGGTGACCTCGTCGATATCCTTGATCCAGGCCTTGTGAGACTCAGTGCCGTTGGCGCTCTGCATAGAGTTAGATTTGAGCCAGTCGATACAGGCGTCACGGTTTTACTTACGAGACCGATCAGCTTGACACCACGAGCAGTGAACTCGGGCTCAAGCTTGGCGAAAGCACCAAGCTCGGTGGTGCAAATGGGGGTGAAGTCATCCTAAGACGGATCGCAAATTAGCAGGCGCTCCTTCTCTCTGTAACCGCGGCAATTGACGCATCGGGGCCACTTACAGGGTGGGAGAAGAGAATAGCCCAGCTGTTGCCGATGTAGTCGTGGAATGTGATGGGGCCGTTGGAGGTGTCGGTGGTGAAGTTGGGGGCAGTAGAGCCCAGACGGAGGCTTTGGCAAAGGCCCAGTCAGTATAATGCAACAAGTGTGCGTCTATGGAGGACTCACGGAGCAGCACGTTCTTCAGCCATTGTGGGAGTTTAGGAAGAGCTGTGGGTGGAGGAGTGTGTGAAATGTGGCAGGTGTTGGGATTGGAATTGAAGCAAAGAAAGGGAAGGAGAGGAGAAGAGGGAGCTTCTCGTATAATAATAAATAAGAGGACCCTGAGATGCCTCGATGCCCCTCGATGAGGTTACCCCTCCATCCATCCCCCTCGATCACGCAATCTACTGACCGCCTGCCTAGGCCGTATCGAATTCGCAAGATGACCCCACTTGAGCTCGACCTGGACGTCAGAGAACGGTTCGCGGGAGTAGTCGATCCAAAAACCCGGGGTGCAACTTCGGTTGAGCTCCTCCTTCATTGGATCGTGCCTCCAGCCAGATTCTTGAAAGTTGATCCTCTTGATACCCGGGATCTCAGGCCCTAAACCTCCATACCCCGGGTGCGTTTACCTTCTTATTTTGCCAGACTCTTTGCCGTACTTGTCTCTTTTCTCACCCGCACTTGTCGGCCGATTTCCAGTCGAGAGGAGCATGGCTCGGCCGACAGTTCGTATCTGGTGGCCAATGGAAATCACTGCCGATGGCGCAATATGTTCACGTCATCACCGAACAAGTTCATCAGCTAGAGAGAGCGGTCAAAATGGATGAGAAGAACCCAATTGTTTCGAAGAGAATAACTGCGGAAAGATCTGGCTGACGTCGGGTGCTAGAAGTGCAGAGCATGTATTGGCGGTTCATTACCTAGAGAGTTGACCAGTCCCAGGCTCAAACTCCTACAAAGTTGGTACCATTGCCTGGGCGCCATGACTCAGAGGATCCGTTCGCTCTGCAAATGGACCTTTGAGTGCCAAAAACGGAGCCTAGGATATCCTCTGACAGTCGAATCCTGAACATGGTCGAAAGTGCATTTGATCACTGGTTGTGCATGATTTCCTGAAAGTTGGTAAGCATAGGATCACTATCTAACTGCTTGAGCCACCTACGCTGGCAAACTTGCTTCGGGCGCGAATTCTGGGGCCGAAGAACACCAGCACCCAGGGTACGATTGTCAAAAGAACGCCCTGAAATGTGTCAGCCAGGCGAATAACAACACCGAAGAGGCTGCTTTACAATTCCTCCCAAAAGGCTGCAGGCGGCTGGATACCCCAAGTTGGTGAACATGGCATTTGTGACCAACGGAAAGACTCCTCCAAGGATGTTGCGGCCTAGAAACCATTAGCAATTAAGATCGAGTCGTTGATCAAGAGAGACAGACAGAAAGACTGCGCGGCAATAGCGGAGCTGGCGTATCGGTGGTACGTATCGGCGAGATAGTTGAAGGTTGCCAGGTATATAGACAAAATACCTATAGTCGAACATCCGATGGCAATAGTTGGAACGATCCAAGGAATTGATGAGTATGATGTCCATCCAAACCAGAACAAGCCCACTGGCATCAATATCGACTCGATACACGCGAAGTATAGTCGCCCTTCCGGTGTACTGGACATCTTTCCAAATCGTGCAGCCACACTCTCTTGGTTTACGCTTAGCACCGTGCCTATAATCGCAGCAATGGAGACCGCTGTGGATGGATGTCAGCAAGTATTGGCAACCCTTTCTAGCGGCCGACAGACCTGAGAATACTGCTCCGTTTTGCTCAACATTGAAACCGTGATTTGTTGAGAAGACAAGAGGTACTGCGCTGAACTTGAGGTAAAGAATCGCCCAGCTGAACGCAACCCAGAGTGAGAAGAAAAACACCACTGGCTCTGTGAAGAGAAGGTCTTGTGTATATGTTAGCCAGACGCAATTACAGGGCTGATGCTAAGGGTACTTACGAAATGGCCGATAGCATGAGATTGATATCATCTTAGCCAAAGACTCGCGCTCCTCATCGCTTTTGACCTTCCATCTGATCCGTTGGACTTGCTGCTTCTCGGACGCCTCACTCGAATCAAAGATCACGCCGTAATAGCCTGCCTCTTCGAGAGCATCATAGTACTTATTCAATGCTTTTGCCTTGCGGCTCAAAAGTACACTCCCACGAGTTTCGCTGAGGAAGAAGAAAAGTATGATCAAGAAAACTGCCGCGGCAATAGCCTGAGAATAATAGATCCATCGCCAGCTTGCTCGATGCTGGATAAAGCCGGAAATGAGTGGGCCTAGGCCTGTTCCGAAGAGGACGGACCCGGAAAAGTATGACATGGGAGTATTGCGGTCCCCAGCGTGATATATATCACTGATGACTCCCCCGACCATTGTTGAAAATGTAGCTGTGAAGGCAAAGCAAGTCAATAACGCTCCTGCAAAGTTGATGGGAATATAGTAAGCATACAGCCGCCGATTCCCAAGAAAAAACGTGCGACAAGTAAACCGGCAAAGGACTCTGTAGCTCCGCAACCGATCAGGCAGACTGCACCTTGTCAGCTTGACTATCTTCATGATGCGAATGGTACCCACCCGTGAAAACAACACCACTAGACACAAATATTGGCCTTCTGCCATTGATCTCTGAGAACGGAGCCAAGACCATTGGCGCAATCCCGAACCCGAGGCAAAAGAGCGTGATTCCCAGGTTGTAAACGACCCTGCTCACATTCCACTTGGCAGTGAGTTCATCAGCTGGAGGGGTATATTCTCCAGCAGCGTAGGCACTCATGGCAGTCACGCCGCAGGATATCCAGGTGATGACCGACTTTCGCGGCTCAGACCAAAGGAATGGCGAGGCATACTTCGAAAGATCTGGGCATGGCAGTGGAGCTGGCTGGCCGGGATGCGGGGAAGAAAGACCCACGGGCAGTGGTAACGGGGTATCAAAAGTGAGGTATAGATGTTCAACCGTCGTTTGTGGGTTGCCATCGCCCAGTGCGAGCTCTGCAGCTCGACTTCGATTCTCGACGACAGTTGTGACGTCGGAGTCGCTCTTGTCGTTGCTATCGGGGTTCTGTCCGATTGCTTGCGGAGAACCTTCCTGCGCGTAAACCATCACGGAATGCCACTGCGTCTATGGTCAAGAGAAAACAAGTCCAGGAGACTGGGGAGAAGTTATAGATGCCTCGGAGAGAAAGAGGAGAACCGAGAGATAGCCATCCTTCTCAGTTTCCAGCGAGGATCATACCTCAAACTGTCTCGCGGCTGCTAGGACCGGGTCCGGCAGACCTCGATCGTTCGCCATGTGGGGTTTGGGGACGGATGTTGGCGGAAATTCCGCTTCTGAGCATGAGAAGATAAGATGTTCGATTGGTTCTGGCTGAGCTTTGATAAGTCGGCAGCATGTAGTCAAAGCCTTGATATCGAATCGGAACGGACGCACCGGTGCCTCTGACGCTGAATGCGTGAAAGAAGCACCTGGGCAATGGACCTCGGCCGTCTCGGAGATGGCAGCTCTCTCCCCGATGTTCGATGGTAGTGCCGTGGCAGAATCGGCAGGATCAACATTTGCTGTTCTAGTCGTAGGCTTGACATAAGCATAAAAACCATGACTAGGAGTCTGAAAACAAGCTGCCTCGGACGAAATATCGAAATATCGACTCACTGTACCCTTCGTAGTACAAATCACGTGAATGATCGGCCAGGGCCACCGGCGCGCTAAGTCGCGTCTTGGGCCCGGGATTGAGCTCACTACTATGCGACGCTTTTTCTCGTTTCCCGACTCGACACAAACATATTCACAGTGGCTCGCGGTATCAATTGACTGTGAGTATCCGTATCCTACTCTGTCACCACTACGTTCCCAGTTCTTGGCAAGCAGATTTAGCGGTGGCCAAATTTAAAACTCATTTCCGGGTACGGACACTAACGCTTGTCATTCTATAGACGCGTTGGCTCTCCAGCTTTAATTTATCTGCAGACTCCTTTTCTTCTGACATATTATCTCCCTCGTCACTCGCCACTCGCTTCTCCTCTACCCACATCCTGCGCTTCTTCTCCTCAAGACCGCTCGGTTAAATCTCTCGCGTCCGTCACCATTTCGTTCCTCTCCTCAATCATGGCGCTCGGCAGGAAGCGCAAGTCAGAGAGCGTGTCAGCCGCTGGCGAAACCGAGACGCCTTCGAAGAGGGTACGTGTACTTATGACATTATCGTTACTATTCTCGATGGCAAGAGGCTAGGACTGCACGGCAATCATTGGACTGACTATAGAGGCCATTTTTCCCGACTACCGATTCCCTACACTTCATGTTATATGTCTACCTCTATGAAAGTCGCGTCGCGTGCTACCGCAGGACTATTGTACGAAGAACAAAAGCTAACATCTTTCCCGCTTACAGGTTGCTAAGGGCAGTGCTTCTACCCCTGCCACTCCCGCGACCCCCGCCACAGGAGAGAAGAGAGGCAGAGGGCGCCCTCGCAAATACCCCGTGGGCTCAACCCCTGTTCGCCCAGAAGGGCCCAAGAGAGGTCGCGGGCGTCCTCCCAAGGCAGCAACTGGCACAGGTATTCCTATTCTATAGCTTTCATCGTCATTTGTTTTTGCCATCTGGAATGTGCTTTCAACTTCTAACACAAATTAGCTACTCCAAAGGCGAAGGCAACACCCACGTCGAATACACCCGGCAGCAGCTCACGGGGTCGGGGAAGGCCGAAGAAATCTCCCGGCGCCAGTGACTCCACACCAGCTGCAGATGGAAACACCGACCAAAACACTGGACGTTCTTACTGGCTGATGAAAGCTGAACCTGAATCTCGCATTGAGAAAGGGAAGGACGTCAAGTTCTCTATCGATGATCTGCGCGCCGCAAAGGAGCCAGAGCCGTGGGATGGTGCGTTCTTGCAATGTGTAAATCAAGTGACTGAACTAATCTCTTATTAGGCGTCCGCAACCCCGTTGGTAAGAATCTTGAATGAGCGGCGGCTTATAAGGGTGGTACTAACATGAAATAGCACGGAAGCACATGCAATCTATGAAAAAGGGAGACCTTGCTTTCTTTTACCACTCCAATTGCAAGATTCCGGGTATTGCCGGTGTCATGGAAATTGTCCAAGAGCACTCTCCAGACGGTCAGTTTTCTTTTTGAGAAGTAGATCTGATAGCTGACCACTTGAATGAACAGAGTCCGCCTTCGACCCGTCCCATCCCTACTATGACGAGAAATCCAAGCGTGAGGACCCAAAGTGGTTTGTGGTTCACGTTGAGTTCCGGCGCAAGTTCGATGAGTTGATCACGCTGCAACAACTCAAGTCTCACTCCAGTGCCAAAGCACCTCTTGAGAACCTGCAGATGCTCAAGCAGGGACGACTCAGCGTCTCGGCTGTGACTCCAAGTCAATGGGATTTCATTATGAGCCTAGTCAAAGAAGGAGATAAGACCGGGTCGGCAGACGATTCCTCCAAGGAAAACGAACCCGGCAAGGAGAATGAATCCGCAAAAGAGGACGAAGGCGCGGAGAAGACAGCAGAGGCTGCTGAGTGAAGGTAATCTAATGGGACATTAATATATTTCATGGTATCTCGGGATCTGAATCTCGTTGACTGACAGCCGGCATGGGTATTTTCTTTATCTATGTATAATCAGACTTTCGCCTTTTTATGCTAATGCTGTTGTATTTCACCCTGTTCCTAAAAGTAACTCTTCTCATCTGACAAACTCCTGTCCACCAGACATAGCAAGCGAGGTGGAGATGGGGCCGAAGGCTTCAGTGTACGAACCCTTGAAGAGTGCTTGGCCATCAACAACTTGGTAATGTCATCTCCATCGTCCAGGCTTGAAGTGAAGCTTCGTGAGCCTCAATTGATATTATTAATTACCATTGCTCCTCAAGTTCCCCAGAAGAGCAAGTCTATCCGAAGAGGGGCCGCCAAGCCCCGCAGCATCCAGTGGGCGAGATCCTTATCTTTTTTATCGCATAACATCACTACTTGCAGCACCAAGCTCTCCAACTTGTCCTCGCCTCCCCCTCTTCTCTCCTCCTCCCCGCCCTATATGTCCTTTCTTTCATCCTTTTCTCCTCGACTCCGTCTTTGTGGACTTCGCACCTTCTCTGTTATATCTCCTGGACGGCAGTTCCATCCCTCATTAACCATGTCCACCACCATTAGCTTGACAGCCCCCAATGGGCACAAGTACGATCAGCCTATTGGCCTTTTCATAAACAACGAATTTGTTGCGTCAAAGTCCGGCGAGAAGTTTGCCACCATCAACCCTAGGTATGTAGCTAGTAGCGACCCGTGGCCATAGCCTTGAACTAATGCATGGAACAGTGACGAGTCAGAAATCACACAAGTATACGCTGCCGGAGAAGAAGATGTCGATATCGCAGTCAAGGCAGCTCGCAAGGCGCTCAAGGATCCCTCATGGAAGCTCCTTCCCGCAACAGACCGAGGCAACCTGATGCTCAAGTTGGCTGACCTCATTGATCAAAACAAGGAAACCTTGGCCACCATTGAGACATGGGACAACGGTACGCAAAGGCCGCCCAGTCACCCCTCAACTGATATCTGACCTGCCTAGGTAAACCCTACTCGGTTTCTCTGAACGATGATCTTTCAGAGGTCGTCAACACCATTCGCTACTGTGCAGGGTGGGCCGATAAGATTCACGGGCAGACCATTAGCACAACGCCGGCCAAGTTTGCATACACTCTGCGCCAGCCTATCGGTGTCGTTGGCCAAATTATCCCATGGAACTTCCCTCTGGCTATGGCTGCATGGAAGCTGGGACCGGCTTTGGCCTGCGGCAACACTGTTGTTCTGAAACCTGCAGAGCAGACTCCTCTTAGTATCTTGTACCTTGCCAACTTCATCAAGGAAGCCGGTTTCCCTCCCGGTGTTGTAAACATCGTGAACGGTCTTGGAAGAGTGGCAGGGACGTCATTAGTTACCCACCCCGACGTGGATAAGGTTGCTTTTACTGGTTCGACTATGACTGGTAGGGAGATTATGAAGATGGCAGCCGGAACCATGAAGAATGTCACACTGGAGACCGGCGGCAAATCGCCTCTACTTGTTTTCGACGATGCAGACCTCGAGCAGGCGGCCAAGTGGGCACACATTGGTATCATGTACAACCAAGGGCAAGTGTGCACGGCCACTTCGCGTATCCTCGTGCACGAGCGAGTTCACGATGAATTCGTCAAGCTCTTCCGCGAGGCCGTGGCCACTACCAGCAAGGTCGGAGATCCATTTGCCGATGACACATTCCAGGGCCCCCAAGTCACCAAGGCTCAGTACGAGCGCGTCCTTTCATACATCGAGAGTGGCAAGCAGGAGGGCGCTACCTTGGTTGACGGCGGTGTCCCATACAAGGACGTCAAGGACGGCAAGGGCTTCTACATTGCGCCTACAATTTTCACCAACGTCAAGGACGACATGCGCATCTACCGCGAGGAAGTGTTCGGACCGTTCGTCGCTATCGGCAAGTTCTCCACTGAGGATGAGGCCGTTAGCCGCGCCAACGACACCACCTACGGATTGGGAGCTGCCGTCTTCACCAAGGACATTGAGCGGGCCCACCGAGTTGCATCTGAGATCGAAGCTGGTATGGTCTGGATCAACAGCAGCAACGACAGCGACTTCCGTGTGCCCTTTGGAGGTGTCAAGCAGAGTGGTATCGGCCGTGAACTCGGTGAAGCTGGTCTGGAAGCGTACACACAGGTCAAGGCTGTGCACGTCAACATGGGAACCAAGCTGTAGGCTGCCCCCGACTCACGCGGTATATCCCGATAAAATAAATATATATGATGCAATGTATTATGCCGTGGATTGGAAAGAACCAACCAGCACTTCAGTTCCTCATCTTCAGTAGACGTACGGAGTAGAAAGCTAGCTAGCTAGCTAGCCATACATGACCTGCGACATCGTTTCGTCCACGGCACGCGAGCGTACCCCTTGCCATCTGTACGTATGCGACAGTCTTCCCTATCACATCTTGACCGGAGTACTTACGCGAACCATAGAGGGTCTTCATTTCCGGATTTGTGTATGCTTTCCTGATGACGAATGCACAGCATAGTTAATCCCCTCTACCACCATAAATCCGCGACAGGTGAGAGATAAGACGCCAATGGTGATCTTGCTCTAATACCTGTGGCACCCTCTCTCCCTTGGTTTTACTCTTACCATGCGCTGCACCTACTGAATTCTACAAGCTATATAGGGCACTGTCGAGGCTTGCTAGGGATGAATCAAAGGGTCAGGCCTGATCCTTTAAACGGGGATGATCCGTACTTCCCTACACAGCGCCCATGATTCTACGAATCGAGACGATCCGGCGTCGAACCTACTGTGGTACTAGTAACTCAGCACTCGATAGAGACGGGGTAGTGCTGATTGTTAAGGGGACTCGCCCGGTCTGATTCGTTAAAACCCTTGCTCACGGAGGACCTAGACCAGGTTGGAGCCCCAGTTTGATATCGAAGCTACCCCCTGCACTTCGTATAGCCTCACCTTTTCCAGATGCACGTCTGGCTTTGCGACCCTTGATGCATGTTTCGACAAGGGTGTCGCAACAGCCGGCAGCCATCGATATGCGCAACTGGCCACACGACCCGCTAACTCTCAGGAGCATGTCAGAAGACGGATAGGAAGTCCGTTTGCCATGTGCAGGGGCTTTTTTCTCTATATCCACTCGCCTGTCTTTCCAGACATTTCGGCATCCTTTCTTAATGGTCTTCTCTACCAAACAAACTAGTCTACGTTCGTGACTGTTCTTCAGCATGGGTATCCCAGTAGGTGCGCCCGCCACTATGCAAACACGTCTACCTAATGGCCCTGGGAATTGGGTAGCTGGATGAGTATGGAATAGATATGCGATCTGACGCCTTGTTCACAGGTTTGCTGCACGGGCAAGGTTGAAGGGAGGCTTGCGCGATTGTAATTGCTAAGGAAGGATCTAGGGCGTTGTTTGCGTCCGTCCATTGGTGTGATGAATTGTTTCCCACGTTGCCCTCGAGTCTGAAGACCTGCAAGCGAGAATTAGCGATTAGATAGTGCTGGGCGGATTCTAAACAAGCCCAGCTGCCTCATTAGGCACGCAGTCCACCCAAGGGAGCAAGCACGCGCAGTTCGACATCCAATGGCCCACTGGGCTGCAATGCTCACCCTAACCATGCGCCAATATGCACGTAATCACGGCCCCAGTTGCAGCCCTAACTTAGGTGCTGGAGTGCTGACAATCTCACCCTTCTCTTCGACGTGCAGGTCGAAGTGTCAGAGCTGAGATGAGGGAGCAGGCCGAGCGCTTAATTTCTTTGAATAAGGGCTGGGTGGCGCATGTTTGAATGATGTCGTGGCGTGTCTGTGCCGAATAGTCCGGCTTATTGCTACCTGATGGCTTATGACTGATGTATCGACTCCGAGCTCAAGGCAAGTGACAGGGGGGAGTGCGGATGTTTATACATCAAACTTCATGAAATGTAGAGAGCGACCTCGTCTGGACCAGAGACAAAGTCTGAGGCGTGCGGGCCCATACCGGAATTTCCAAGCTCTTGTCGTCGGAGGTGTACCTAAGTAGGGAGGTACATGTACTTTGCTTTTGCGGAGTGAGACACCAAAAAGGAGGTACCAGGTACACCTGGAAGAGGGTGCCCGAGCGTCGTAACAAATAATTGGCGATACCGTACGCGTATTGTCGATACCGAATGTTACCGAGGACAGGGCATGGTTACTAGCGGCGTGTGAGAAAGGAGCTTTAGCTGCATGTCCAGCCCATGTAAGATATGTTGTCATGCATGAAGAAACGATCATGTGAGCGTGATTCTGTGCGTCCATGCCCAAGGGATTTAAATTGGATGCGCGGCAGCCCGGCAGCCTGCTGCAATGCTGCGGGAGACATCGCATTGCTGAGTTCAGATGGGCTCCAAGGTAAGTCTTGGTCAGATCGAAGGATAAAAAACTCAGTAATAAAACAAGAACTTGAATAAAACAGATCGGACGTTTTAGCTTTACTCTCACCGCATTTTCCGCGTACTCAGTACGCTAGATCCAGTCAGGGGAAGGCAAAACCGACTTTGTTGGTGACGGCGTCGGTGACTCGGTGACATGAGGTGGAACATACGTATCTAGGGTCGAGAATCTGAATCGCCATCTGCGAGCCTGTTTGCCTCCTGCAGGTACTCTTGCTCCCCGAAAACTGCCTGCCCAAACGTGATGCATCATGGTTATGCATGAAGGTTGAGTTGGCGGCCCGCTTGGTCCGTTGGTCCGTGAGTCCGTGACCTGATGGCCCGGCTGCTTGGCCCACTATCACTGATTCACTGGCCATCCCTTGCTGATTTGGTGGATGATGAGCAGCCTGGCGATCACCCCAAAGCGATGGAAAAGATGAAGCTTGCCTTTATCTCTTTCTGGGGATTGCTCGAGCCATGCTTGACCGCTTGATTCGTATGGAGTACCGTTGTCAGGAAAGCATTGCCAAGTTCGTCCCGAGTAAGTCAACCGCACGTCGCTGAAGAAGCACAATGGGGAGCAAGAGTCATTGAACAACAAAATACTACGCAGCCGGCTTCTTGTTCGCAATGATTGTTTGCTTTTTCCTTTGCTCAATCTCGCCGATCGGGAGGCAGACACAGGCCTCACGAGGGGCCGGAGAACTGGTGATCAATGCAGAAGTAAATGCAGTTGAACGGATGTATGTCAGAAGGCTCGATTCCAACTGGTAGACGAATCTTACACAAAGTCCGGCAGGTTGGGGCCCCGGCCGATGTGCCGTGTCACATCCATGGGACAGACGATGTCAGATTCAGGGACCGACGGCAGCAAAGACGCGGTTCAGCGATGGATTCCGCCGGTCGGATGAAATCCTATTTGCTCTCCGCCTCCTCCACTGTTGCTCCTTAACAGGAAAAAGTGAGGTGCTGGAGCAGCTGGACGTGAAGTGCGTCATAGCAGCCTGCGACGGAGATTCGATGGAATCGATGCATCGAAGACTCGCAGAGACGCCGTGGACGACCGAGCAAACGTGTAGGCATTACTCCATAACTTAAATGTTCCAGATTTGATATTATGAAGGGGTATAGATATACGTTTCGACGTTTCGACACGTTTGAGGCGATTGCTTATGTGCATGACTGGTGATACGTCTAGAGCTCGAGGACCTCAAGGCTCACGAAGCATAGATATTCCTCTCGATGTGGAGCCGAGTAACATTCCGAATAATTTCGATGGGGAATAACACGATTCCTTTGGCGGGAAAATAATGTCAGCGCCTATACTCTGTACGGGACCTTCGGGAGTACATGAATGGATCTGGATGTAGCTTACCAGAAAGAGTACAGCGCGACATGGACTCGATCGTCCAGGTCACGTCTCAATTTCTCAACAATCAAGTTTCAACAAGGCTATATTATTTTGGAAGGGGGGGAAACTTGGCCCGAAAGCCGTCTGGAGTATCTACTCCGGAATGGACGGAGCATGACTATAAGACTGAAGAGGTAAACAGAGGCAGAGACCAAGAGTCATGTGGTGGGGCTTGGCGCTTTCCGAATCGGCCACGGCTCCAACTCCAACTGCCGACCACCGGCGGAGTTTCATCTTGCTGCCTCGCTGGACCATTTAGTCGAGTTGGTTGACTGATCAGTGATCGCCAGTCCTACGTTTACGTCCATCGCTCTAGTCAATCCGGAGCGGTCTCATCGAGCTCTTACTATTAGCCCAAACAGAAGCGGGATCACCAATGTCTTCAATGCAAAAGTGGACGGTCTCTGAGGTACGAGCCTGGATCCCTTATCTCGTTGGCCGTGGCCCATTGCACCGGTCATGGAATCTCACATCTCTTACCGCTAGCCGTACCTCCCAATTTCCGGGACCTTGCTCGAGGGGCCATTCTACGACAAAAGTAGGAATGAGTTTCGCTTCGTCGATATCTGGGAGCAGAAGCTGTATGCCATGGACCTTGCTGAGGGGCCAGAGTCCCTGAGGGTCCTCGATACGTCCGAGGCCATCGGGTGGGTGTTATGTGACGATTCATCTCTTCAGGCCAGCCAGAAAGCTAACACCGAAACTCAGGATGACCGCGAACATTGCAAGCGTTAGCGAGAGCCAAAAGGAACATATAATTGCGGCCGCTAAGCACGGGTTTGCTCTCGTCAACCGCAATACCGGCGAGCTATCGTACATCGCTCGCCCTTGGGATGAACCAGATAAGCTCAAAAGGTGAGCTCGACAGTCCTTACGTACCCGAAAATGTCCCTGGCTAATCTAGTAGGATGCGCTTCAATGATGGGGCGGTTGACAGTAAAGGCCGTCTATGGGCAGGAGCGATGAATGACCCTAAGATTAAAAGTCCAACCAATGAAGGGGTCCTCTTTCGGCTGGACCCTGACCTGAAACTGAATCATATGGTTGAGCAGTTGACGATACCAAACGGCATCGGCTGGAATCTTGCCAATGACACTATGTACTTGACGGATTCCCCAACTGGTAGGATCTTTGCCTTTGACTTCGACGAGAGCACCGGCGAGATAAGTAACAGGAGGGTTCATTTCGACCTCGGGGAACCGAAAGAGCCTGACGGATTTGCCATCGATACCGAAGGGTGTATCTGGAGCGCAATCTACGGGGCGGGCAAGGTAATCCGCATTGACACCGAAGGGAAAGTCATTGGCGAGATATCGCTCCCCACCAGGAATATCACCTGTCCAGCCTTTGTGGGCACAGAGCTCTTCATAACAACTGCCAAGGACGATACCAACGACGAGCAATTCCCCGAGTCAGTCCGGTACGGAGGCCATATCTACAAAGTCGATGTGGGAATTGGGGGACAACCAAGACATGAGTTTATTATCGATAAATGACCGCTTCTCGTGTGTATGAGCGAGACTGAGTGCTCTTGGTATACGATCAAGTTTGATCATTGGGACATCACCAAATGAAACTGTGCCCTTGGACCTTAAAGCGAGATCCCTAAGACCGCGGCCCCCCCTAGATGACGAAGGATTCCCCGCTGCCCCTGAACGTTTGTTTTTTCATGAACAAACAGCCACGCGTATATCTTTTAGCACCTGAAGCCGATTCAATAGTTCTTTGATCTAGGGATCTTACTCGAGAGCTGTGTAACGACCTTCAAAAGGGGTACCGGGTAAGGATGAGGGCGGCTGAAGTACAGTTTCGCTGAGACCATCATCATCATCAGCTCCCGCTCTGCAAGGAACGCTTTAGGGCATACAGAGTCTGAGAGTATTCTTCTCAAGTCTATTTAAAGCCTAAGCTGATCTCCGTACCACTGAAGTTGGTCGTATCGCAGCTGCAGAGTCTCCACTCCTGGCCAGTCCGCCGATCTTCACAAGAGAAAGAAGTACGGACAAAAGTACTTCTTCATCTCATCCGTACGACCCACGCTTGTGTACCTTGGAGAAAGTACTACAGCCACACGGCTATACTTATCGGCGCGCAGGCTACTGTACGTGTTGCTGGCAGCCGGGTATATGGATATAAGATCTGTGCAGCGCATCGGCACGAACATGTGTCAAGAATGGAGGAACAATGTTATTTATCCTCTTCGAAATTCCTGCGGTCGCGTTTGACTCGGACTTTGTGTGATATCAAATGCATCGGTTACCGGGATCGCTCCCTCACTAAGGGATGCAATGTTCCTGCCTTGTCTAAGCTAATCTAATCTACACCAGAATTTACCTAGACCGAACAACGAGCCTGAAGAAGACGGCGTGCATAATGCAGCCGAGTCATCAGTATCGAATCCCTTCAGACTCCGTGCATAATTAACCTAATCTGGAAGCGTATCATCAACAAACCTAATAAGTGACGATCCTCTTCCGTTCATTTGTCCTGTTTACACCTCACACTCTAGATAAAGTGCTTGCTACATGGATCAGATGCCACTTCACAACGGCGTATCGAGCGCTTAACTCGGCATCCAGATCAATAATCCCATCTAACAAGAAGGAGTGACCCCAATTTTACAAGGGGGCGGCTACAGCGGCACTAAGGATGGGGCCCTGTGGGCAATGCAAGGCCAACCATGCCACGCAGGCGATCAATCCGATTGAGATCGAAAGGAACGATTGCCAATGGCCGCGAGTGACTAAATATCACTCCCAAAAGTACACCAACTCGTTGTGAGTGGACACTGCATTGAGACCCGTGAACCAAAACATTCGGAAGTCTGCCAATCGTAGAAAATCCCTCGGCAACAGCGCCAAATAATGCAACTCTTTTCTCACCCATTATTCCACCATATTCCCTCTTCTAGATTCCTGTTGGACTTCGCAAGCCATTTCCGAAGCAGGGTCGGCAAAGAGAGCGCATTTCGGAGTTTAACCGTTTTTATGGCCAGACTCGAGGCCGCTGGGACCTTTTTTTTTCATGGCAACCGGGAACCGACAATCCCGACAATGGCTTGCTTTTCATGCCCGCTACCGGTAGATCAACTGGAATCTACCAGACTACCAGCTATTTAGGAGGTGTTATGCCAGCTGAGACGCCTCTAAGGGAATTCCCAATTCATTCAGGCCCAACATGTCATGTCTCAGAAGCTGCAAGACAATCCACCGTCGTCATGTGCTCCAGGGCTATCGCTTAATGTACCACTGCAACTGACCATAGTGCGGAGCTATCGGCGAGAATGCGGAGTCTCGGTAGATGAAGTATATACATATCGGCAAGCATAGCGTCTGCAATGCGTGTACCAATCAGCCTTGGTACATTTTTGTCTTGTCCAGGGTCCTTGTGTCTCGGAAGACTTCGACTCAGGGTACTTTTCGGAGTCTTCTTTTCAACAATGCAGTTGGCGGATATTGGCTAGCGTGAATAAAATTCTGAAACAACAGGCTCACACCACTCATGCCTATAATGTCTATTGACGAATCGGTGCGCCCAGTCCTCCGCAGACGTACGGTGTGGTAGGGTACCATCGTTACTTTGCGGGGAAAGAGAAGTCAAACTGGAAGACTTCATCGAGTCAAATGCTACTGCCAACATATTCCGTATGCCATAACACCACACCGCAGGAATCTTTGGTCTCGTCTGTTGTCCCAACAAAACTTGAACAAAATATTCAGATGCATGAGTCCGTGAAGGACGAGATTACAGTGCACACGGTAGCCTTAAGATGCTGAATGCTGACTCGCCTGTTCCAGGACGTCTAGCTCCAGCAACACCTGCATAATTGAGGCCTTTTCATTGCCTGAACCCAGGAGTGAGACTTTCATATCCCATTGCAAAGGAAAAAGCTTCCACTGTTGGAGGTACCAAGGGCCCCGGTCTACTATGAATAAGCATTGTTGCCTCTTTACAGTTATGCTAACGATTCCTCGTGCTATGCAGGGATCTGTTCTAGGACATAACATAAAGTAAGGCAGCGGCCTTGAAGGCCATTGGCAACGTTTTGAGCGGCATCCTGCATATCCTCCCGGTATCTGCGAAAACCTTAATGCCAATTTTGAGTTCTTTAAACCTTTGAACCGCGTGCAAGTCAATATACGGAGTAGATGGCCGATATCGCCTTGTAAACCTTATTGCTTCTCCGCTTGATGCCCAAGCATGAAACAGAAAGGCGCTCTCGATCAAGAAGTATGGCCCCCTTTGTCATCCTGGACCTGAACAAATCGCCGACTACTCGGCTTTATCTGCTTGAGAGTTCTGTCCCACAACAAATCACGATCCGGGAGTCAAGCATGAATCCTGCGGCCCCCGCCGGGTAGCGAGTTCTGAGATTCGCTCCGCCGGCAAATGGACGGACTGGCACCAATGGCATTCCAGTGACCCTAGTAAAGACTGGAACGGGCCCGTCTTATGATATAGAGCTTGGCCGCGGGACATTCAGATTGACCCGATAGGGCGAGAATGTGTGAGTGACGATCAATCACAGAAAGAGTCTGAACTCTGGCTTAGATTCAGCCGAACTGGAGATAGACGGCGCCAACCTTCCCAGTCAAGGAAGCACCACGATCCTCGGTGTCACCCACACTTATGCAAAACATCATGAAAGCCGAGCCATACATGTTTCGAGCGGTAGGGACCCTAGCCTTGACTGGACTCCAATTAAGGTCTCGCCTGGTGCGGAGTTGAGCGCATAGGCCGAGAGTACTTCGCCGAGGAATCCCCCCAGGATTTCACTGAAAAAAAAGTAGACCAGTTGCAAGCGCGTATAACGGAGCTTCGATCAGTATCCAAAGCATGTCTTGAAAAGTTAGGATTTCAATTTGGTTTTCAGTTTCTTTTCTTTTTCTCGGGGACCTGAATGCGCCTCACCGGGTCTCTGGATTCCATTTCCCATGTCGCTTCTAGCGGGAGCCGACGAAACTGATAGATAGGCCTCTTTTCTACTTACTTCGAGCCGCGGAATTCTATGGACGAAGCAATTGTCGATAATTTGTGGACAGGGAAGCCAAGTGACTCGACGCTCGAATGCTGAGCCGATTCGGGTTTCAGGGGGCGGATTAGACTACCAGGTCCCAGGTCCCAGCGGGGAGTCACCACACCATCACTTGCCATCAGCGAGCAATTGCCAATAATAACGAGTCGAAGATCAGCCTTGTGATGGGCCGCGGAGAGAAAGCTCACCCCGACGGACTGTTCTAGGGAGGGCCCGCCATCCTGGAGCTTTGGGGCCAGGCCGCCAGTATAGTAGTGGTATGATGCTATCGCGAGTTCTCGAACACGGCTTGGAAGCTCGCAACGGTACGGTACTTCTGTCGGCGGTTCGGGTATGACAAGAGCGGTAAGCAGCCGGTCGTCGATAAATAAGATGCTTGATAGGGATGCTGGGCCTTTTAGGCGTGGGAGTCCACCGTGAGGCTTCCTGGTACGACTAACAGTAACCGCCGAGCAGCTCGTAGTGACGTGCAGGGCCAACTGTCCATTCAGGACTGCATGGGGAAAAGCATCCAATCCTTGGAGACTGCGGCCTCCACTTAGCTATTTCCGACAACCATGGTGACGGGCGCTGACGGCGCCTCTTAGGTGCTCCGGGTCGCTCACGATATTTCCCCAGCCCCATCGGGCCCCATGCCCCTGCTAGTTGCCTCTTAGTGCTGGCGCTAGGTTGCTGCTCAAGAAATTCCTGGTCGGCGACCAATGGGACCTCCGCCACGGGTGCAACACTCGATGAGCGCCCTCAAGCATGTCATAATAACACGCCGATGCGAAATGCTCGAAACAAACAAGTCACTTGCGTCACGTCCCCCAGAGCCGATACACGTTTTCTGCCCAATCGAGGTCTGATATCCCGTCTCAGACGCTTTGCTTTGTCTTGGGGAAACACAGCCTGCTTCCTCCCACTTCCCTTCAGGGCGAGGCACAGCGTTAGCCATAGCAAATGGTACAAAAGGACGTGTCTGAGCCTGCTTGGCTGGCGGGCAGGTCGATCCTGGCCTCGAGGGAGAAAACCGTTGAATCTCCTCGTGAGCCACGTCCAACACGTGTATCTTCAGTACCGTACTGTACGGACTGGTATGTGACATGCTTGCTTTTTCATTTTTTCATTTGGCTTCGATATTTGAATATTATTATTTTAATTTATTTTGTCCAAGTGAAATGCTCTTTTCTCTGCTCTATGATGGTTCATCCAATACCTCACCCTTCACACCGCTGGATGTGATCCTCAACAGACAAACTTCCCTAATGGCTCACGATCATCCTGTTGACTTCGCTGCCTCTGGTGTCGCTGTGTAGATTCTTAAACCCATATCCTCCCTGTCCTGCTTCTGACCGCATTTGGCCTGTATCCCTTCCTCTTCTCCTCTCTGTATATTCATATTCATCATCAACATCTCTACTCCTTCGTCTCTTGTCTTCTCCCCTCTGTTTCATACTCTGTTATATTACAATCCTTCGCGCATATCCCTCACTCTTAATAAACTTTGCCTTCCTCGTAGTACGACTGGCGAGTGTGCTGTCCTTGCTACCCAACAACACACGACACCAAAGGGGAAATCCGGAATCAAGGGCAGCGTCATCCATCATCTGCCTCCTTCGCCTTCTCTCCCTCGCCTTCCGTCTCTACCCTTCACCGTGGCTACCCTTGGGATCAGCGTGTTGAACTCCCCCTCTTACTCCTCCCATCACCCGGTGCATTCACGCCGATATCATTCGCTGTCTGACTACCACCTGAACCAATCCGCCACCGGCTCCCTCTCTCGTCCTCCTCCCCACGAGTCTTCTTCGGCTCTTCCGGAGCGAGGGGGACCCCCGCTATGCCCCGGGTTTTCTCTGCGGCATTCTACTGAAAGCAACGCGGAGCATATGTCGAAGATCCCCGCGGTTTCAGGCCCCTCGCCAACCGATGCATATTCGCTAGAACGCCGCGGCTCGCTCGAACGGAAGAGACGTCATGCAGATGAGGACGACTCGTCTCCCACCACTGAGCGTCGTGACTCTCTGCGCTCTCGGCCGCTTCCCTGGCATCCGTCTGCGCCTGTAGAGCCACCGTACTCTTCGCAACATCGTTCGATAGGAGTCACGTCGATCCTGAATCCGTCCGCAACAGAAGGAGCTGGTACCAGGACGGCGTCTGTAGACGGCGGCCGCGAGGGTCTTGGTGAGAGGCTGTCGTTAGACCCGCCGTCTCATGCTCGATTTTCTCCCTCGTCAATGCATCTCCCCTCTCCTTCCATGCACTCACCAAACCTTCCACTACTGCCGTCTGGGATGAGAAGTCACCAGGGCGTCTCGCCTGTTTCGCCTTCAGCTCGATTCCCCGGGGCAACAGGATACTTCCCTCCGAAACCTGCTCCTGGTCAAACTCCGCTGGCTCAGCAGCTGCCTCGACTACACACGGTAGCTCCTAGCTCCCCTTTACCAATGATAGAGACTGGACATCCCACGCCCCTATCTGCTCATCACCACCAGCTTCCTACACACTTGACATCGACGTTTGCCAGCCATCGAGCGAGTACGAACCATACCCCCACTCCTAGCTCCAAAGAGCCCAGTCCAACCACGCCTGTGTCCGTTCTCAGTCCACTGGGCCGGTCATCGCCGGCTCTTGCTGCAGGCCCTGGCCAGCCAGCTCCGGGTTACATGAACATTGCTCCATACGCGCAGAGGGATCCCACCACTGGGGTAGTGATAGAGGCAGGAAATGTGGCACCTCCAGGAAAGATAGTTTGTTTTGTTGACCTCAAATCGGGCTCCGCTGCCCAAGCAGAGAAGCGCAGGGCAAACAGTGGGGCGTCGAGAAGATTCCGTAACAGGAAACGCGAGGACCAACAGAAAATCGCCGAACTAGAGGAAGAGAAACGGAAGCTGTCGCAAGAGCTTCGGATGACCGTCGAACAGCGGGATTTCTATCGCTCCGAGAGGGATTACTTCCGAGACGAGGCATCTCGCTTTGCCCAACTCCCTGTCCGACCAACATCTCCCCCGCTGCTATGCCCCAAAGCATCAGCCAGGGCGGACGTCAAGGCTGAAAAAGCAGCAACCGACGCGTCGTCCCACCAACGTACATCTGGACCGATCGCGCCCGCACCGATGCCTGCGTTGACCTGGACCGCCCCATCGTCATATTCAACTGGACAGCCGGAACGCACTGCATTGGACAAGCAACAAGCTAGACCAATACCTCGGACGCCGGGAGCGTGGAGCCGTACGACTTAATAAGAGGACAGAAGGCAGGACGTGACGGGCTGTGTCAGGACCCAGCCCCGATGGGATAGTTATGAGAGTGCGGGTGTTTGGAGTCGATCTCGCCTCTACCACCATTCAGATTCTTGTTCCATCTGCACTGGTAAGGCCTGGAACTTACTGATAAGTACTTGATACGTGTTTTCCTTTCCTAAGCGAGGAATCATACTGCATTGAAGGATCATAGGGGCATTACATGGTGGCTTATGTCGTTTTCCCCCTTACAACGCTGGCGCATCTTCCTCTGTCCTTATCATATCCATATACGATTAAACCAATTCTGTTTACTTTAGCAGACATTGATCGATTTGACGGGAGGTTTTGTTTCTTGACGGGTGCTGGTTGGCGTTTGGTTTGGTGTCTGCGTTGTGCCATTGTACTCTGAAAACAAACATCATCTCTTGAGGCCTCAGCTTCGGCTTCGGCTGGCTTGATAATTAGACTGTATATTATTATGAATAGAAATTGCTTGTAATTGCTTATTTGACAAGTATACGGAGACGACGGCCTAGCGCAACCTGAGGCAGCCAACCGCTGGCGCAGGATGGCCACGTGCATTGCACCTCAGCCTATCATCCTCCTGACATCGTCCTTGCGTGTCGTGTCTGACAACGTCGTCTCCACGCTGCACACATAATGGGCCGAAACATTCCTCCTTCATCCCGCTCCATCGCAGACGGGTTGCTCTGCTACCTACTCCGATAGCGGACCAAACTAGACACCGGCACCGTTGATCCACGCTATCCCAGGAGATGCAATTGAGCCGACCATGAAGGGGCTACAGCCGGTACTTAAATACGGCCGCCCAGTTCGGGGGCCGGGGGTGAGGAGGAACAGGCTCACAGTCGTCTTGGCCATGGCTTTCTTCTCGATTTCGCTTTCGCTCTACTACCTGCTGTCGGGGTGAGAATGAGATTCATCCAACCGTTCGTTCTTTCCCAGGTTGATGCTTACCTTTTCTAGCGTCTCTGCTCAAGCCCCGGGAGTCCAGAACCAGTCATGCAACTCGGTCAATGGCGGGTATCAGTGCTTCCCGCAGATCTCGCACCTCTGGGGCCAGTACTCGCCGTACTTCTCGCTTGCGCAGGAGTCGGTTATCTCCCCGGACGTCCCTCGTGGCTGTGAGGTTACCTTTGCGCAGGTGCTCTCGCGGCATGGGGCGCGGTACCCGTCTGAGTCGAAGTCCGCGGCGTATCAGGAGTTGATTGAGGGTATTCAGAGGAACGCCACGTCGTTCTCGGGCAAGTATGCTTTCCTGAATGAATATAACTATACCCTGGGCTCGGAGGACTTGACGACATTTGGCGAGGACCAGATGGTTGATTCGGGTGCCAAGTTCTATCGACGGTATAAGAATCTGGCGAGGGAGATTACTCCTTTCATCAGAGCGTCCGGGTCTGATCGTGTTGTTGCTTCAGCGGAGAAGTTCATTGATGGGTTCTTGAACGCGAAGCGCCATGATCATGGCTTTGAGGCGGCCGCTCCAGTCGTCAATGTGGTTATTCCTGAGACTCAAGGGTTCAATAACACGTTGGATCATAACACCTGCACGTCGTTCGAGAATGACAAACGGGCTGATGAGATTGAAGCGAACTTCACGGCGATTATTGGACCTCCTATTCGCAGGCGTCTAGAAAAGGATCTGCCTGGCATAGAAATCGCGGATAAAGCTGTCAAATATCTTATGGATATGTGTTCCTTCGACACCATGGCGCGCACTCCCCACGGAACCGAGCTGTCACCCTTCTGCGCCCTCTTCACTGAGAAGGAATGGGTGCAGTACGATTACCTGCAATCGCTGTCGAAGTACTACGGCTACGGCGCTGGTAGCCCCCTTGGTCCAGCCCAGGGAATTGGTTTCACCAACGAGCTGATTGCCCGACTGACACAGACGCCTGTCCAGGACGATACGACCACCAACCATACGCTGGACTCAAACCCAGCCACGTTCCCGCTTGACAAAAGTCTGTACGCTGATTTCTCTCACGACAACAGTATGATCTCAATCTTCTTCGCGATGGGTTTGTATAATGGCACCCATCCGCTGTCCATAGACTCTGTGGAGTCGGTTGAAGAGATGGACGGCTATGCGGCGTCTTGGACTGTCCCGTTCGGTGCCAGGGCATACTTTGAAGTGATGGAATGCAAGAAGCAGCAAGAGCCGCTTGTGCGTGTCTTGGTGAATGATCGTGTGGTCCCTCTTCATGGCTGCAAGGTTGACAAACTCGGACGATGCACATTGGATGACTGGGTGCAAGGGTTGAGCTTTGCGAGGACTGGTGGAAACTGGAAGACTTGTTATGCTTCTTAGTTCTGGTGCTTTACTATCATTCTTATGCGGGAAAGGAAAAGTTAAGTGGGATGGGACTGTTTGTTTCTTTATCATTAACAGTGTTACATGTTTGTTTGTTCTTTCAGGCTTGCGTGATGTCAATATCAGCGCAGTCACTGTTTACAATTCCCGCAAATGTGCGCACTTATGTCTTCGGTTAACCAATTCTCCCACCAACACAGTGTTTCTCGAAAGGTCTGTCATGTTTTTCTCTTTATTTTCTCCCATCCCATCTTCTCCGCTCTTCTCCCTCCTCTTTTATCGCATCGTGGTCAACAACGTACCTCGTCTCTCTCAACCCCTATCCGCCATCAAGATGGCACAACGCCTGGATACCGAGGCCCTTGCCTCCTCTGAAGACCTCTTCACTCTCGAACGGATTGATCAGGATGGTCTCAGTCCTCGCAAGCCAAGCGTGATCCTCGTCTGCCCCTCCGTCACGACCTCCGGCACGAGCTCCTTCACGACACGCTACTTCTCCATCCTGGCGAAGATGCTCCGCGACGCGCACCTCATCTTCGCGTTCAATGTCGCCGACATCCACCGTATCCTGAGCGACGAGGTTATCGCGGACTCGATTGCTGGCTTTGTTGTCACGGACGCGAGAGTCATGGGTGTTGATACCGGCTCTGGTGCGGGTACCGACGTTGGTGTTAGTACTCGTGGGACCTGCAGAGACACCCGTGAAGACCAAGACGCAGAGACGGTCGCAATGTCAAATATGTTGAAGGACATTGTACAGGGTAAATACGCCTATGGCTACGAGAAGCCGCAGGAAAAGCCCAAAGTCACTGGTCGTAAGAACAGAAATAGAGGGTTGATACCTGAATTTCCCACCGGGACCAACACAGTCCATGGAATCAGCAACAGACGCCCTCGCAACACTCCCCGCGATTGGACCGTCGTCTTTGCTTTCGACTTCCCTGCCCAAGCAGCATGTCACCCTCTCCGTTTCGGCAAATACATGTTGGAGACGTTTGGACTGGGTTGGCGCATTTGCGGCGCAACGAAGACCAAGTGGCAGCTCTGTATCAATGAGCCGTGCCTCAAGAAGATGGGCGAACGTGTGTACAGGGGCGATAAGTATGAGATTCGCGCTGTGTTCTTGGACGGTGTTGTGGAAAATGATAAAGTGCTTATCGTCAAGAAGAAGACGGAGCACGATCAGAAAGACGAAAGCCAAAAGAAGAAGCAGAAGGCTAGCCGCTGTACTGTTCGAGAACGCCGTCGAAACGAGGCTAAGGAGCACGATGACATGGAGATGGCAGAGCGTGTGTCAAGCGACGAGACAGACAGCACAACAGGCGAAGAACCCAAATTCAGAATCGAGCGCGTGGAAGTCAGCGATCGCCACGGCGGTTGGAGACTGGCGGCCGACGCAAACGGTCCTTTCCTTCCTGCTCCTGGCGAGGACGTCGAGATGCTCACGCCCATGATAAGAGCTGAGCTCCGCCGCGAGGAACGTGACTGGGCGGACGACGAGCTCACTACCGGCGAAGACTCTGATTGTGACGACAAAATCGAAGTCGATGAGGGCGGCTGCGACGAAGACGACGAAGGTGAAGATTCAACCAGTAGCAGCAGCAGCTCGTCGGACGATGACAACAATCCCAATCCTACCCGCAACACCCGCACCATCTACCTCAACCCTGACCAGCGCGGCCAGAAAAGCGACTCCGATGCCGACGACGTCCAGTCTCCCAAGAAGAAAAAGCAGAAGAGAAGCTACAAGCCCGCCAAACGCATCGCTAACTGCCCCGTCGCTCTCCACGATGTGAGGTCTTGGCTCGAGAAGGGAGACCAGCGCGTCCGCGTCTATGGCTACGTCGGCTTTGTGGGACATGTCGAGGATAATCGCTCCATGGCGAGCTTGATCTTGGGTATGTGTGGCGTACGCAATACGGCTCCCTTGCCTCAGAGGCTTGCGACTTGGCTCAGGGAGAATCGCCTTAGATAGGATAAGTTGGACTCAGGCTTCAAGCTTCGCCCGACTCCTCTAGGCTCGAAGGTCTTCACAATCGTCCTAGACCAATACTAATCTGTCTAAGGCTGGCCTTGGCCCCAGCTTGAATATCGATTGAGAAGTCTCCCGCCATGTATGATTAGGAACGGGACAAATGCGCTGGAACAATATGTACTTAATAACCTAATGACAAATTAACTGCTTACCGACAGTAGCAACGCCATGCTCATGCTCAATTCATACAAATACAAAGGATAGTACACACAGACAAGCTCAAGCTCATTCAGCGTCCTCGCCCCCTCTGCTCAGAGTCGGCGGAGGGGGAGGCACATCCCCCAACCTCTTGCGCTGCTTATTCTCAACCGCTACGAACACGAACATCAGCAAAGCCCATCCCAACACACAGACTACCAAATCAATGATAATGGGATGAGTACTCACACCTCTCATACAGCACCCAAGACGTGTAGAAGAGAATCGGGAGTGCCACGATCGTCGAGATCCATCTGCATCCATTCTCAGCACAACCCAACTCCTGAATCAAGACCGGGAAAGGAAAGCAGAACTTACCGCCTCGACGCAGCCTTATACTCCTTCGTCTGCCGAATATCCGTGACGGGCGGGTTTGGCGTTCCTGTTCGTCGCCGCAGGCCCGGCTGGAGATGGGGGTCTACGACGACGCGAGGTTTTTGCGGCTGCGGCTGTTGCGGCTGTGCTGCCGGCATCTTTTGTTATTATTGATTCTTTTCCGAAGAACCTTGTACGAGGCGGACTAGATGGCTGGGTATAATTGCACTTTGCGATTAGGTTATTTGTTTGCCGACTGGAGCGGAATGCTTGATGGAATTCCGTAGAAAAAGATCCACGATCCGATCCGTTTGCGGCTTGGGATCAAGGGTGTCACGTGATGTGCGTAGGATGCCGCTGTCCACGGCGTGATGGATCAAGCTCTCCAGGAATACCCAGAGGCTCATTTGGCTCCATACGATCTATTGCAGCTGAAGATCGCCTCTGACGCTATGAGTATTCTTCCGTGGCAGGACTTCGGAAAATCGTGAAGCAAAAGCGTAGCTCGAGATTCTGGATTTCGCGCCGGCCGTTGAGCAAGGTCGCACCTCCTCAAGTCGCAATAAATGTCATCTCAAAAGGCAGGAGCGATGGACAACGGTGCCCCGGCCCTGGGTCGTTCCTGCCCCGTTCAGGGCGGCAGCAGTCGCACCTTCCTAGTTGATCGCAAGCCTTAGGAGGGTCGCGCCTTCCTTCTTCGTCATGTGTAGACGATTCACGAGGAAGGTGCGATACAGGCTGGAGGGGGAGTGCTCCTTCCTGTTTAGGTAGACTCCTAAATTCCCCTATAGCCGGTAGTACTCCGTATGCCTACCGTGAGAGGACCTTGTTAGACGAGCCAGAGGGTGCCCTCGAGAGGTACCGTAAGGTCACTTGTTAGAGACTAATGAACCTTTTATATACCCGCGTAACTACCGGCCGAGTGGGCAATGAGTGCCAAATACAGTGCAGATTCTTGCCTGACGCGTACTCGAGATCTTATTGCTGTCTGCCTGCAAAGGGACATACATACATGGACGTCGAGGTCAACGTCAACGTCACCGCAAGCCGGAGCAGACTGGTCCAGACTATGCTGACTACCCAGTTCCTTTTTTCAGGAAGATAATAGAATATAGTGACGCACAGAAATGGATTCGTACTATGGTATTTCAAGGCCGTTTTCGACATTGCTTCATCCCAGCCCATTCCATGAGAAAGACAAGCCACAGGAAGTCGGTCGTGATCGCGAGAAAGAAAAAAAGAAAAAAGAGAAACCAACGTAGATTGAATCCTAGAAAACGACACAGACGACGAGCCCGATAAACATGCATATGCATATCTGAAAACGCAAAATAACAAACTCCCTGTATGTAATGTGGAAAGGAGTACTGAATAACGAATGCATAGAACCGCAGACATCGCTATGCTTGACCTTGACCCAACCTTGGAAAAGCCACCATAACTCCGAAAGGAGAACTAAACTGCACGAGCCCTGGAGACAAATGACTATGTGACAGAGAAAAGAAAAGAAAGGTGTAAGATGCATGCGAAATAGATAGATGCCAGCCTTAATGCTTAGTGCTTATTAGTCAAGTTGACAATATTCATGGGGTTGGAAACCGGCCGGGATGGCGTCTCCGCCGATTCCCCATGGACGCCGGTGACCGTCTTCAGAGGCGTCCCCTTGCGCCTTGCATGGCCCAGCTTCGCCCGCTCAGAGCGCAGGGCTCGCTGTTCGGCGTTGCGCTGCAAGTCCTCCATCATCCGACCGGCGGCGGCGCGACGTGGTCGACCGCCGGACGCTGTTCCGTTTGGAGTATGGTCCGCTGAGTCGGGCATGACCTGGGCGTTGGACGCGTCTGTGGTTTTGGCGGGGGTGGAGGGTGCTGCGTTCGAGGTCTTCTGTCTCTGAGTCTTGGGTGACTGTGTGGTTGTGGTTTCGTCCTCGATTTCGGAATGGGGTCGTTTCTTCGACTGCTCGGCGGCCTTGACTTCTAGAGCTGTTACATGCTTGCGAAACAGGCTCTTCTGTTTGAAACGGAGAATGACGACGAGAGACGGTTTGTTTGGATCGTCATTTGCGTCGGCTTCCGCTGCATTGGGGTCTGTAGGTGTTGCGCCGTCTGCTTCATGGCGCTGTCTCTTCGCCCTAGGTGTATCTGTGGACTCGGACGGTTGATTGGGTTCCGATGCAGCATCGGTACGTCTGCGCTTGCGAGAAGTCTCTGTGACCTCCACAGGTTCCTCCTCAGGCACGACAAGCGGCACGGGTGGTTTGCCGCTGTCATATCTGTCAATCATCGTTTGTATCTCCTCAGTGGACATGAACCGATGGACCCAAATGCCCCGCGAACGAGCATCCGCCTTGATCTTGATCCGGGACCTCTCTTCTGGGACATTCTCAAGCAGGAAAAAGTCTGAACGGGCCGGGAGATTGCGGTCTCCGCAGCGTGGAGGATAGCCCATGGCGCGGTCCTTTTCAGCCTGGACCAAAGAGCGCACGCGCGGAGGGGGAATAGGGAGCAGCCTATCTCCGTAGGTGTTGGTGGGGCGGAACCACTCGTATGTCGGCGGGAAGATGACATACTCTTCCCCGTACTCGTTGACCTGACCTGTATGCTCCCAGCCGTCGGCGTCAATCCACGGTTTCGAAGCTAGCACAGGATTTGAATATGGCTTGCTCGAGGGTCGCGTACGTTCTCGGCGACTCTCCGCTTCTTCCTCAGCGGACGGAGTCGCCACCTCTTTCCCCTTCCCCTTCCCCTTCCCCTGCTCCTGCTCCTGCCCCTGCTCCTGCTCCTGCTCCTGCCCCTGCTCCTGCTCCTGCTCCTGCTCCTGCTCCTGCCCCTGCTCCTGCTGGTTTTCCTGTGCTTGCTCCTGTTCTTGTTCCGGCTCCTGCATCGGCTCCGTTTCCGGTAGCGGCTCCGTGTCCAGTAACGGTTCGGTGTCCAGTAGCGGTTCGGTGTCCAGTAGCGGTTCGGTGTCCAGTGGCGGCTCCGTTTCGTGGATCAATTCCGGTTCCTGTATGGGTTCCGCTTCCTTTTCCTTCTCCCTCTCTTTCTTCTGCTCGTCCACTTTCTGCTGCAACTCTTTGATCCAAATATCAACCTCTGGCGCAGAGACGAAGCCCGGGGCAAGCGCTTCCGCAGCTAGTGCATAGATATGCTTCGCAAAGATCATGATATTAGGTACGCGTGATGGTGTGGACTTTCGTTGTGGCGACTGCTGGGCTGGGCGCTCATTGGTGTTGGTCGCTGGGCTTGCCCCTGTGTGTTCTGCAGCTGCCTTGACGGACGGTGCGCGAGGACGACGGTGCTGACGCTCAGACTCAAACGACTCCAGTGCTCGGATAGTTGGCTTCCGTGCGCGTCCGGATGTACGAGCTGCGTTGGAAGTAGTGGTGGAAAGGCTCGTGGGCGAGGTAGGAGCGTCCATATGACCGTCGAGGCCGAAGTTGTTCCGGTACATATCGGTATCGTAGTCGAAATGATAGTCTCCGCTCTCAACATTAGCAGAGCTTTCGATGCTGTTTGTATCACCGTTGGGGGCCGCTTGCTGAGCAAGTAAGGTTTCCAATGGTTTACGGCCCACGTTCAGTGTGACCGTGTTGCTTCTCTTGTTGGGCGAGCGAGACTGATTTCGTTCAGTGTTCTTGCCCTTTGTCACTGTACCTGCGTCCTGCTTTGAGCCAGGGGTTTCATTGGCCCTGGTTGATTTGCGATCACGCCGGCGGGATCTAGTAGAAGTACCCGGGGTCGCGGTTTCTGGCTGCTTTGCGGGTGTGGCGACGGCGGCTGTTCCATTCTCTTGTGGTTTCGGCCTAGCCGTAGAGGTAGGAGCGGGCTGGGCCTTTGAAGCTGGCGATGGCTTGGTGACCTTTGCACCTGTGTTGGCGGAGAGCCTCGACTTTCGGTCTCGACGAGAAGACTGAGGGCTTGAAGCGCGCGACGTAGTAGGCTTGGAGGGAGTGGCGGCGTTTTCCTGGTCCACAGGCCCGTCGATGCGAGTGGACATTCTTCTGGTCTGAGGACCTTGAGAGACTGCACCGCCCATTGTCGAGTCTTTTGCGGTGTCTTTATCGGATTCGATTTCGACAGTAGTCGTTTGCTGCCTAGTTTGAGGCTTTGGTGTTGCGGTTCGTTCAGACTGATGTCTAGACTGAGCTTTCTCTGAAGCGGGGGGTTTCGAGTTGGACCTCGAGGGAGTGCCTAAGTCGGTTTCTGTAAAAGATGGATTCAAGTGTGGACTTTGAGTGCTGGACTGAGCCAGGTTGCTAGCGCGGGTTGCTCTTGCAGAACTGTGTGACTTGGGGTCCTGGAAGGGCTCAGAAAAGGCTCTGTGGGTGGGAGTGTCTGTTACACTTGATGGAAGGGATTTGTCTTCCGAGTTGATAGCGCGCTGTGTCCGGCGTCGCTTTGCAGAAGGCAAGATTTCGTCAAAGGTGGAAGTGAGAGGAGTGGGGGGAAGAGAGTACGAGGACTGAGTCAAGTTGGAAGTGGAGAGTTCAGGGGCTGGGGCTGTTCTCTGAGAAGCCCTAGATGAGCTTCGACGAGAGCGCTGAGAGAGTCAGAGTGAAAGAAGAAGAGAAAGAGATGGAAGGGGATTAAATACCGAAGTCAAGTCAGGCAGAGCGGCGGGGGAGCCGAGTTCACGAGAGACTGAAGCCCTACCAACCACTGGCTGTGTTAGTCTGAACAATGCAATATTGCAATGGCGACATGAGACAATGCACAGTGAATAAGTGAATAGCCAGACTTACTTGTGTCAACAGCTTGCAGCCAGGATATGTGCAGACAACCGCCTTTGTCCGTGAGTGTCTACACTGTTCCCCTCCTTTCTAGTGTCAAACAATTCGGACTAGGGCTCGGGTCCAAGGGTTGAAGCCAGTGTTTGCACGGCAAAAGAACTCGACTGGGGCTCTTTTGAGACGCAAATAGGATGTTCCGCTCGACTCAGGATCTACCAAGCAGCCATGCAGGTCAGTCGAAGCGCATAACCACCGCTGGCGGAGTCTCTCGGATCTAGGGAACCTCGACTCCTGGCCAGCACAGCCTGCAAACAAGCCGCCACCCGACTTACAAACGACTCCTACTGTCCCCAGCAATTTATTATAGCCCAGTCCAACGTTCGAGACTACCAGAGCGAGTTTTCGAGGCGGAAGCGGCGGATCGCAGGGTGTCGCAGGCGAGGCGATAGCGAAGGAGGCGCAACGTCAGACAATTTCACAAGCGCAAGTCCTCCTCGGATTAGCAAATCTCACGGTCGGGCATCGTCGGACGGTCGAGAACGGGCTTCCGGGACGGTCGAGGACGCAGATGCAGCGATCGGAGGAGGGTAGGGGCAGGCGCTGGGGGAAAAACGCAGGCTGTCGGGATGGAGAGGGAGAGCGGCAGCAACACTGACGCCGGACGCAATTAGGGCTCAAGGCCGAGTCACTGGACCGTCAAGCCCCAAGGCCTTCCCGCCCGCCGCTTAGCTCAGCTCTCCCAGACCACTCTCTCAACACCTTGCTTCTCTCTCTCTTTTACAGAACAAGAAACTCTTTAAAATGCACTGGTGGCACTCTCTCTTCCAGCTCTCGCTGCTGGCCTCAACCGCCCTCCCCGCCGCCGCCGCAAGCTGGGGGTTCACTGATGCCACCGTGTCAGTTCAGACCAAGGGCGCCGGAGTCGGCGCTGGATTCAAGGAAGAGTGCGCTCCCTCTTCTATCATCTCTGTCTTGGAATCAATCGCGACAAAAGCTGACTACTGCTATCTCAATAGGATTCCTCAGAACGGCGTCCTCTCCTCCCCCGTCCCCCTCGGCAATGCCGATACCCTCAAGGTCGCCTTGACCGCGCAGGAAGGAAAGTCGGCCAAGAGCGCACACCAGGTCTTTTTGCTTCTGCAAGACCCCAACTCCGGACTGGACATTTCTTACCCCTTCGCCGTCAAGGGCAATGGCAAATCCCGCGTTGAATTGGTACGAAACATGCAGCTCTTGTCGGAGATGACCAGCTGACGTGGCCTAGACATGGAAAGACCTCCCCACCCAATTCCTCTCTACCTCCGACCCTCTCGATGCCAGAATCCTGATCGGATCATTCGGAGACTCCGCTGCCTACAACCAGCCCGCGTTTCAGCTATCTCTCGCCCGCAACCCGGATGAGCCTGTCCCGACGTTTGAGGTCTCGCGCTACGGACAGCTCCCGGAAATCCACCACATCTTCAAGCAGGACGCTCAGAGCCCGCCGTTTGTCATTACACTTGCTTTCGTCGCGATCGTGCTGGCCATCTTTCCCGTTCTCGGCGGCCTGGTAAGCCCCCTTCTTCCGCCACTACATGGTTACTACATGGATGAGATACTAACTTGTTTCTAGTGGCTCTATCTCGGCGCCAACATCAACCACCTCCCCGTAGCGATCAAGTCGGCCCCTATCCCTCACGCGGTGTTTCTGGGTTCTCTCATCGCTATTGAAGGAATCTTCTTCCTGTACTACACTTCCTGGACCCTGTTCCAGATTCTCCCGGCCGTTGCTGCCGCTGGCGTTGTCGCATTCATTAGCGGTAGCCGTGCGCTCGGCGAGGTTCAGGGCAGGCGTCTGGCCGGTCTCCGCTGAGCGGTAGGTACGGCATCACACGGCATGATTTGTTCGGCTTCTACATCCGCAGCTTCAGCGCAGCATCAAAATACCTCTAGCATAGATTTGTAAGGACACATGCATCTAGTTACCACTAGCAGTATTTCCATCGAAGACTGCCTCCAAATAGCACCACCGTAGCTATTGAGCCATCGCACCTGACGTCACACCAACCCGTCCCATTCGGGCTAGCTCCACTCCAGACATCCCTCTCCAAAAATTCATCCCAAACCACCGCGGAATCCCCCAGCTCTCCCTTCAATCACCGGATATACTTCACCAATCCATCTGCCACAATGGGCGGAGCCGCTTCCAAACCCGCGCGCTCAGCCGCGCAAGCCGCCTCGCGCCGCACATACCCCAAGCAACCCTCCGCGCCGTCGCCCTCGCCCGCATCCAGACCTCCGGCCCAGCGATCACCACCTCCCCCGTCACCGGCATCTCGACAGCCCAAGTTCGAGTCCCAACCTCAGAGTTCAGCACAGGGCGTAGGTCTAACATACCACTCGAAGGAGCAGGCTTCGACGGAGAAATCATCCGGTGAGCCCTCGATCTTCCCGTGGCGTTTCATGCATGCAGAGCAACCCTGAGCACCTTACCCTAACCCTCACTCCTACCTATCCTCACTCCTCCCTCGCCATTCCTCTACAACAAATATCCTAACAGGTATGTCCTATTGTACAGCAATCGACCTCGACGGCCGCGACCCGCACTTCGCCGCCTCCCTCCGCTCCATCGGCCCCGTAACGCCACACCCAACCCTCTCCCACTCCAGCACATTCAACCAGAGCCAGAACCAGCCGGCGGCGCAGGCGTCCCCCTCCGTCTTCCCGTCCCCGTCGACAAACCCTGCTCTCCTCGTCGTCACATCGCGGCAGCGCATCGCGGCCGAGGCAGAGGGGGAAGCGGAGGACTATGGCAAGGGCGCGTTTGAGGGGAGGCGGTACCTCGATGCGTTTACGATTCGGCAGGCGCTGGCTATGAGGGATCGGCAGGGTTTGCCTGCGGACGAGATTGAGAGGGTTCTTAGGCTGAAGAGCGGGGTTGTGGGGAGGATGGGGGGTAAGGGGGTTTTTGGGGTTGTATAGGAGGGGATTTGGGCGGTTGGTGATGTTGTTGAGACGAGTGTATATTATGACGGGCTTGTTTGTTGGGTTTTAAATAGCATCTGGGATGGAGTATGGTTTCAGCTGGGTACGCTCTCCCTTTTTCGCTCTTCGCTCGTTCACTCGTGTATCATACGTTAGGCAGATTGCCAGAGCATGTCGTCATCAATCGTCCAATTCGCGCCAAATCCATACCGATACTCGCATTACCGGCAGCACACCCGCTTCTCAGGGTATCCTAGCGAGCTCACTCAAAGCGTATACCTAAACAACGGACTCCGATCGCCCATAGCCAACAACTCATCATCGCTATACAACGCCCTAATCTCCGCCTCATCCATCCCCTCCTTCCTCCTATTCCCCCACTTAAAGCTCACCTCCAACACAAGCGCCACAATCAGCGCCGCACCTCCCAGCGCCAAACTCAACCCAAACCCCGTATAATAATACGGCGCCTCCGAATCAATATACATATAGCTCCCGATAATGCCTCCAATATTGCCGATACAAATATTAAACGCCAGGCCGATCGCGCGCCGTCCAGACGGCGCAAGGTTATTCGCCGTCCAGGACGTGGTGGCCGGGTGGATCGGGTAGATGCCCATGGTCGTCAGGATGATCGCGAAGAAGCCGACGCCGACGTGGGTGTCCAATTCGCCTTTCAACGAGACCATGATCGCGTACCCGATTACGACGAGGCACAGGGGGGCCACGACGAAGGGCATGCGCCAGTAGAAGCGGTCTGAGAGGCTGCTGAAGAACACGGCGGAGATGGCGCCCGCGACGTAGGGGGGCACTGTCATGAGTTGCGCGTTTGTGTCGCGGAAGCCCATGGCTTTTGTGATTGTGGGGAGGAAGAATTTTGTGCCTAGTTGACGGATTGTTAGTTTGCTGGATGGGCGAAAGGTAATTGATATTGAGGTGGGACGTACCATATGAACAAGCCGACTGCGCCAGCAGGATGAAGGCAAGGAGGTACATGCGCCAGTTCAGCAGGGTCGCCTTGATATCTTTCCAGTTCGTCTTCTTCTTCTCTTCCTTGAAGTGCCCGCCTTCCTTGATGAAGTGCTGCAGTTCCAGGTACCGGATCTCTTCGGGCTCGAGCCATTTCCCTGATTTCTGAGGCGAGTCAATTAGGAGGAAGAAGCACATGGCGCCGAGGACGACTGTGGCGATGCCCTCGAGGATAAAGATCCAGCGCCAGCCTTCTTGGCCGCCGACTCCGTCCATCTGGGCGATGCCGGCTCTGCAGTTCTTGTTAGTATATCTCTTCTTCAGCAAAGTGGGATGAAGGTTGGCGCACGCGAGAAGACCGGAGAATGCACCGCTGAGGGCGGACGCGCAGTAGAAGATAGCCAGTCTAGTCGAGAGCTCCTTGGGCATGTACCAGAATGTGCAGAGGTAGACGGCGCCGGGGAAGAAGCCAGCCCTGTAATCATGTTAGCCCTTTTCCTTTCTGGAGGTTAATGACATACTCAAATATACCAAGCAAGATGCGGACAACAGCCATGCCTGCAAAGTTCTGCACTAGCCCGGTCAGGGTCATGATGATGCCCCAGCAGGTGATGAGGATCCCGAGGTAGACGGACGGGCGGGAGAAGTTCTTGAGGAGCATGTTGCTGGGAACCTCTGCGCTGTCTGTTAGCCCGTCTCCTTGCAAGTCGTTCGTGGCCTTTCATACCCAGAAGCACATATGGAATAAAGAAGATCGAAAGCACGATGTTGTACTGGATGCCCGACATGCCGAGATCCTCCACGAGGCCCTCAATCTTCGCATTGCCGATGTTGGCGCGGTCGAGGTGGGAAATGAGGTAGAGGACGGCCAGCATGGGAATGAGACGGATGTCAATCTAAACTCGTTAAAACAGCCCTAATACACTGACAGTGGTTATACAAACCTTCCACAACAGCTTCTTCCTCGCCTCAGGCGGGTAGTTCGTATAAAACTCCGCATCCTCAGCCCTCAGCCCCAGAACCTGGATGTTGTCAATGGCCACCGTCTGCGGCGCCTTCTCGATGTGGTCCGGGTCATGGAGCTTCTCGTCAACGACAATGTCGGTGTCTGCACGGGCGTTGGTCGCAGCCATCTTGTCTTGTCTTGATCAGGTATGCTCCTGTCACCTAGTCTCAGTCTCAGGCTTCCACCCACGACCCCTTATATACCCCTGCATCCTGCGTAGCGGGGTCGGGGTCCGAGGCGCACGACTGAGCTTAGCAGGCGGAAAAGGGTACGATCCCCTCCAGAACCGGAATCACCCCTTGCAAGCTGGCCTCGTTAATGCAAGGCTACGCAAGGGAACGGCGAAAAAGCTCATCCCCACTGCCGCTGCAGCGCCCAATGCCGACTCTCGCAGCCGCAGCCAAGAGCGTCCAAGAGAATCCCCGGTCTTGGTGCTCGTGGGGAACGAGACCCCGGTTGGGGTGACAGCTTGCGGGGTAAGGGCGTTCTGACTCGTTGGGCTTTGTGGAGGCGAGTCAGGCGAGAGATGCGTTATTGTCCAAAGAGTGGTGCCATTTCTCCGCTAGCTTGGGTCTGTGTTTCCGGTGCATATCCGCTGCGAGGCTGGAGAAGATATTGGGGTTCCGGGGGTGTGGGAGAAGAATCCGGGAGGGCTTCGGGCTTGATCCGCTGATTCCGTCCAAGGCATTTTAATGACTCCTGCATTTGAATTGCTACTACCATTGCTATGGCGAGTCTCAATGACATGTTGAGGGTATAGGTATGTGTGCACAGGTGGTAGAAATAATTAGGAACCTACAGAATGCAATACAAGGTCTAGGAACAGGGTTCTTCTTCAACAGTAATGAAAATATATTCAAAACTCCTATACAAAACATAGTCATAACTCCTATACAAAGCATCACACAAGAACCCCCCTCACAATATCCTCCACCTGCCCAAGAACCACCTCCTTCGCCGCAGCCGCATCAACAACAACCACATCCCTCTCCTCCTCCGGACTCTCCAGAGCCTCCAACTGCGAGTCCACCATCGTCGACGTCATGTAGTGCCCCTCTTCCTTGGATCTCAGTACCAACCGTTCCTGAAGCTCCGTTTTACTTTCCTTCCCCACAGAAAGATGGATAAACGTGACGTTCACCGGGTCTTCAAGCAGATACGCCAGCTTCCGCAACTCGTCACGGTAGGCTCTTCTCAGCGCGGAGCAGGTGACGACTACCCCAACCGAGGGAGATGGCTGTATCAGACGGTCCATGACAGCTCCGCGGATATGAGCTAGCCATTCCCATCTATCTGCGTCTGAAAGGGGGATGCCGGATGCCATCTTCGCGCGGGAGAGGCGGGAGTGCATGTCGTCTCCTTCAATGGTTGTGATACTGAACTTTGACGCGAGGGAAATTGCCGCTGTGGATTTACCGGAGCCGCATGGTCCCGTTAGGAACATGACATTCTTAGGCGAGGGCTGGCCTCCGGTTGAGGACCAGGCTTGTCCGCGGAAATAGCGCACAAAGCGATTTACAAAGTCCTGGGTTAGGCCTGCTGCGTTGCGGAGCGATGGAGCAGCAGACTGACTCTTCTTTGTGTCGTAGAGGAGGACGCGGGGCGGCGAGTCGTTGTCGTATTTGTTTGAGAAGAAGTCTAGGAGCTTGATCGGGGGGTTGGTGGTTGGGTCGGTATTCGAGCGGAGACGAGCGAGCCATTCGCGCTTGGGCAGAGCGTCGAAAGTAAGACCGGCTTCTTTCAACAGGGGAAGGAGGTCTCGTGTCCAGTGGCTGAGGCTTGGATTCGTCACATTCATGACCTCTGCTGCAGTTGGGGAGAGTGTTGCTTCGATAATGCTCGATGCGATGGTGTCGACCGGTGTCCAGGATAGGATTTCGTCAAGCAGGGGAAGGGCATTGACTGTCTCTGCCGTCTGGAAAATCATCGGAATAGCTTCGGTGGCATTCCAGATGCCGTGCTCCGTATCAGCTACAATCTGCCCGACCCGTAGGACCCGGGCGGACAGGCTGGTTTCGTGGCATGCACGGTTGACTACATGCTCAGTCACCAGTTTTGACTGAGCGTACCCCATTGACTGCGCATAGCTGAGTGACTCTGGAAGTGCTTCTGGAACCCAGTTCCCTGGCGTGCGAGCAACGGTACTGACAGATGAACAGAAGGAAAACTTTGCTGGAGCGGGACCCTTGGTCTGCAAACAGAGATCAATCAAGTTGCGAGTTGCCGCAATGCAGGGCTTTTCGAAGCTCTCCAAGGCCCAGTTAAAGTTGACAGACCAGGCGCAGTGCATGACGGCCGTGGCTGAGCTGGTGATCTCTTCATAGACATCTTCAGCCAGCCCTAGCTTGGCGTTTGAGAGGTCAGCAGGCAATGCCACGATTTTGCGTTCTGCGTCTGGGGCGAGGCGAGACAACAGGAAACGAGCATGCAGGCTCTGTCGGACTCGGTGGAACGCTGAAAGAGGCGACGAAGCGCGAACAAGGCAGTACACTTTGCGGACGCGCTGGGTTCGAACTAGCTGGGCAACAATATGCGCACCTAACGAACCGGTGGCACCAGTCACAACGACATACTCGCCATCGTCATCTCTGGGGACCGGAACATGCATTTTGAAATCACGGCTGTACTTTTCGATGAGATCGGCCATCCGATCTTCAACTGGAGCCTGCTGCTGGGGACTTCCTCCAAGTCTCAGCCGTGTGAGCTCGTCGGCCATGGCCTGTATAGAGGGGTTTTCAAAGACAAAGTTCTGTGAGAGCTTTTGGCCACCCAGGTCCAGCGTCTTCAAGATAATGCTTCGTAATCGTAGAGACTGTAAGCTGTCGACGCCGAGGCTGAACACATCCGTTGAATCCTGCAACGCGGAAGGCTCAATAGACGTAACGTCGAGAAGGCTGTTACGGAGAAAAATGATCAACTCATCGCTTTCCAGTACTTGGTCCCCACTTGCATCCTCCTGGTCATATACTTGGCTTATCTGTTCTGCGAAATCGCGATAGAATGCAGAACGAATGACCGTACCCTTGTCCGTCTTGCGATAGACCGTATCCGCAGGCAAAACGCGGATCATGTCTCGGGAGATATACGCGTAAGCAGGGTTCTCAGCGTTGCACTTCTCAATAGCAGGCATAGCCGAGTCAATAATTTGCTCGTCGGTCTCAGTACATCCCGCAGCGCGAATCAGGAATAGCCCTAACCGAGACCTGTTTGAGCCAAAGGCAATAGCTTCGCCGACATTCGGATGGTTGCGAGCAACGCCCTCAATGACTAGCGGGTTTGCCTTCTCGCCGTTCTCCAACACAAGGGTATCATCTAGACGAGCATAATACCGCCACGCGTTCTCCTTGGTCGGGTGCTTCTCAAACAAGTCCTTCGTCGCGTACGCTCCATCCGGCCGGTTGCTTGCCACCTTGGACGGCCATCCCTCGAGGACACACAGCTCGTAGATTCCAGGCATCTGTTCCTCCCACCGGATATAAGGTAGCAACGTCGGGCCAGGACGGACATAATCCCAGTCTGTGTCTGAGCGCTCCCTGAACGAGGTCATAAGCTGACCTGTCTCAGTGGTTCCGTAGTGGGAGACGAGACGGACTCCGTTCTGAGCCAGTTTGTCACCGATTGGCTTGGGGCAAGATGAGCCGCCGAACATGACCAGCTCCAAACGTGCGAGCAGCTTCATGCTCTCCTCTGATTCGGAGAGTAGCTTGAGGCCATATGGAACGGCATAGAGAACTTCGATGTCGGGGTGCTCCTCAAGCGTCGTATGCAGATAAGAGCCTGTCAGGGGGAGCTCGGCATTGTACATATAAATCAACTTCTCGGAATGCACCGCTCGGAAGAGACAGCTGATTCCATGTGCGTGGTAAAGAGGCAGTGTGATGAAACCTCTAAGACCGAAGTTATTGGCATAGTTCTTCAAAGCCCCCGAGTGCGTCTGGTAAATCGGTTTCGGATGGCCAGTCGAACCGCTAGAATGGATGATCCAGGTAATGTGCTTGTTTTCGACTAAACCATCGAGTTGAGCTTCTGGCAGTTTCGCCGTAGTGTTGATATACTCATCGCGCGCAAGCACCGGCTGTAGCACGCTTCCTGTCCGTTGCGTCACCTTCTTCGCCACAGTCTGAAACGCAGGATACGCAATAAGGAACGAAGCCTTGGTGTTCTCGATCAAGCTGACGTACGCATCCTCCGCAATGCGAGTCGACAGAAGCAGAACCGTATGTCCCAGCCGCGAGACGGCAAGTAGTGTAATCAGATACTCAAAGTCAGAAGGACCAAGCAAGCCAACCATCTGTACTGGATCATCGGACGTTCGGCGCTGTGGAATCACGCGCGCGTAATGGACTGAAGCCGCTTCGACTAGATTGTGCAGCTATGCCTGCGCATTAGCTTCTGAAACCCTATTTTCACATCTAGAACTCACCTCGCGCGGAGTATAGTATCTATACTCCGTCCCTCTGACTGGATACGCGACAATGTGCTCATCAGCCCTATCACCCTCCGCCCGTGACCGCACAAGGTCATCGATCGTGTATATCGCTCGCTCTTCCACATCCGTCACCGACGTTGCTGGTGATCCAGTCAGAGCATCGCTCGAATTCGACGACGGAGTCACCGGTCGTAGAACAGCTGGTGACGCCATGATGGTGGTTCTCCAAGCGAATAATTTGCTGAAAGGGTCGGACCAAGAGATGGCGCCGAAGGACTTATAAAATCAGAGACGTCAGACTCCATTTCGGATACGCAGTGGCCAGGACGGGCCGGAGAGGTCTCCATATTCCCACGACTCAGATACGCAGAACATGGAGAAAAGTCCGGGAAAGTGAATCCATGCTGGTGGGGTACAGGAGAATGCGGAGGTGATTGCTTTTCCGCTGTTGGAGTGGAGAATGGCGGATTCCCTGGCCCTCGGCATGCAAATCCGCCATCGGACAACTGAGGGTGCAGGGTGCTTAGCATTGCTGCCCACCTATGGTCGGGCAAGCGGAGAAGTAGAAGTCACTTCCCAATGACCCGACGGAGGCAGGTGCGTCTGATGAGGTTGATGGTCCCGAGACCCGTCATTATCAAAGAGTCATTACAGAGAATTAAGCAGTTTTCAGATGGGCATTAGCCGGCAGTTTGCCTTTTACTATGACAAGCAACCATTACGCATTCGATAAAGGGAATTGTAGCTACGGTCTGTAGCCTACTTTGCGCATCAAGATCTGCAAGGCTGCAATTGAACAGATATCCCAGGTTTCTTTATATCAAGCAAATTGATTATCAATTCTATATCTAAACAGTAAACTTAGTCTTATTAACAGGGGCAGCATCCAATGCAGCCTTGCGCACAGCCTCATCCCCAACCTCCTCAAAGATATCATAGCCCCAGAACGCCGGGAAGTTGAACCGCTTATGACGCTCAAGGGCCGAAAGAGTCGCAAAGGCGTCATCGGGTAGTTGCTGAACTTGAAGATTGGCCGCGATTCGCGAGGGCGTGACACTCTTGGACAAGACGACTGTTCCGCGCTGCACGCCCCAACTCGCCAGGAGCGGGCCAGGGTCCATGTTCAGTTGTCCCGCTACTTCATGGACCACGGGATCGTCGACTGTGCGGGGTTCGCCGGTCTGGTTGTTTCCGAGCGGCGAGTATGCTTCGATTATGATACCTTTGCTTTGGCAGAAGCGGAGGAGCTCGGGTTGTTGGAGGTAGGGGTGGGCTTCGATTTGGTTGGCGGCCGGGACGACGGAGACTCTGCTTAGAAGGTCTTCGAGACGGCGGACGTTGAAGTTTGAGACTCCGATGGCGCGGACTTTGCCGGTGTCCAGCAGCTTCTCCATTGCCTTGTATGTTGTGACGTAGTCAATGTCGGCTAGTTGGAATACGCCGTTGTCGTCGAGGGGGAACCATTTGTCGCTGGATTTGAAGGCGCTGTATACACAGTTAGCATAAATCTGCGAACTCGAGTCAGAGCGGTGACTTACCAAGGCCAGTGCATGAGATAGAGATCAAGATATTCAACACCCAAGTCCTTCAGTGTCTTATCCAGCGCAGGCTCGACGTCTTCTGGCGCATGCTTCGTGTTCCACAGCTTGCCAGTGAGGAAGATCTCCTCCCGCGGTACGCCTGACTTGCGAATACCATTGCCGACCTCGGTTTCGTTGCGATAGATAGCAGCGCAGTCAATATGACGGTAGCCCTGCTTCAGCGCGACCTCCACGGCATTTTCCACCTCCAACGGCTTGGCTTGCCATGTCCCGAATCCCACGGTCGGGATCTTCGCGCCGGTATTGAGGGTGAAATGAGAAGGGAGAGACATCACGAAGAATCTGTTTAGAGTCTGTATGAGAAAGTCAGAGAACGCGTGAATTCCTCTTGTTTAAAACTTGCGTTCCGGTCATGGTCGGAATAGGATGTCGGAAAAGTGTCGGCGAAAAGTGGATAAACACTGGGAACGTAGTATGGGTCTGCGTTGGAGATACAGACCGCGGGGAAACTATGAACTGGGTCCCAAGTCATTTTCCTTTATTTGGAACCTGTTTCTCCGTGCGGGCCGATACTGAAGTTCGGATTTCGGACACAGAAGGCTCCCAGCACAATGAAAGCCGAGAATCCGAGAAAGGACGGCAGATCATCCCATATAAGCTGGTGAGTGGTGTCAGTGGTACCCATCTATCAATCAAAGCAGGACACCTACTTATAGGCAGACTATCCAACTGCGGCCAGAAATCCAGCATCAAGTCCTTATCCGTCGCAAAGCTATCAAACAAGTACTCCGTGCGAGGGTCCGCAAAGTAATGGTCTTCCGAGCGAGGCATGCCAGGGAACGGAATGAGATCTCTTTCCGGCTCCGCAAGGGATGATTCAGGGACGATGTGCTCTGAATTTCGGACATGGTCGTAATTTGTCGCAGCCAAAGGCATGGAATGCTCATCCGGAGCCGACGGCACGGTTGCAATACGAGTCTGTTCCGCCTGTACACTCGAAGCTTCAGCGTAGGGTGACCTCAATCCCAGGCGTTCTAGCTCCCGGCGGAGGCCTTGCAGAATAGCGCTATACTTCCATGATGGTGAATTGCGGGATGTTGCGTCGGCAAGGTGATGTTGAGCGGTTTCTGATAATTGGTAAAGAGGTGCTTCATCGAGAGATGTATGTCTCTCGTGGCCGGTGCCGCCGCTTACAGGGTAGATTCTGCCTCGTCGCACTTGTATAAGGTAAATATATATGATCGAGAGGGCGTTGAAGGCAATATACTGCGAATACCAGAATGCGTGGAACAGTTGGTTTTCGCGGACAAAGCTGAGGACCAATTCAACAGTATCCCGAGCGGCCGTTAGACAGACTCCGAGATAATGCACGTAGCTGGCTTCGCAGTCCGGCCATGTCCGACCGTAGTTTCGCAGTAGCAGTGGCCGAGTGATGAACATGAGAATATGATAACGTGCTAACTGCAGGACTGTAAGCTGGCGCTGAAATATTGGAACGAGGCTGCTGGGATGAATAGTCCCGCTCAGGAGAGGTGGCAATCCGGCATGCCATTCGGCGACGCTGTCGCATAAGACTCTAATCGTATTTAATTGGTCCCGGTGAGATATGCCAGCCACAACATAGGGCTCTTTTGCAGCTTGAGACAGGGTCCGGGATAGCAAAGCGTGGAAAACTGGTGCATCCATCACACAGTCCCGTTTAGGAGGCTGGATCGTCGTAGGCAAGAGATCAATGTCATTCACTCTCGCAGGGAGCTCCTCGTCAACGTCGTCATCATGCCACAACCGGGGCCTCCCAAGGATGACGCTAATGTACTTGTCGAGCGTGTATGAGCACCACAGGATCCGACGCCGACATTCCCGTTGTACCAAATCCACATCAGTATCTTTCCTGGAGCGTCTGCTATGTAGTCCGAGTGCCATCATGAGCTGGATAGCAGTACCCAGTGCGAACCACGCCTTGTTCGCACGCGAAGAGCTCAAGAGGTAGAGCACCATCAGAAATCTCGCTTGGGCTGATTCAAGCCTGGGTGTGCCCACCTCTTGAGATAAGAGCTGCTCAGCTTTGACAAAGTAGAGCTCGCTAGTCCTCCAACCCCGGTCGTCCGCGTCCGACATGCGGCCGTCTGCATTAGAGCGGAACATGGTAGCGGTGCTGAAAACCATCAAAAGAACCGCGTGGGAAGCGGCCGACTCCGGAGAGATGTGGCCGTCATACCTTGTGCTTTCTCCGTATAGTTGACGAATCGCCCCTTCAATCGTCGGCTGGTGCAAAGTCCTGTACGTCGGGCAAGCAAAGTCGAAGTACCGGCGAGTGAGGGCTTCTGCTTCTTCCCTGTCCGGCCATTGGAAATCCGCCAGTTGAACCTCGGGAGCGATCCGGTCACCGAAGTGAAAGATTGACTCCTTGGGGACATGCTCTGTCTCCCGCCCATTTGCTACTACATTGTTCGATGGAGTAGCAGGAAGGTCACGCACTGCCCAGCCTAGAAATGAGTGGGCGGATGTCGGACCCCAGTACTGATCGGCAACGTCTGCAGGGGCCCGTTGCTCTGGCGGTCCATACGGCGTCGTCGATTCACTTATCGTCTCATCAGCCGTCTGTTGAGGAGTTGGAACTGGAGAATCGCTTGGCGCTGGCCGTGGATTGAACCCCGGCCTTGAGCTGAAGCCCTGCCGCCCCTGTAGAGAGTCGGAAGGGGGAGGAGTCACCGCAACGCCGCGTCGATATGTAGTATTGTAGGTACACTCCAGTTTGCGACGAACACAGGGCCCGCATGGGATCGTCCCAGTGCATGATTTCTTCTTGGCCCGACAATTGTCGCATGCGCGGGTCACCTTTCGCAGCTTCCGCTGCCGCCCATGGGCATCTGAGGCGGAGCGTGGGCGTGGAGATGAAGGGGACCTAACCAGTACCCCCTCTGACCGATGGGAGAGTCTTCGACCAGGGTCCATCTGGCCTGGTCTTAACGTATTTGGCCCTGATCAGATGACGTCCTCTGCCTGGTAAACTGGCATCTTGTCGTGATGCACAGCTTTGGGACACGATCTTTTCCGACGGCGCTGCGGCTAAGCGCGGGTAAGTATATGCCACCAGTAGAACCTCGGCTATCAAGAAGCCCGCTTGAGGACATTCACCGTACCTAAAGCGACACCTAGGACATCAGGCACCAACGGATTCAGATGACATTCCAAAAGCTGAATTATCGCTTCACTGCCACTTGGTTGAAAGTTTGTAGCATGCTGGCTGCTTGAGCCACGGCGGCGGAAAACATCACTAGGCTCACAATGGTCTAGCGCATTCATGCCCAGCATATGTGCACGTGACATGGGGCTGGCGTAGCTGCAGCCTGCAGGTTAACAAAGAACTCACCGTTAAGAGGAAAATTTTATTTATTCTGCTTTGGAAGTCAGAGAAAGGAGGCTTTTAATCTCAAGGACCAAAGCCAGAAAAGTACTGAGTTCAGCCACATCCGCAATCGCAGGTTAGTGGAAGATATATAAACCAGGTACGCTCAGCAGGGAACTCCCGAAAATATATCTACCACGACATCCACTAATGGCACAGGGCTTAGGTTAGGGCACGATGGACTCGAAAGACGCGGAGATAAATCGGCATCCCAATGATCACAATCAAGCGACACATCTCCCCAGAACGTTACATTTTACACTGAAACCCGTCGACCGGCTGAAGGGCCATGAAGACTTCGACTCATGGCTGTACTACGTCAAGGTACATCTAGAGTCACTGGGTCTGAAGGACTTGCTCGATAGGTCTATACCTAGGCCAAAGGAGACATGGAACACGTACAAGATCTGGACCGAATGCTCTATCAAGGTTCGCATTTGGCTTGCGGACAGTATCTCATGGGATGTCGCGCAATTGATGGAGGCGAATCCTGAACCGGCTATGTTCGCAGACGATTATCTGGCGAAACTGGACATGGTTGTATTCTGGTTTGCTTACCAGAACCCTCAGTTGGTGTATGATGATGCACTTCGCGTCAAGAGGAAGAATTACCCAAATCTTCTGGCGTTCGTTAAGGATTTGAGAGCCAAGTTTGCTTTGGCGAAAAAAGTGGGAGTTATGCTGCCCCACGAATCAATGAGGATACTTTTAGGAGAGGTTAGGGACGATATGCCTGCATACGTGGCAAAGGCGCTTGTCTCGGTCAATTCGTCTCCGTATCAAGTGAAGGACGAGAATGTCTCCATGGTTTTCCAGGATGTTACAGCTTATGCTAGAGCACGAATGATGGCATGAACCTGATGAGGTTGAGATGATAGAAGTCCGAGATGTCATAAGAGAACTTGCGCGATCAGGGACAACGGCCGCCTTGAGATATGCTTCAAGGATTGGTATTCGCACCCTATCAACTTGGAACCAATGATACTTGAATTGGGTAGCGCAGCCTATAATGTAGTCGTCCTTTGCTTGGTTCGCGAGATACAAGACGCGCGAGTGAACAATTTCGGAAAATGACAAGAAAGCCTGGTGCCATGCTTTATCGAACAGCAGTCTGTGGTCCACTCGGAAGTTTCATCCTGAGACAACCGGTTGCGCAGACAGCCAGGCAGTGTACTCCGAGTATTGTTTGCTTGGATAGCGTTGGTTGTGGTATCCTCGAGTGATTGTAGATGAAACGTGCTCTGCCCTATGAACCAACAATCAGCCAATAGCCACTTAAGAAGCTTTTCATCGAGAGGTCAGGCATCTCGCATTTTCACAGGGCCGAGAGGAGTCAGGACCATTGGTGAGCGTTGCATACTCGAACCATGACATGCATGGTCTGGTGGCTGACAGCATACCCCTGCAATTCATTAATTGACCCAACTAGGTAAACCACGGGAATCGAGGAGACTTTCTGGAAGGCGACGTGGCTGTGGCTGACGGGAGGGCAACGCCCCGGTCAGCATCCGTGCCCTCGGCGTACCACCATCCAAAGCAAAATTTAGAACTCGACTGTTGCCTTGGATGGAATCAAAATCAAGTCACACTGGGATTTGTCAAATTAAGTGACACTGCAGGGAGCCTGGAGCGGCATCCCAATGGCAGTGCCCCAAAGCTAGAGTAGCCTGACCGGCTTGGAGGCGAACGGAACAAGTTTTCCAGATGAACGATATCGTCTCGAAGAAACCAGCGAATCGGTCATTGTGAGGTCGGGGCTGCGAAAGTCTGTCTGTCTCATGACCAGAGCGGTACGGAGTACAGTACGCAATAAGTATAGCGTTCCAACCCGGGGAAGTAAGCACAGGCCCTCGTTGGCCCCGACCCGGGTCCAAGGACGTGTTTCTTGGTCCAAGGATCGTTGAAGTCATTAGCGTCAGAAACGTACCCGGGTAAATTTAGTCCGTCGATATACCCCAGACTAAAGTGGGATGATGATGGAGCGCGGGGAAGGATCGACCGCAGGTGGGGTCAGGTGGGCATCATGATCGGACACTAAGTGGGCGAGCGCATCGAACTTACGCGAGTTTAACCATTAGTAGCTGCTAGGAAACTTGGAGAAAACTTGTTCTGCTGGAGTATGGAAGTAGGTACAGGATTCTGAAAAGAAACGGACGGTCTATGCAGCCCATCGCAAGCCTTCAACACCATGATCGCTAACTCTTTTTGCTCGTCTGATGATTAAGTGGGTAGTAAAAAAAAGAAATTGCCATCGCTTCCACAAACGCCATGCAATGATACCCCGGGTGAAGACAATTAGTCGTAATCTGAACAGGAAGCCGACTCATGAAGACAAATGAGAGAGAACGGGAACGATGCGATGACTACCATGCGGCGTGGCCTCCGTCAATGCGCAGGTCGCTTCCAGTCATGAAGCTGCTAGCGTCGCTGAGGAGGAAGACGGCAGCACCGCGGTACTCCTGGGGGGAGGACAGACGTCCGAGCATGTTGTGCTTGGGCCACTCGTCGCGGCGCTCGGGGTACTGGACGAAGAGCTGCTCAACCATGGCAGTGACAATATAGCCGGGAGAAATAGTGTTGACGCGGATGTTGTACTGACCCCACTCGGAGGCGAGGTTGCGGGCGAGCTGGATCACGGCAGCTTTGCTAGCGTTGTAAGCAGAGCAAATGAGGCCCTATACGTGGAACGTCAGTGAGCTGTCCAGAAGAGGGGCGATGATAGGGTGTTGAAAGCGGGGGAAGGACCCGGGAGTGCGGGGGCAAAGATATGACAGACTTACCCGGTTGGCAATGGTACCGCTCATACTGGCAATCAGCGCAATGCTTCCTCCGTTTCCAAAACGAATCATCTGTTTGGCGACAGCCTGGGCAGTCATCATAACACCGGTGACATTGACTTCGAACATTCTGTTGGCGTCCTGAGATGTGTACTCCAGGGCGGGGGTTTCCTGCTGGATTCCGGCGGCAGCCACCAAGCCATCCATGCGGCCTTCGGCGTTGGCGATTGCTTCGATCGTGCTGTGCAGGAGCACAGTGTCACGGACATCGATACGGCGGTACTGGAAGTCAACACCCAGTTCCTCTCTAGCACGCTTCTGAATGGTGAAGAAGTCAGGGGACTATAGACCACTAGTTAGCATAAATTGTAGACGGCAGGGTTCGCAAACATACAGGCTCTTCGAGACGGTCAAGAGCGTAGACACGGGCGCCGGCTTCCAGCAGAGCCTCTGCCTGGGTCAAACCAAGGCCACGAGCAGCGCCCGAGACGCAAACGACCTTGCCGGCCAGACTGAACTCGGGCAGTCTGTTGGTGGCAGCAACAGTGGGTGCCTCCTGCTTCACAGGCACGGGAGTAGGAGTAGTTTCAATGGAGACAGACATGGCTCTTGTGTTGTGTTGTGAAGAGATGTGTGGGGTTCAGGGTATAGAGATTGAAGCAGGTACAAGGAGCAGGTGTTATGCTGGCTTGAATGCAGAAGGTAAGTGGGGATTGAAGAGTGGAATTGATGCTGGGAGGTCACTGCCAGAGCGATTGAAGCCAGACTTTATACCTCACGATGGCAGATCCAGCAGAGGGTCATTGGAGCTCATGTGAACAGGAAAAGACTAACACAGGCAAAGAAGTGAATTGATGGTTTGGTCCAGACCGGGGAATGACAGGACAGGACAGCCCAGGGCCCACCCCAGGTCACTCGATCAGCCTGCATGAGCTGTACCTTACTGACAATCCCAGCCTCATGTTTTTGCCATCTTGATTTAACTTAGTATCTACGCCAAATCAAAACTCGTCGTGTGTATTCTATCAAAATGCATATAGTATTTCATGGGAGGGAATAGATACCTATGCTTTCACGTCGTCCGAGGGCTTACTACAGTTGTTCTAACACCACAAATGAGATCATCATTACTTTATCCCTTGGCCCAATTCCAACCCCCAAAACCCTTCAGATTCTTGAACACAACTCCAACATAAAATCAAAAAGCTGTCAGGTGACGGTTTTGTGGCGTTCGCTCGGGATGCCTAATTGGGATATGCCGTCCCGGCAACGGGGAGTAAACCTGGAGAGCTCGGAGCAGGTTTGGGGAAGAACAACGCGGTGGCGGTCCAGAACGTCTGCAATTTCTGTCGCTGCTGGTCACCTGGGGGATTCTGGAAGCTCAATCAGACGCTTCGAATGTTCCATGGCGAGCCTTGGTGCTTCGGGGACCAGCGCCGTCTCGCTCGCTAGACGGAAGTTCAGGGCAGTGGCAAAGGGTACAAGAACTTGACTCGCGACGGCGTGCTGCGATGGCTTCATGCTTACAGTACAGAGAAGTTATCGTCTCACAGTGCTCTAACATTTTGCCTGACAACCCCTCCAGGCTCGAGATACGGATCAACTCCGGGGTTCCTGGCTGGGGCCCGTTTCGGTAGTCCGTGCTTGGAGTGCTTGCTGCAGTGGATTTCCAGTCTTCAGGTCACCCGACGAGCTTATCATCCTGGCGTTCGCCCTATTGGCCAATTTCTACATGTTTTATTTTTATTTTCTGGACCCTTGTTCCATTCCAACTGTCCGACGTGCCTCCCCGGCATGTCCCCGATTCTGGCCACTACCATCATCCTTGACTCATGAATCGATCCCCAATTCTTTGCAATCGCGCTTTGATACTGTCGGGCCCGAGACGAGTACCCCTTGCCCTCTGCAAGGATGCCCAGCTTACCCGATTGCCTTAGCAAAGCAAGTCCGTGGGAGCATCGTGTGACCACCAGATCGGGTTTCTAAGGGCATCCGCGTTTCGGGGAGGAATAAAGTGGCGCTCAGCCGCTGATGAATTGTCACGATGGTTGCAATTATTCTCCCCGAATTGTGTGATACTCCTTTCGGTAGCCTCAGCATGTTCTCCTGTCGATCTGAAGCCTGTTTGTATACCATTCTTCTCATCTGTCCTCGTGAGCATGCTGACCACTCCGATTGATGGATACCTTTTCAGATCACCCTCTAGTTTCAGAGCAACGTGTCTTAACTCGAAGATCATAGCTGAGCTGTTTTGCCGCTTGATGTAATCATGGCCTCCGAGTCAACGCTATGCTGCCGTTCAGTAGCATCGAACGGGTATTCGGTATCCCGCATTCGGCTTCCTCAGGCATGATCATGTTGTTCCGATCCCATCAATCGTGATGCACTATGAACAGGTTAGAACAATATTTGAAGATGTGAGAGAAGTACCTCTCGACGCTAATCTCAACGTCTTCTCTTCTCAAATCTCATTCTCGAGCCGCGGCCTTCTCTGCCTCTTGATCATCCGCACTTGTTCAGCAGTCATACCCATCATTAGCATTATTCATACGAAACTTGTACTCTGTTCCGCCATGGTCATCCATTGTACATATTGAGAGCTGTTGCCCGTTTTCTTTTTCTCATGATGGTAGTAGGTCGTGGCCTTCTACTACCACCACTAGACCATGGCCTAGAAGGAAGGGTTTGTTCTCAGCCTAGGATCGGAACGGCCACTTCGAGAATCAAGGCTTCTGGAAATGCTGGGGCATTTGTAATAATGATGGGTAACCACGTACCCCAACAGAGCTGACACTTTACAGATGATTGACCCATTCTAGATGGTGGGCTTGTGTATGATCCGCCGTTGCTGCTGCTAAGCAATGCAGTCAGGAAAACAAAAACCAGCGTTAAAATCTGGTTAGCTGATATTGAGCATCCGTCATCATTTCTCAAAAATCATGTTTAGTAACATGTTTGGCAAACTCAGTCAGAAAACGTTCAGTATGAACACCCACAATAGGCAGTCTCCTTCTGGGGACTGGGAATAAGAGTCTACAATGCCAACTGGCAAAAGGCAAGAAATAGAAACAAAGGGAAAGAATACAGGTTTGGAACAGGTGAAAGTAGGGAACCAGCCTCATGAGCGAAGGATTGACTGACATGCACTCAGTGCAGTAAAACACACGACTAAGCACATTTCCACCTGTGCCTTCTCAGAACTTCCCACCAGAACACAACACTCATCTCCACCACTTCTACCACTTCCACTGGCTACACCCTCATCTTTCCTTATTCTCTCTGCATCCCAGGCTTTCGGTCAACTCTTGTTTGATCATCCTACTTAAACCTCACTTCAGTTCCAGTCACCTTTATAACTCTTAGTAATCTAGGGGTACCTTTGAATAAGGGCTCCAGATACTTTAAAACTATTATAAATATATATTTTTATTATCCTAATTTTATTTTTAATTTTCTTTTTTTTTTTTTATTACTCCCCGCGGCGTGATAGCTAAAACTAAGGCGTGTATTTTTAACTAGCCTACAGGCATTAACTTAGCTAACTTCACGCGGTTATAAAACCCCCTATTTTTTTTTAACCTTTATACTATAAAAAGGTAAAAAAAAAAAGGCCCTAGTAAGCCTATTTTTTTTTTTTATTATTAAAGGTAGTAGCGCGCTAACTCCCTAGCCTAGCCTGGTTATAAAGGCCCTTTATAATTAGCTTAATAAGTAAAAATACTAGGTATAAATTAAGCATAAAGTTTTTATAGGCTTTATAGCTATTATTAATAACTTTATAACTAGATAAAAAACTTAGGACTAAAAAGCCTTTACCTATAATATTTATAATAAGTTTATATACTTTATTTTTTTAAAAGACTATATTAATATTAATAGTACTAATTATATCCCCTTACATGTATATAATTAGCTTATTACTATAATAACCTCCGGCAAGACTATTACCTAAAGGGGAATAAGTTTAATTTTTAAAAATTTAAAAACTTAACCTACCCCTTTTAAAGTAAATTTATTTACTTTAATTAATATTATTTTAGGTAAGGTGCCCCCTTTAGGCGCTTTAACAGCCTAATTAACATGTAATAGCTTTATTATAGCCTTAATAATATAAAATAATTATAAAATATTAATTACTTTTTTTAGTAATAAGTTAATAACACGCTTAAAGGTATATATTATTTAACAAGCCCTTATTAAGTGCGTGCTAGGCTTAACTATAACTATAGTTATTTTTAAAATTAATACTACCTACACGGGCTAGGCTATTATTTTTAATAACCTTTTTATTAAAAACCTTTTAATAGCTAATAAAGTAATTAATATAATTTATTATACCTTAGGCGCTATTAATATATATATTTTATAAAAATAGTATAATTATATAATATAAGAAGTACCTAGTATTATTCTAGTATATAATAATAATAAAATAAATATTATAAAGCTAATTTAAAATAAAGTTATAGCCTAAACTAAACTAAAGCTAGTTAGGCTTGCTTTTTTAAAATACAGGCCTAACCTTAATACTAGGTATATTATTTAAATAATATTTTTTTAAAGCAGCCCAGGGCCTTTACTTTATTTAACTAAAATAAGTATTATTAACTTATTAAAAAATACTAGCTAGTTTCCTAGTATAACCCTAGCTACTAAAAATATTACTACCTAGTATAATATAATTATATAGTATATTATATATAATATAGTATAATAATTATAAACTACCTAGGCCTTATTAATTTAAATTATAAAAACCTTATATATTATATAAACTACCTAGGCCCCTAGCTAATAAAATATAATAACTATTTAACAGCCCCTAGGCGCAAGAATAAAAAACTAGTTTACTTATTTAAAAAAAAGCTTAATAGCATGTATTATTATAGTACCTATTAATACTAAAACATGCATGCCTAGGCTAATACTAATACCTAGCTTTAGGCTAAAACTAAGTAATTTTTGCCCTAAAAGAACCCCTAAAAGCGTGTTATAAAAAAGCTAAAAATAAATAAGCAGGGCTTTACCCTAGTTATTAATTACTATACCCCGTGGTTTAATACTTTTGCTAATAATTAAAATCTTAGGTAACTTTTTATTAAATTAATTTAACCTGCCCTAGCTAGCGCGGGCACGCCTTTCTTACCCTAGGTAATAAAGGTTAATACTAAATCCCTTTTTAAGCTTTAATAATAAAGTATTAAAAAAGAAATTATAGTAACTATTATTATAATAACACTTAATAATAATAAAATTTTATTATTTATTAAGTAAATATAGGTAAATCCATGCTTAGCTATATTATAATTTTATAACTAGCTTATAAGTAAAACTATAATATTACTTATATTTAAAAGCCCTAGACTACCACAGGCATAAAAACTTAAAATTACCTAGTATTTAAGTATTATATACTAGTAAATACCTAAAATAACTATAAGAACTAGCTAAAAAAGCGCCCTAAAATACTTACCTATATTTATAAAAGGGGAGCGCTATATACTAAATAATATTACTTAGTATAAAGCTAGGACATGCTATAGCTTATAATAAATAATATTAAAGTTTTAAATATATATTAAAAATTAATTACTTATAAAATAATTAATTACCTAGTTATATTAATCCCTACCCTAAACTATGTAATAAGCGGGGATTTTAATATTATATATAATACTTTTAAACCTAAAATAAATAATTTATACCACGGCGGTAAGATTACTAGGTAGGCTAATAATAATAATATTAATTATATTAATAAGCCGGGCGTGGCCACGTATAAAGCCAGCTATATTTTTAACTTAATATTTTTAAATATTTTATTTACCCGCATGCTAGTAATATCTAAATTATATAATAGCTTTAATTATTAAACTTTAATTATTATAATATTAGGGCACGGGAAGAAAATATTAAAATAATATTACTTTAGTATATTAAATTACAAGCTTAAGCGCCTAGCTAGGCTTATAAAAAATAAAATAATATTTTTTTTTTAACTCGGGGAACTTAGGGATATAAAGGCACTAAATTAATATACTTAATTTTTTAGTAATATTATTATAAAGGCCATGCAAGTAATTAATAAATACCCTAATTTAAAAAGCCGCGGCGCTCCCTGGTAGTTAAATAAATGCGTAAAAAATTATTATGCCTAGGTAGTAAATTCCACCCTAAAATAAAAAAAGTAGTTTTTAGCTATAGTCCATAAGACTAAACACGTGTATTAAACCAAGATAATTAATAATATTAAAAATAACTAAAAACTATACTAAATAATAATATAATATAAGCTAAAGCCTAGGCTTAAGGCTCCCTTATTATTAATAAATAATAAAGTAATTAAAAACACGCGGGAAAAGGCTAATATTTTATAAAGGGTTATATTAAAGTATTTTAATATAAATAATAACCTAAACTTTAATTTTTTAGTACTAAAGCACTAGCAAGGGGATAAGTACCTTTATTAATTAAAAAAAATCTTGCTAAAAAAAGTTAAAAAAAATATTATTAATATAAGCAGCACCTTTCCCAGGGCGGACTAGGTAATTATTTATATTTTAAAGGCTTGCTAAAAGCATGTTAAATAAGCTATTTATAAGCTATATAATTATTACCTATAGCTAGGGCACTTTCCCTTATTATAAAAGCTTATAAAAATAGTAATACTTTTAAAAGATAATAAAAAAAATAAATTTTTGCCCTAATTTTAGCGCCCTATAGTACTACTTTTAATATTAAAAAAAAAACTTAAATAAATTATAGCACGCCGTGTTACTTTTATTATACTAGTATAAAAGGTACTAAGCCTATAATAATATAGCGCCTTACTTAAGTACTTAACTATAAACTTAATAACTTTTTTTACTTATAATATAAAAATAGTATTTTTATAAAACTAAAAGGTTACTATGGTTATTATAAATATTTTAGGTACTTTTAATATTATTTTATTATAATACCTACTTTAAAAAATAGTAAAGCAGGGCTGGCCTTGCGTGCTTTTAGCCTTAATTATAAGTTTTTTTAATAAATAAAGTATAAAAGTGCGCCTAAAATTTACTATAATAATAATATATTTAATATATTATAGTATACCGCAGGGCTTACCCCTTTTTTTAGTATTATTTTTATTATATATTACTAAATTACTACTAGCAGATTTAATCCTGCACTTTAATTATATAAATAATTTTTATTTTAGCCACGCGAGTAACTTTTTTTATGTTAATTATAAGCACTTAATAAAAAATATTTATGGCATGCTAGCCTAAAAAAAGTAAAATAAAATAGCTTTTATACTTAAAAAGCTAAAAATACTATATATTACTTAAAAGTAGTATAGTAAATTACCCTTACTAATAATTAATAACTAGCTAATAATTACTTTTATTATTATAGTATTAAGCTAAAAACAGCCCATGCTATACTAGCTAGGTATTTTTTTTAATAAATAACTTTTTTAATATTAATATATTATAAAATAGGTAGTTAAAGCCCGCGCGGTAGCCTAATATATTTATAATTTAATATATATTATATATAATTTACCTATAAACTTTTTTTATAAGGTAGTTATTACTTATATTATTTTTAATTTTTTATATAACATAAAGGCATGGTATAATAATAAAACTAAGCCTAAAAAGCATGCACAAGACCTAAAAGTTAGTGCTTAACTAGGTTAGTATATTAAGGTGGTTAAAAAAACCCTAGTACTAGCTGCTTGTGGTATACTTTTAATTTTTTAAATAATATTTATAATAACTTTTTTTAAAAATACTAGGCTTTCCTCCATAGTAATAGTATTAAAAAAAGTATAATTATACTTTACCCTAAGGCTAAGGCTAGTTAATAACTAAAACCTGCTAATAATATAAGTAATACTACTAAAGATCTTGCGTGGCTAGGGCGCTAGCTTATATTAAAAACTTAAAATAAAGGTATAAATAATAAAAGTACTTTTTTTAAAAACTTTTAGGCTAGCTCTCGCGCACTTTTATTACTTTTAAAAATACTTAAAAAATTTTACTAGTGGCAAGGCTAAAAAGTTAATTATAAAAAAGTTTAAATAATAGTAGCAAGCGCTATTAATAATAAAGGTAATAATTTTTAATAATAACTTAAAGTAAATATACCAAGGGGTTTATTATATAGGCTATAACTTTATAATATATTATAAATAATACCTTTAGGCGCAGGAATTATTAATAATTAGCGCCTAATTTTATATATATAATATTAAGGCTATTAGCACGCTCCGGGAACTAAAAACTATAATTAAAAAGCTTTTTAAAGCTTTTATTTATTAACTTTATATAAATAATACCTTAATAATTTAATACACGCGCGGGTAGCCCTTATTATTTTTTAACTAGGCTTTTTAAGTACTATACTAGCTTATAAATTAATATATAATCCACCTAAAATAATCCCCTAGCTATATAAATATTAAAGGTAACAAGCTAGCTAACAAGCTTGCTAATAAAGCAGCCTTTATAAAGGCTTAACCCCTAAAGCCTAACTTTTTAAAGGCATAGCCTATAGTAAGTAAAGTATATAGCCTATATAAGTAAATATATTATACTACCTAAATTAAATAATAAAAAAGCGCCTTTATAAAGCTATTTATATAGTATAAATAATAGCTTATTATAAAGGCTAAGCCCTACTAGGTTAAGCCATTATTAAAGCTAGTATTAAAATAACTAGTTTTATATTACTAGCTTACACTTAAATTCTTGCATGAAAATTTTAAGTAATATTATAAATACTTTTAATATAAAAATACTAGGCTTATATACTTTTATAAAATAAGTAAAAGCCTTAAATACCTAGTTTTTTATTATTACTTTAAATAGCGCTTTTTATAATAGCCCTAGTATTTTATAATATTATTAATAATTAAGGCTAAGGCCTTAAAGTACCTCCGTGGACTAAAGCCTAAGGGCTTTATATTATTACTTAAAATTATAAACTTTTATAAGTTTATTTATTCTTACTAGGGCATCCCGTGCCCTAGCACTACTAAAATTACCTAGTTTAATATTAAATGGTTTTTTTTCTTATTTTACTACGCTTTTTTTTTTTTTTTTATTTTATTTTAAACACTTTTTTTTAATGTAACTAGCTCCTGCTAATATATTTTTTTTATAATAAGGCAGGTCCCTGTAACCCTTTATAACTAAAATCCTAAACATGCGATAAATAATACCTGCTAATAACTATATATAAAAATAATGCGTAAAAAATAGGCGCTAGCCCATAAGCTTTAGCAAGAGTTGCCCTTTAAAATAAAAAGCCTTTTTATATATAAATTATTTAAATAAACCACTTGCCTAGCAGCGGCACGCCCCCATATCCTAAGGGAGATCTGGAATAATAGGCGTACGCCTAGCAATCCCCGGGGCGTTAAATATCACTACTACTACTACTTCAGTTCCAGTTGACCTTGGGTTGATCTCTCTATCTTATACTGCCGTTGTCCAAACAAGACTCAGTTGAGCATTGGTTGCCCTGTGCACAGTTTTCCTTCAAATTATCTCTACTGTCTCACTTCAGAAAGAACTGACTCGATCTCGCCTGAACTTCTCCTCACCCACCCCTTCCAGTCTCCGAAAGACGACAGAATATTCCGCCTGGGCGTTGTCCAACTCCGTATTCAAGCCAACTGTCCAACGCCGATCAAGATGGACAACCAGCAAATCTCGCAGCCGCAACTTCACAAATGGTTTAAGGGGCCCCGTGGACGAGATTTCCCAGCTTCCTTACTACCCGCTACGCGTAACCTCAGTACGTGCCACCTAGCTTTGAATGGCAGCCTAGTGGTAGCATTGGTGCGGTTTAAACCCGACTCTCAGCAGCCTGTTATTATGCTTCGCCCTGTCAAACGAACGGACGGTAGCCGTCTCATTTTTCCGTTACAAGACTGCATCTTGACATGTGGAGTTGAAGGTGACCCGAGGGAGCCCCAGCTGGATGAATGGATCAAGAAGCAGCGGTCAAAGAATTCCTTTCTTCAAACACCGGAGATGAAGAGAGTGGCAGTCTACATTCTCAAGTTGGAAGAAGATCCTGTTAAGCTGTGGTCAGAGACTCCTTCCAGGGATCCCGGCTGGCAATTCTTGCGTCGGGAAATGCGGTCCGGTGCAGAATTCACTATGTGGAAGTCATACAAAGACAAATGGGTGTCTGCTGAACAAGAGGTGATGGATTGGATGCGAACCTTGCAGACACACTTAACCTACTGGTCTCCCAAAAGAAAGGCTTTTTGGTGGTATCGCCAGCCACAGCCAGAGACTCTCAAAGAGGGCACCGCCGGGCCATCACCACCATGGCTGTATGGCCAGCCGGGCTCAGAAGCAGGTCACTTCATACAGTTGACACACCGCTCGTATTTCATTGACTTGCACGACCACCGGTGCCGGCTGGTTGAGGCCTCGCGGAAGGAGCACGACGTGATTCGCAGGAAGGTCAACAGCATTTACAATACAGACCAACTCCACAACGCGCGATTCGTCAAAAGTCAGAACTGTGCTTTTTACTACATGGAACTTAAAGTGTACAACATGGATCTACCTGAGACGGAACGGCGCGCCTTAAAGCTTCCGCCAGGTACAATAGTCAGATTCGCAGTTGCGGAAGCCGGGTTAAGAGACATTGACCTTACTTCTCAAGGAGTGGTTGTGGAGCTGGAGACAGAAGCTGACCTGGTATTATTCGTCCAAGGTCCTGTTCCAGCGACAAGTGATCGAGTATTTGTCGTGACGGCCATTGAGACGAATATACTTCCTATTGACGAGCAAATCGATTACCTCAACAAAGTCAGTGATGTCTGTGTTTTCGGTGACAGTGAGGAGAACGCCCGTCGTGGCTTCTCTCTCCGAAGGACAGTGCTGGCCCATGGTGAGGAGCTGAGTCCAGAAAGCCCATACTACTTCTTACTGGATGCTACAAACGGGATGTCCACAGTGCCTCAGCCTGTATGGGAAGAACGACTTGAATATCTGAAAACCCATTTCAAGCTCGATTCAGCCCAGGAAGTGGCATTCAATGCCTCAGTGAGAGCCATCAAATGCGGGCTTAGCTTGTTTCAGGGCTCAGACGGCTCTGGTAGAGAGTTGACGTCTATCGTGATCATCCTCGCGCTCGCCTGTCTGGATATTAGTATCATGATTGCAGCAGATTCGGACAAGGGTATTGACGATTTGACAAGTGGTCTTGCGAGAGTCTTAAGGGCCCATCCTAAGCTACAAGGCTGGGTGGGCAGCCTCTTCCGTCTTCGGTCGCGAGCTCGCCAGATGTCTCAGATTCGCACCCAGAGCGCTATATCTGATTCTAGCTCGAGGGAACTCGAATGTGATGTCCTGGCTCGACACGAGATGCACAACTGTGCTATGGACTATGCCAAGGACAACCGCGAGAATGGAGACTGCAAGACATTTCTGGATCTGGTCGAAGCTGATCGCCGTCAGCCTCTCCATGACGCCGACTACAAGAAGCTCGAGCTGTCATATCAGAATATCTGCGCGATCTTGCTCCGACAAGCTAAGATCGTCTCCACGACTCTCGGAAATGCATCCAGTCCTCTCTTCCGCGATGAGTTCAAGCCGGGAGCTCTACTCTGCATTGATGCCAACCACTGTACTGAAGGCCAGCTGTCAATCGCACTTACTATACAGTCATTACGCGTGGTAATACTGGTTGGAGACACCAAACGACCACGGCCAGCCGTTGCATCATTATCACCACAATATGAGAACGAAGGCGCCCACTACTTGGGACATCCTCTGCTAACGCGGCTGCAGACTCGGTACCCGTGTATGACTTTGGCGCTTGAGAAGAAGAGAGACCATACAGATATCGCAAACCTGAATCCCAGCAAGCGACTGCGCGCAGCTCCGGTGCGACATGCACTGCCTCTTCGGCCGCCTGTACCGGTTGCTCCTGGAACTAAATCGACACTGGCCCCATTGGCTGGTACAGGCAGCGCCGGGGAGAAGACACCCGTTAAGCAGAAGCAGGATGTTGCGAACAAGCCGATAACTTCTCAAGGAATGCCGGAAGATCAGCCATTGCCTCCACCACCGCATGCACCGGTTACGCCTACGACCGGGGCGCCACTGGCCCCCTGGCCCGCAACGAGCAGCGCCGAGGAGAAGACGCCGACTGAACGCAAGGGAGACATTACGAACAAGACGGTGGCTTCGCAAGGGACACTGACAGAGACATCAAGCACTACCGAGCGAGCTGCAAACCCTGGTGCCCTTCCAGACAGTGCCCGCTTGCTCCGCATCAAAAAGGCCGTGTTGAGGTTTCAGAAGACGCGTCGACGGCGAGTCGAAGATGAGCTCACGACGGGCTTTGGTTGCGGGACTAATGAGCCCCTGACACAAGAAGACCGTGTGGCCAAGGAGAGGGAGTATAACTCCTTGAAGCTTGCGGAGGACGAGACGACAGCTGAAATTGAGTTGTATGAAGAACTTCTAAAAGAGGACTAGCTAGGAATGTCTGGAGCCTTTCTTGAGGTTTGATAGAATCAACTTTGTGGAAAGATCCAATTTGTGGCATTGTGGTCGTTGGTCAACGGCAGGGACTCGTGTGGATATTGAGCACACTTACCATTTGATTTTCTTCTCTCAACATGAGTGGGGTTGGTCAGATAGCACTGCCCGTGGCTGAATTTTCATGTATGGTGATGGGTTAGGTACCTAGGTCTGAATCCTGCCAGGCAGCACTGCCCCAGCCCGAGCTCAGGCACCTCAGGATACGGTATATTAAGCCGTCTTTCAGCCGCAACTTTAATCAAAGCACATATCAACTGTCCGCAAGCAATAACAAAAGCTTAGTAGACTAGGTCTTCCAAAGAAAACCCGCCATCATCACTGCGCAAGCCAACATGCCCTACCAAAAGACCTCCGACTTCCTGCCCCCGCAACCCCCCGCCAGCGCCCACTGCCAAGTGATCGACTTCGCAGCCACCAACCCCGCGCTCCCAGAATACAAGCGATACCTCGCAGCAGTCATCGACAACGCCCTCACCGAGTCCGAATGCAAAGAGCTCCTGCGCATAGCAGAGGCCAGCACGCCAGACGGTCAGACATGGGAGCGAGCCATGATCAACATCGGCGGCGGCCGCCAGAAGATATCCACCGAATCGCGCAACTGCGGCCGCATTATCCTGGATGATTCTGAGATTGCGGATAAACTGCAAGCGAGACTTATGCCTTTCTTGCGGGAGTTGGGGATTGAGAGGCTGGAGAATAGGCCGCTTGTCACGGGCCTCGCGGGGAGGAATAAGACGTACCAGCTCACGAAATTCAATGAGCGGTTGAGGTTTCTTAAGGTTAGTACGGCCTTATATACCCAGCTTCAATTGCATCGTCGGTGCCACGAACACTGATGTGATTACCATAGTACGTCGGCGGCGAGTACTTCCGCCCACACTGGGACGCACACTATACAACGCCCGACAAGCGCGAGCGATCGTATTTCACAGTGCACCTGTATCTGAACGGCGACGGGGAACAGGATCTCACAGAGTTGAAGCGGGCAACTGATGCCGAGGTGGAGGGGGAAGCCAAGAATATAGATCTGGATGGGCCGTTATTGGGCGGTGCGACGTCCTTCTTGCCACGGTACGAGGAGAAGGAGAGGCATGTGAGGGTCTTCCCGAGGACGGGGTCGGTCTTGGTCTTCCAGCAGAGCGAATTGCTTCATGGTGGGGATTCGGTGTTCCGCGGGACCAAGTTCACGTTGAGGACTGATGTGATGTATGAGCTTGTCGAGTGACTCGAGTCAGAGGGTCGAGAGGGAGGTGTTTTGTCAGTGCAGCAGTGCCTTGCTTTTGGTATTCGGTGCGTGGGCTTGTTGAGCCTTGGTAGGTCAGATAGCAGTCTGGGCCCTGGAGGCCTGAAGAGGGGAAGCAACCATGATTGAGCGTCACTGCAGCCTGCAGCTGTTTGCTGGTAACTTGGTACCAGCCCAGATGTCGGGAAACCTGAATGACTGGATGATGAACCAACTCTGAATCTCAGGCTATAATTATCCAATTGATGCACAATCAAAGTAAAACCAGCCGGCGCTGTAGATTCCGCCGGGTTCCGGGGGGTCCGCTCCGGCGTTAGCTCCGTGGGTGGCAGACTGGCAGTTCGTACTCGCATCCGATCGCTGACCCTGTCTCGGACTCTCCATCTTCGCCCTCGGTTTTCCTATATTATTATCTCCAGTCTTCACCTGGGCTGCTGGGCAATGGGCCATGGCCCACAGTCCCCGCAAGCAGCAGCCACAATTTGAAGAAATAATCTTGCAGCCTGCTATTTCTTTTTCTTGGGTCACCGCTAATGCATGGCTTACGGCGTTATGACTATGCATTATAGCTGCGCTGCACTGTTGTTCCATGGATCGGACTAGAGTCAAAGCCACATTTTCTTAGCATGACGGTGAGCTATCATCAAATCGTCGATTCAGACTTTGTTTGCTGATTCGTGGTAGGCTGGTAGCCGAAAATATGATGATTCTGTGTGGGCTGTTCGGCTGAACAGCACTGGCTGCACTGCCCGACACCCACTCTATGCCAGCCACAGTCCAGGATAGAGCATCAGCGCTAGCGAACTCCTTGCTGCAGATTTCAGCCCTTATCCAGCGGAATTGCCGGAACCCCCTGCCCTGTGATATCATGGACTACTGAATCGACACCAATGGCGATCCGTAGTTCAACGGATTGGCCCACCCAGCTGTGATCTCTAGCACGCTTGGCTACCGAGGACCCGTTGTTAGCATGGCCCTCCTCGTGAGATCCATTCCTTCGCCTTAAATTTGGCTGAGCTGCCCTGGTCCATCGTGTCTCACCCTCATATATTACTCTTCGTTCCGGCCTCAAGGCAGAAGCCCCCTTCTCTCTGCCATTTTTGTTCTCGGACACCTTGCGCTGCCGCTACAGCTGTGAGCAGCATTTCCGGGTTAACAAGATGAAGACTTCAACTACGGTGGTTGCTTTGGCAGGATTGCTGTCTGGTATGCTTCAATATCCATCATCGGGCGTCGCTGTTCTAATCCAATCTGAATCCTGCAGGTGCCGCATCGACCGGAGTATCTCCGGTGCAGCGCTCATTCCCCAATGCCCCCGACGGATACACCCCTGCGAACGTCACTTGCCCTTCCAATCGTCCCGAAATTCGTCTTGCGACAGAGCTTTCGCCCAATGAGACATCCTGGCTTCGAACTCGTCGCAATGTCACGCGAGACGCCCTGAGAGACTTCTTCGGTCATGTTAGCGTTGGAAACTTTGACACGGTCGGATATCTGGATCGCATCGGCAGCAACTCCTCGAATTTGCCCAACATTGGAATCGCAGTCTCTGGTGGAGGATGGCGTGCTCTGATGAACGGTGCCGGAGCCCTCAAGGCTTTTGACAGCCGCACGGATAACTCAACGGCTGAGGGCCAGCTCGGTGGCTTGCTGCAATCCGCGACATATCTGTCTGGTCTCAGCGGTGGTGGCTGGCTTGTCGGCTCTATCTATATTAACAACTTCACCACCATCTCGTCGCTGCAGTCGAACGATAACGTGTGGCAGTTCCAAAACTCCATCTTTGAAGGCCCTGACGAGGGCGGTATCCAGATTCTCGATACCGCGGGCTATTACAGAGACCTCTACGATTCAGTACAGGGCAAGAACGATGCTGGATTCGAAACCTCGCTTACAGATTACTGGTATGTATATTCCTTACCTCTTTCTAGTGCCATGTTAACATCATTTAGGGGCCGTGCGCTTTCGTACCAGCTGATCGATGCTGTTCGCGGGGGTCCGAGTTACACCTGGTCGTCCATTGCCCTGGGCCAGAATTTCCAGAACGCCGAGATGCCGCTGCCAATTCTGGTCGCGGATGGTCGATTCCCTGGGGAACTACTGATCCCCGACAACACGACTGTTTACGAATTCAACCCTTGGGAATTTGGTAGCTTTGATCCTACCGTCTTCGGATTTGCCCCGATTGAATTTTTGGGCTCCCGCTTCGTCAATGGCTCTATCCCAGATAATGGAACTTGTGTTCGTGGTTTCGACAACGCTGGGTTTGTCATGGGCACTTCGTCCAGTCTGTTCAACCAGTTCTTCCTCCAGCTCAATAGTACCGGTCTTCCGGACTTTTTGACAAACGTCATCGGCGACATTCTTGCGGACATCGGCGAGGCCGACAATGATATTGCTGTCTACGACCCCAACCCTTTCTACCAGTGGCTGCCGGAATTCACGCCCTACGCCCACGAGCAACTCCTCGACGTCGTAGACGGTGGTGAGGACGGCCAGAACCTTCCCCTGCACCCGCTCATCCAGCCTAACCGCCACGTCGATGTCATCTTCGCCGTCGACTCCTCTGCTGATATCAACGGCTGGGCCAACGGTACTTCCCTCGTCGCCACCTACGAGCGTAGCTTGAACTCCACCGGTATCGGCAACGGAACCGAGTTCCCAGCGGTTCCTGACGTGAACACCTTCATCAACCTGAACCTGACCCAACGTCCCACTTTCTTCGGCTGCAACAGCAGCAACACCTCTGCTCCTCTGGTTGTCTATTTGGCCAGCCGTCCGTTTGTTTACCAGACTGAGGACACCATATCCAACTTCTCGACCTTCCAGCTCAGCACCGAGATCGACCAGCGAGACAACACCATCCTGAACGGCTACGCCGTTGCGACCATGGGTAACAGCACCGAGGACAGCAACTGGTCAGCTTGCGTTGGCTGTGCAATCCTCAGCCGCTCTTTCGACCGCACAAACGAGACCGTTCCTGATATCTGCACCCAGTGCTTCAACCGATACTGCTGGGATGGAACCATCAACAGCACCACTCCTGCTGACTACAACCCTGTCTCCGTTATGGGCAGCGATTCGTCCAGGGTCTTCCCTGCTGTCTTGTCGAGTGTAGTTGCGGCGAGCATTGCGATCATTACCATGGTATAAATGATTTGAAAACTCTATACATACATGTATATATATTCTGCATTTTGTTCGGTCGTTGTTTGGATACTCAATTAGTTTTGACAAATTATAATTTCTTTTGGAGACAAGGAGTTTTTCTATAGAGCGTGCATAAAACTAGATGCCGACTTATGTGCATAATATCCGCAAGCCACTGTTGCCATAGGCAACGGGTGCACGTGATCATCAAATCCGGGAACCTCGTGACAAACACCCACCACCTTGCACCGGTCGGCCCGACGCAGCTCCAAGCTGACGACAACAGACGACAATAACCCTATCAACAATTCGCGACGGCCGCTGAAGCCCTATTTATCTCCTGGAGACTGCGCCTAACAGCAGTGCGGTACAGGGCTCGTTATCTCGGGGCACAACAAACGCGTCGCACGATGAGCAGTTGCGGACTGACGACATTCGGCTCCCTCTAATCGCGACAAAAATTCACCGCACAACATTGTCTGATCTACCTATATCTTAGATATCGCTCGAATACACATAATGGCGCGAGCAGCGGTCATCCCTCAAGAACCACCAAAGCGGGCCACGCGCGGCAGAGCTAAGGGCACAACCACGAAAACAGCGAGCAAATCGAGCGCGAGAGTTACGAAGGCTGCTGAAACGAAGAAACGGACCGCCCGGGCAGCAGTGACACAATCGGACTCACATTCCGGGTCAGAATCAGAGGAAACAGATGACGAGATTGGGGTTATTGAAACAAAGAGCCGCGGGAAGGCAGCTGGGACAAAAGGGAAAACTACGTCTACGTCGGGACGCGGGAGGAAGGCTGCTGCTGCTCCGGAAAATGACAGCGAGAGTGAAAGCGACGACGACGAGCTTCCCGTGTCCGAAGCGCCGAAGAAACGAGTGGGAAGGCCAAAGGCTAAAAAGGAAGAAACCGCAAAACCAGCGGCAACTTCAAAACCTAGGGGGCGACCAAAGGGTACGTCGAACAAGCCGCCTTCGCCTGACGATATTTTGAAGGAAAATACGCGAAGGAATGCGCTTTCTCAAGACAGTGACGAATTGTCGTCATCACAAGGGCCGACCGAGATTTTCATAACCACAGGCTCTGCTATGCTGCGCGGGCCGGCGAAGACGAAGAAGAAGGTCACATTCCAAGAATTGTCGGATTCCGAGATGGATCTAAGTGAAGCGCCAGCCCCTACGAGACGCAGGAGAGGAACGATTGTCGCAAAGGATGACGATGGAATGGCTGCCAAACCAGTTCGCAAGGTTCCCGCGGGATCTACCCGAGGACGCAAGCCTGCGGCAGCCAAAAAGGGTGGCGCTAAGCCTCTGTCGCCGAAGAAAGCTACACAGGTTGCAAAGGCCATTTCATCATACGCCAGCTCCGACGGGGAGGAAGATGAATTGAGCGGCGAAAAGGATGCTATCAAGCTTATAGTCCACTCTCCTCAGAAGCGTATGCCAGCTGTCTCCGGCCTTGACTCTCCCGTGAGAAGAGTCAACTTCACACCGAACAAGTCATCGAATCGCCTCGATGAGAATGGCGAGCCGACCTTTGCGCCCCCGAAGATGTTCGACTTTGGCGACTCAGAGTTTATGTCCAGCCCGGCGCGAAGACCCCCTCCCTCGCCCTTCCAATTCACATTGAAGGAGACACCAAAACGAGGGGGAATATCTCTCTCCGAGAAGCCGAAGCTAAGCCGACCAGAAACGACACCAACCCAAAATTCCCCTCTCAGGATGTCCGCGAGGAAGGCAAACATAGGAACGCCCGCACGAAGCTTGTTCGGCGCAGGCGATACAATCTCACAGCCGAACTTCACTCCAGGACAGAACTCACCTCTCAAGATGTCTGCTAGGAAGGGCATTTTTGGCGCCTCATTCTCATTACCACAACCCGACCAACAGCAGAACTCGACTCCGTTCAAGTCTAGCCTACTCATGAGCCCCGCGCGGAAGGTTGTCACACCATTCAAGAGCTCAATGCCACCTGTACCATCATCGCTGGCCAAGGAATCGAGATTACAAGCAGATACGGAGACTGACGACGAGACGGTCTCGATGTACGACGAGTCGCCGCTTCGTGGGCAGAATCTCGAAGATGCAGCGCAGTTCCAGGCTGACGAAGCTGATGAAGCTGATGAGGCGGATGAGCTTTCAGCTGATTACGATGATATGGGAATGGCCCCTGAAGAGAGCCCTATTGCTCGAGAGAGTGAGCAGTTGGAGGAAGAACAATCCGAGGTATCTGTTGAAGAGGAAGATGAAGGAATGCTTTCTGAAGACGAAGCCTCTCCACTTGATGCTCAGGACCTTGATAAAGAGTTGGCACATGCAGAGCAGGCTCTTCACCATAAGGTCAAGCAGGCCGAAGATTATTTGGCAGCTAACGATTTTGGAGAGCCATTGGAAGACGACGAGGATGAAGACGATGAGAACACAACGCCGCATGATCCCCACCAGCTGGAATCCGAAGCCGATGACTCTGAAGAACAGCTCGATGAAAATGCCTACGAACAAGCAGATTACGAAGAACCAGATGCAGAGCAAGACGAGTATGATATCGAATCCGACGAGGAACGAGAACAGTCGCCATTTCGATTCAGTTTCGGCAATGGACTGGAGGATGTCTTCGTTGACGACTCTACCGCTCGGGACACAAGGATGCACAATACCGCCATGCATGATGAACATGAGCATGACGAAGAGACTGTATCTGAAGATGAAGATATACCTGACGGTGACGGCTCCATGCGTCATGGAAACGATGGGCCGACCCTTGTTGGTGAGGCTGCCGCCGATCACCTTATAAGTACCGGACCAGTCCAGCCTTATGAGATCGAAGAGGTTGAGGACACCCCGTTCATGAACTTCCTCCTGACCCATTGGGCGCCAACTCTGCCATTCGTCGAAGTATGCGAGCCTACTATCACTGCCGTTGACACCGAGCACCGGTCGCCAGAACCTGTCACTCCAGAAGAAAATGAAGAGGATATATCCGACAGCCCCGCTCTCCCCATTGACTATGCGCAAAATACCCCGAAGGCGCCCCAGGAGCCGCCACATCGTAATCGTGGCCCTCGCTTTACTCTACTGGCTGAGCAGTTTAGTCAGTGGAAAGCGAGCAGCCCTGCGAAGGCCGAGAGACCGCGCCGCAGAGGTGTTTTCTCCCTGGGGAGACCTAGTGACCTCCCAAGCGCTGCGTCTCGGACACCTAGGAATGATATTTTTGCCAACGCGCCAACTCTTTCGGCTAAGCCTCGTCCTCGAAGACAAGACCCCAGCCCTCCGGCGCTTGACGTCTATGAAGACGAGGAAGATGAGCCAGCAAGCGAGGCGAACGAGGTATACATTGCTGATGAAGCGGTCGAGGTAGATGATGTCGATGAGGTCGATGAGGTTGTGGAGTCACAGTCAGAATACCCGGCGAGGAGCCCAATGGCCGAAATCTTGGACGACGAGACATCAGATGGTTTCGACATTTTCAAAGACCTTTCCGATGATGAAAGCGATGGTGGAAACGATGGGGAAAGAGTGGAAAGAGAGCAGGTTGAGCCTGCAGATTACGCTACTCTCAATCCATTTGTAGAAGAAAAGGAGAATGAAGTGGTATCTCCTGTTCCTGCAACGCCGGCCAAAAATCCATCGCTTCCCAGGCAAACATTCCATACTGTCTCGAAGGTGCCTCTGAAGCCAGAGGGCGAAGTGTCCCCCTTGAAGATCAACCGAAAGCGTGGTCGCTCTCTATCGATTACATCGATTACCTCTCCACTCCGCTCATCACCTCGACTTCGCGAGTTTGTCCTCGCTCCACCGGAATCCCCTCCCCGGAAGTCGGCCCGGCTATCGTACAGTTCAACGCGACAATCTCTGTCTAGAGGAAGCCCTAGGAAATCTGTCGGTGCTCAACCGACGCCGCGCGCTCGCACACCTTCTCGTGCTCGGACACCTCGCTCAGCAAGCCCTATCAAATCGCCCCGCAAACAAGCGTCGCCCGTCAAACAAGCTCCAGCCTGTCTAAGCGGCGCTGTTGTCTACGTAGACGTTCACACCACAGAAGGCGAGGATGCCAGCGGCATTTTCATTGAGCTTCTGCAGCAGATGGGAGCCAGGTGCATCCGGAACTGGTCATGGAACCCGCGAATGAGCGTGTCGCCGGATGAGGATACGGGCTCGGTAAACGGCAAGGTTGGAATCACCCACGTGGTTTTCAAAGATGGTGGTGTTCGCACCTTGGAGAAGGTTAGGCAGGCTGGAGGGCTTGTCAAGTGTGTTGGGGTTGGCTGGGTCTTGAAGTAAGTTCATTCCTTCATTTTGAATGAAGTTGTTCTAACCTAAGGTAGTTGCGAGGCAAGAAACGAATGGGTCGACGAGACACCCTATGCCGTCGACAGCACCATCATTCCCCGGGGAGGTGCAAAGCGTCGCAAGAGCATGGAACCCCGGGCGTTGAGCAATATCAACGGAACCCTTGTCAAAGCGAGTAACGCTGGGACTTCATCCAGCCGTCGGCCATCTATGGCTGCTGGAAGTATGTCTAGAAGTGCAACTCCACTTTCGCGCAGGGAGCGCTCCACGCCGGACAACTCCCCAGGTTACGGAGCTGGCCACACCGAAGCGAACCGGAAGCTCTGGCAGACCCCGAAGACTCCCAGTGCTGCTGCGCTTGGTTACAACATGGACAGCATTGGCATGTCCCCTGCGACTCCATTCTACCTGTCTCAGCGGTCGAGACTCGTTCAGCAAACATGTCCTCCGAAGCAAACACGGCAGGGTCTCTTCTCTAAGGCCTCGGAGGAGGCACCATCACGTCAATTGAAATCTAGACTGGAAGCTGCTCGACGAAAGAGTCTTGCGTTCAAGCCTACTGTTGGAAGTCCTCTGGTTGAGTAATTGGCGTTGTTAAGTTCTTTTTTATGCATTGGGCGGTAGTTTGGGAGTTTGCTTCTCATACCCTTCTGTGTCTTGGTGCTGGATTTGCTTGATTGCATACTTTGTGAATAAAGCATACCTATGTGAATACCGTACTGAATACATATGTTATTCTTTTCTTGGACTGCGCAAGGGACTGTCTACATGGATCATGCCCACCCGCATCACGTGCCCCACTTCATCCGCGAATAGCCGCGCTGCGATGACTCGACCGACCATGGACCCTGTTCTTCCTCTCGGATGACTACAGCAAGGTCTTTTAGGCTATATTTACTTCTTTATTGTCTGTAAATTTGTCCTTTTCAAAATCCTCCCCTTGCATCAATCACTTGCTTGCTGGCCTGGTTGTTCGAGTTTTGTTTCTCTTTACCATCCGAACATCACGTTCTACTACTTAATCGCCCTTCCAAGTCGTTTGATCACAGTCGCATAACATCCCTTCAAGATGAGTGCCGAGGGCTGGAACCCAAAGTGTGCGTTTTCATTGCTCTCAGTCTTTGCCGGACCTCTTTGTTGACGTTCCCATAACAGCTTGGACCTCGAAGCCCATCAAGCAGGACGTCGTCTATGACGATGCTGAGGGTGTCCAGTTGGCGCTGCAGAAGTTAGAGAAGCTCCCTCCTCTTGTTACTACTCATGAGGTATGACTTTGCCTATTCTCCTATTTTCGTCCGATATCTATAGATAGAAATCGGACGGTTTGTCTGGGGTGCATTGCTGACCCCCCGCACAGATTGCGAATCTCAAGAAGAGTTTGAAGAATGTCGCGCTGGGCAAGGCTTTTGTTTTGCAAGGAGGTATAGCTTTTTTCCTCCGTGGTTTTGAATGAGACGTTGCTAAGTCGTCGCAGGGGACTGCGCTGAGCTCTTCGACTACTGTAACCAGGATATGATCGAGGCCAAGGTCAAGCTTCTTCTCCAGATGAGCTTGGTTTTGATTTGGGGTATGTTGACATATCTTTCTTTGAATATAAAGTCAGATCTGACGTGTGCCAGGTGCCAATATGCCGGTTGTTCGGATTGCTCGGATTGCAGGGCAGTTCGCCAAGTAAGTCTTTATTTCCTTTTCGCCACGAGATCATGGGCTAAAGGCATCAGGCCTCGATCGAGTCCTATGGAGGTCGTTAACGGTGTTGAAATGCCATCGTTCCGTGGAGACAATATCAATGGCTTCGATGCTACGCCTGACTCCCGCCGTCCGGATCCTTCGCGGCTGGTTTCGGCGTACTTCCATTCTGCAGCTACACTCAACTACCTGCGCGCTTCGCTCTCCTCGGGGCTTGCAGACTTGCACTCGCCTCTCGACTGGGGTCTCGGCCATGTCATCACCCCTTCCATTAAGGAAAAGTACGAGCGTATCGTCAGCAGAGTCAAGGACGCTCTTCGCTTCATGCAAACTGTGGGAATCGACACCGACCGCGGCGTCGAGACAGTCGACGTCTACACCAGCCATGAAGGCCTTCTGCTCGAATACGAAACCAGCCTGACCCGTCTACTGAAAGACCCTCCCCCACCATCCACCCACCAGCCCATCATCGCACCTATTCCCGGGAAAGGCCCAATCCCATCCCAAACCCCCGCCTCAAAAAGCTACTACGCAACATCCTCCCACTTCCTCTGGATCGGAGATCGCACGCGCCAACTAACCGGCGCACACGTCGAATTCTTCCGCGGCATCGCCAACCCCATCGGCATTAAGATCGGGCCCTCCATGACCCCCAGCGAACTAACCACCCTCCTCGACACCGTCAACCCAACCCGCGAAATCGGCAAAGTCACTCTCATCTCCCGCTACGGTGCAGCAAACATCGCTACCCATTTACCGGGGCATATCAGCGCCGTGCAAGCCTCGGGCCACATCCCCGTCTGGCAATGCGACCCGATGCACGGGAATACGCGCTCCACACCGAACGGCGTCAAGACGAGGCATTTTTCGGATATTTTGTCTGAGTTGAAGCAGGCGCTTGAGATTCACAGGGCCGCTGGTAGTTTCCTGGGTGGTATGCATTTGGAGCTCACTGGGGAAGCGGTTACGGAGTGTGTTGGCGGTGCTGGGGGGTTGACGGAGGAGGGGCTTGGGGAGAGATATACGACATTCTGTGATCCAAGACTGAATGAGAAGCAGGCGTTAGAGTTGGCCTTCTTGGTTGCGGGTTTCTATCGCGAGATGGAGGGGGAGGAGGGAGTGAATTCGATTTGAACATATACGAAAGGGGCTTGGGACATGGTTAAAAGTTTGGATATTGATCGAGTTTCAGTTTCAAGGGCTGTTTGGGCTCATAGTCTCGGGTTTACTTATTTGATCAGGATGAGGCAGTAAAAGTCTTCCATCGCTACTTCCATCTCTCAAAGGACTAACCTAGATTTATGCAAGCGGCGACATTCTTAGTGCGGGGAATCATCCATCGTACGTTGCAGGATTCTTTAGCTGCATTGCCGGTACAGGATCCCTCAGCAGCCTCTAACGAGGGCCAACTCCCAATATCAGACTTCCAATGTCCCTTCATCTACGAGCCCAGGCACAATGCCTCCCCTATCAATTTCTGCCCTCTTAGACTCCCTCTCATTAACTTTCGCTCAGCGCTCTCAACTAGAGTTCATCCTCTCCGATTTCATCTCCCTCACTTCAGACGGAAAGGAACCAGCTCGTCACTCTATCTTAGCCCAAGTCTTCACCCTTGTATTCGGCGACAATGCCATCACCAAGGGCTCCCCTCTCTACGAAGAGCACCGGACCCAGCCATGGTACCTTCCTGTCTTCCTTCCCATCTCCCGCCTATACTCACCGACTAACAACATCCAGGTCCCCAACCTGCTACCTCGCACCCACCGTAATCCTAACCCCGACAACAGTCCCCCAGGTCCAGCAAGCCCTAGCCCTAATCCGCTTCCTCAACGCCAAATTCTCCATCCGCGGCGGCGGCCACCTCCAGAATCCCGGATTCAGTTCCAACGACGGCGGCATCGTGATCTATTTCTGCAAGGGCGAGTTCACGCAGCTTGTTCTTTCGCCGGACAAAGAGACTGTAGAGATCGGCGTGGGATTGCGCTGGGCTGATGTATATGAACGGCTCGATGGATATGGCCTTGCTGTTGCGGGGGGTAGAGAGCCCAGGGTTGGAGTGGCCGGCTTACTTCTGAGTGGTGGGCTTTCGTATCAGTGTGGTGAGGTGGGTGTCGGGTGCATGGGGGTTGTTGAGTATGAGGTGCGTGCTTCTGCTCTGGTCTTCGTCGCAGTGAGATGATGAGGTGATGCTAAGTATGGTGTTTAGGTCGTCCTCGCTGACTCGACGGTTGTCCGCGCCAGCAAACACGAGAACGCGGATCTCTTTTGGGCATTGAAGGCGGGTGGTTCGAACTTCGGTTCGTCTTTCTCTCGTCCACTCCCACTCCTACGATATTCCAGCTCTCCTAACACAATTTACAGGAATAATCACAAAAGTAATTATGACAACCCTTCCCAACACCCTGTGGTCCGAGAACAGGCTCTACGACGCCTCGCAGAACACGGCGTTTGCCTCGGCTTTACTGATCTACCACGACCTCATCGAGTCTGACAATAAGTCTTGTCTGATCTATCATACGGTTAATGACCGGACCTTTGTGACATTTACATACTCCGGACCTGTTGAAGGCGACCATCCGGAGATCTTCAGGCCATTCCACCATATACCACATACAGGATACCTTGTTCCGCCGGGCACCAGGACAGTATCAGCCATGGCCAAGGGTGTCTCGGACGTTCTGGAGGGGAGCAAGATGCTGTATGCTACATCCCAGTCTCTCCACAAATCGATCTTGCTCTAATGATCCAGCCTAGGCACGAAATGCGCACAACAACAACCCTCCCAGACCTAGAAGTCTACCACGCCGCAGAGCAAGCGCGCCTGGAAGCAATAACCGCCCTATCCCATCTCGACCGCGCAGGCCTAACGATGGTCATCCAGCCCATGACCTCGCACTCCGTAAACGCCGCGCAGGACCGCGGCGGGAATCCGTTCGGTCTACCGGCGGTTAAGCATCAAAGTACGTATCTCTATCGCCGCCAACCGTTGTCACCAGTTCGTCTGGCTTTTTTGTATGTTGACTGGCAATACAGTATTCCTCATCCTAGCCGACTATACGAACCCCACCGATGCACCCCTGATTCAGGATGCAATGCGCAAGATCGTCAATGCGGTTGGAGGGGTGGCGAAGAAGAACGGGACGTATCTACCCTTCAAGTATGCGAACTATGCAGCGCCGGATCAGGACCCATTGGGGAGTTACGGGGCGGCGAATTTGGCCAGCTTAAGAATTATTGCGGGGAAGTATGATCCCGGGGGCGTGTTTCAGTATTTGCAGAACGGGGGGTGGTTGGTTTCGATGGCTGGTTTGAAGGGAGAGGTAAAAGAGTAGAAGACTAATCGAGTAGAAGAGGTAGGAAGATAGATAGGTAGCAGGTTTAGATAGGTGGCGTATATCTAAGAAGCAGTAACAATTGAGTAGGTCGGTCAGCTGCTAAACAAGACGCAGATCCAACGCCGCTAATGGTACAGAAGCTGATATCAATGCCGTGTTCAACACATCCTACCAAAAGCAAGGGAAAGCAATTTTTGTAATCCAAGAGATGACAATATTGCCAAGAAACCGTTTAAATCGTTAGTTCGTATCATCGAAAAAAATATCCAAAATGGTCTTAGAACTGGTTATCGTGCGTTCGTGTCGCAGGAGCAGGCGCCATGGCAGCCTCCGGGTGCATTGGTCCCGTGCTCGAACCCGGCCCCGATGCGAGCTGCGTCTGAGACCGATATGACATACCAGGCTCGTACGTCGGGAGTTGCCCGCCGAGGCCGGGGTTATGCGTCCGCGCATAGCCTTGCTGCATCTCGTACCCACTTGTAACATCCTCCTCACTAGACGAGGACCAATTCCCGTCGTGATGGCGATGATACGGATTCGACACGAAGGGATTATGCGCCGGCGGATACGCCTGAGGATGAGGGATCGGTTCCGGATTCACAGACGAGCCGTTCTCGGGCTCGTGCACGCGCAATCGCTCTTCTTCCGGATTTCTCAGCGCAGCAGTGCTGTCTGTCTGGCCATAAGTTTCGCCTGGGTACGTTGGCTCAGAACCCCAGGATCGAATCGGGTAGGCGCGTCCCTTCTTCCAGGGTTCGGCGAGCGAGGGGAAGTATTGGCGGTAGGAGATGGTGGCGCAGAGGATGCCGAGCAGGGAGCCGGTGATTACGTCGAAGGGGTGATGTCGCGCGTCCATGATTCGGGATACAGCGATTAGCGTCGCGCCGAGGCAGGGGAACATCACTAGGAACATCTTCCAGACTTCGCCCTTGTTGTCCATGATATGGAGTTTTCCGCCGATCCAGAGGGAGAGGTAGAATAGGCCCGCGAAGGAAGCTGTAAATCGCAAGTTAGTAGTTATTCAGCTTGAAGCGAACCCGGTTGGGGTATCTTACAGCTGCTATGCCCTATCTACGGTCAGTACGAGACCATCACGGGAATTAAGTGGGAAAAGCTTACCAGAAGGCCACGACCGAAACCCATCCTTCAGCAAATGCGGATCCCCTGTACAGATACTATAATCCGATAACCCAAACGGCTTCGCATCTTCACTACCAGCTTTGGGCTTGCAGCGATCAATGATATCCGGCCTGGGCTTGCCGCAAGCATTCTTCAACGCCTGTGTGATAACAAAGCACAGCGCCTGCGAGAGAATCAGACCCAAAAACCCGCAGTTCAGCTCCCAAAGCCTATCCTTCCACCGGTATGGGCCGGTAAACTTCCTCTTCCCATTTGAATTGATTGGCTTTTTGTGCGAGAATAGGCCGTCGATGAACAGCGTGTAGATTGCAATTATGATGAGCGGTCCTCCTCCGGAGCAGGCTACGGCCTCGTAGATCGATATCCGTTCGTGTACGGCGTAGGGGTACTGGAGGGAGATGTTATTTAACGAGAAGCGCTGGTGGTATGGTTCGATTCGATCGATGATCCAGAAGCCGATGACGAGGGCGCTGTCTGTTTGTTAGCGGTGTCGACTTGCGGGATGTTTGGAGACACGAACATGAGGATCACATAGTCAACGATATAGCTGGGAGGAGATCAGAGGTTAGCAAAGATCGATTGAGCGAGTTTGGATGTCTGAGCTCACGAAATGATCACTCGCGGCCGCAGCCGGCGCTTCGAGAAGGGCAATTTATCGGGGAGACGGTCCATCTAGCGCGGCGCCGCCCGTTTGTATGGTCGGGCACTGGCTAAGCAGGGATTCTGACGATAGACGAGGATCGATTCAGGAAATTGCACACGTGGAGAGAAAAGACGGAGAATACAAGATCGTTAAATATGAGGAAACAAAGAGAATAAAATGAGTTCAGGAGGAAGGGCGAGGCTTGAAAAACAAAGCATCTTGGCTGGAACTCTGGGGTCCAATGCGGTGCTCCACCGGGTCTTGCCTATAAATAAGGATCCTCCTCGCTATCCCCGCGGCCTCCGCCCAGCCTGATCTTCAGTCTCAGCACCGGCTCAGCCACGCAATCTCGTTACTCGCTCAGTCTTGCTGTTCTGGCCGCACAAGATTCTCTCTGCTGATTTCATCGCCCGGTTCTATTTCCATCGTCGTTCCACACTGTAAAGAATGCAGACCAGGCTGTGAGGAAATTATTCTGCCTAGATTCTTAGGCAGACGAATACAGTACAGACCCAAGGTCCCAGACAAGGCGCCTAGAGCGAGACCTACTGGCCCACATCCAGACCCTCGGTGTGCGGTCATAGTCAAAGTGCACAAGTATTAAATCAAACAGTAAGAATTGAATACCAACAGTAATTAAAGCGGTGTACCTAACTAGAACAGTAACAAATATGAAGGTTATGTTGTACAAATTTAGGGGTCATCATGCTTTTCAAACGTCTATCATTGGATGCCTTCCGTAGCCAGACAATTCACCTTTTTCCAATCTAACAGACGGTCATGAACAGACCAAGGCTGATTGCAAGTTAGTCAAGACACAAAAGAGGGTAGTGCGGGAAAACTCACGGTGAGGGGTTGTAATCTTCGAAGAATTCAAGGTTGGTGCTTCCGGGAGTCGACATCTCGAAGCTGACAGTCTGGCCAGCAGGGCACGCGAAGCTGGAGACGGCATAAGAGTTGCCTGGCGAGACGGTGAACTGGCCGAGGTTCTGGCTGACTTGGGGAGCGTTGTTGTATGTGGTCGACTGGGTAGCGTATGTCTCCAGAGCGGAGAACTGGATCGTGCCGTCTCCGCTGAAGTCGAATGCAGAAGTCTCGAGATCCTCCTGTCTGGGGAATAGGAAGACAAGGCTACAGGTCTTTCCGGAATCAGTGGCGGGAATGTCGAAGTTGAAGATGGTCGAGACTGTGGATGTCACAGTTCCGTTGAACTGAGTGCCGTATGCTGTACTGGGGGAGGACGAATCAACAGGGATGATCAGGTGAGGATACTCGTAGTTGCCCGAAAGATCGGTAGGGCAGCTTCCACCACCTCCGCCGGATGGGGGCTGACCACCACCACCTCCACCTCCTCCAGCAGGTCCAGTAGGTTGGCCGCCAGTCGGGCCAGTGGGCTGACCGCCGCCGCCGCCAGCGGGGCCAGTAGGCTGCTCACCTCCGCCAGCAGGACCAGTAGGTTGACCACCTCCGCCAGCGGGACCAGTAGGTTGACCTCCACCACCTCCGCCAGCGGGACCAGTAGGTTGACCTCCACCACCTCCGCCAGCAGGACTGGTAGGCTGCTCACCTCCGCCTGCGGGACCAGTAGGCTGACCTCCTCCACCGCCAGCGGGGCCAGTAGGCTGCTCACCACCGCCAGCAGGACCAGTAGGTTGACCACCACCGCCAGCGGGACCAGTAGGTTGACCTCCACCACCTCCGCCAGCAGGACCGGTTGGCTGACCACCACCGCCAGCGGGACCAGTAGGCTGACCTCCTCCGCCGCCGCCGCCAGCAGGACCAGTAGGTT